TGTATGGCATTGATTTCGGTGAGAATTAAGTAGATATATAATATTGATATTGTTCACAATTCATTATAGTATATTATCATACATTAAATTAAAAAAAAGAATCCATCAAAATGAGATATTAGTTAGAATCCAGGTTATATGATATGTTGATATAAGTTAAAATTCAGGAGATATAAGATTTTGATATTAGTTAGAATCCAGTTTATATATAATATTCATTTGAACAGTGTTCAATAATAAATAGAAGTCTATATCCATAAAAACTGTTGTTTCTTAATGTGCTGTGATACTTCTAAATGTCTTACAAGGATAAATATTCATTTTTGCTAAAATTCAGAGATATATGATATTGATATTAGTTAAAATTGAGTAGGTATATAATATTGATATTGAAGTGGAAATTCAGTGGATATTTAAGGTTGATATTAATCAAAATTAAATAGATATAATATGATATTTATTATATAAAATGTATAATTTATTCAGTACATATAAAATAACGATATGAGACCAAATTCAGTAGACTTATTATATAAATAGTAGATAAAATTCAGAGATATATGATATTGATATTAGTTAAAATTGAGTAGGTATATAATATTGATATTGAAGTGGAAATTCAGTGGATATTTAAGGTTGATATTAATCAAAATTAAATAGATATAATATGATATTTATTATATAAAATGTATAATTTATTCAGTACATATAAAATAACGATATGAGACCAAATTCAGTAGACTTATTATATAAATAGTAGATAAAATTCAGAAGATAATATAAAATTGGACAGAAATCAGCAGGTGTATTTTCAGTCTTTTTAGAAATCCAGTCCATTCTGAAATTATTCTGGATGTATTTGCATGCAGAAATACTCTATTTTTCGCCTGGATCATTGCTTTATTCAAAGAACATCACCAATTTTACTAAACGTTGGACTCAATAATAAGCAAACTGTATTTCATCAGAACGTTGAAAACAAAACTACCAAACACAGAATTTCTTTGCAGCATACAGCCAGTCAGCCATCAACGAATTATTTAATTCATCTTGGTTAGAATACATGTTTAAGATAATATTATACCTTGCGGTATCATCAAAAGTGCGGGGTGTTTATAAACCTTTAACTTCATCACCTACCAAAATACTAACGTTTTCAAATTTTGACACATTAAGGTCTTAGGCAAAACCTTTCCTTCTGTTAAGTTAGTTGACATATTTACTGATTTGGTTTTAGAATGAAAAAAAAATCGTAATACGAAGAATTATCTTTGTTGAATGACAACAATTAAAAGGGATGCTATCCCAGAAAATTGATATATTCACTTGTTCAGTTATTATAAAATATTAGCTGCTGTAGAGGGCTTTTGGGAAGTAAATAAGGGTTCTTTCATTATTAGACGATACATAATATAAGTGTCGTAAAATATCTAAAAAATCGATCCTAATTTTTACGCAGATGAAGATACATTTCGTTAATTTGTGGGTTAACTTTTTGCAGAATACTAATGAGCTGGGTCGGTATATAAGAACTATTAATTGATTTAGCTTAAAGTAGGATAGTACTGATTAAAAAGACAAGTTTAGAGTGATTAGGTGTAAATTTTTGAACCTGAGGTGTGATATATAGCCCCGATTTCCAGTCGCGTGACTATCACGTGTTATATGATAATATTGACATTAAGATATTTTTTATTGAGTTCTTAGCGGCTAACATCAAGGCAAGATGAGATAAATGTGTTTTTATATCAAAAGGCATGTTGATATATTTATACTTGGTATATTATATTTCAGGTACTAGTAACATTAAGCACGCTTAAAGATGGTTTATTATTTGAAGGATGTTTGTACTTTCAGGGAGTTCACATACTTAAATGTCACTAACACATTTATTTTGGAGCTATCAGTCCCGTGGGCTCCACGATAGAATGTGGGTGTATTATATTTGTAAAATAGAAGAAAATCACGTGTCTGCAGTTACCAAGCACTTTTTACAAATGAATTACGAGGTTTAGATCGCATTTAATTAAAGGGAGGTATTATAAATTTCAGAACACGAAAACTCCAATCAAGGCAGATAACCCAAAAGAAAAAAAAATCGCATCGGATAAGGGGTTCAACACATCTTCTCGTTGATATGCACGCAGTCTATTTAGACAAACGACCAAGCCTATATAACAGCCTACAGTGCCCCGTAAGGACCTCAATGGATACCCTAGTCCGAAACACCTGCCTCTATTATAGCCTTTGATAGATATTTTGACAGTTGCAGACGGCTGGAGTTGTCAGAAAAACTAGATCCTGTTTTAAGAGAATTTTCCTTACCTTCAAGGATTTTTATATAACATAATACTAGATTACCTTACGATGACAGTAACTTGTTGTTAGTTGGTATCAGGTGACTTTATGACCGACGAGAGAGTTTCGTTAAAAACTTTTGATGGAACTGCAGAGTGACATAAAATGTTGTTGGGAGATCATGCTGGTATGGCTGAACTACAAAAATATCTATCCCAACCTTAACACCTTTAGAGGTGCGGAAAAATCTCCATAAAACAAGGCCTAGTTTTTCTGTCTCTACAGAGGGGATACCGGTAAATATTATATGAAGTTATCGTAATGGTATTGAAGTGGCGTGCATGGGCGTCCTACGAATTTAATGACGTAATTGCTAGTAGGCAAGTTGAACAAAAAGTTAATACAAGTAAATGTTAAAGTTCAGGGGAGACAATTTATACCAAAAATGTCAAAGCAATTATTTAGTGAAGATATTTGATCCATATCATTTGAGACCTGAGATCAACATATTTTTTTTACTATCTTTGACCTTCAATTATTAGTTCATTCAATTAACCCACCCATATATCACCTACTAGGTGGGAAGGCTGATGTCAATAATTCTAATAGTATAGATTGAAGCACACGGGGCATTCTCCCTGGACATTCCAAATAATATTATACTTATGTGATGGGATCTGTGATATTCGTCTCGTCTCAAGAGCTCCACCAGTCGTTCAGGTCCCCACGATCAGTATCACTGAGATTGGGCAAGCGAGTTGAAAAATGTGTCACTTTTTCGATCTATATATGCAGCGACTGAACAACTTATCTCCGAGTATGTGTTGTATCAACTTTAGCAACTTTTTATTGGGACTAAGCTGTTACACATAGACTGTGCTTCGTGAAAAAAATCAAAGCACTATAATTTTATATATCTTTATTTCTCAAGAATACAAGTTTTTCTTCACATGAAACCATGTATGTAACAATAAAATGTAATTGCTTGAGTGACACCGAACATCATACAATATACAAATATACAAAGCTTAGCAGAAATAATTTAACACTGGTAGTGCAAACGAAACGATCCTATTTCAGTTCAACAAACTCATATCGTAGTTTGACATGTTAAAATGAATAATTTGATATTGTGATGCAACACAACAGCTGGTATTTCTCGTTGCTTTATGAATGAATTTAGCAGAATAGACGAAATATAATTTCGCCCATCTCGATCTCTTACAATACCGCTTACGCTTACCAATCGGAGGTAGATATGATAGCTTTGCTAATATGATTTTTCAATAAACGTATGTCTTTACACCCGTACAGCTATTGATTTGAAAAGGATGAATTTACAAAATGTTGCTGCATTTTGATTTTAAACAATGGCAACAGTTACACTTGTCTTTGCAGATCAGAAAGACATCAAATTCACGGTTAACTGGTTCATCAGCAAATCGCAATCGCAATCGCAATCTCATCTCAACCGAAAAACTTCTCAAAGGGATTGTAAAGAGGTTTTCTTAACTTTGTATGTGAATTGGGGACACTGAGATCATCGATTCGAATCGAATTTTCAACCAGATACCTGTTGCTCTTACAATTCGACTAAAACTAAGCGATTTATAACGTCACTATTGCAAAAGCCGCCAATTATATCCGAAAGCCTTTGGAATCGCAATAACTACAAGCATCTGACTGAAAATTGGAATTGCCAAAATCAATGCTATCAGTGTCTCTTTACGACCCCTTTAAGTAAAAAACCTAGTAACTATGTTAGTTTGGTATTTTATTACCAAATCGTTTCGGAACTGGCATGGTATATCCATGTTTAGCTCTTTAAGATTCCAATGGATAATATTTCAGTCTGCTGTACATAAACTGTTGATGAAACGAGTTGATGTTATCATAGAGTTAATTACATACGTATCATCTGGCCGACCACCGGTGTGAAAATAATTAAGGTACCACTGCTTCTTAAAAATATATACAATTCCATATCAACAACCTGTGCCCGTCTGTTTGTCATTAGATTCTCAACTAAATATTAGTTGAATATTACAGGGTTAATGCCGGTTAACATAATGGACGTTTATCGTGAAATTTTCCAAAACACTTTAGCTTATAACTGTTATATGATTTGAACAAACAGATCTCTATTTCCATTTTTGTTTGCGACGAATTGTTGACTGATAAAAGCCTGGAAAATTTAGATAACATTTATATGTAATAACGTTTATATGTTAGTTAAATAAAGACTTCAGATTATCATACATATTCTGAAAATAGACACTTGAAGCTAGAATGGTGAAAAGAAAACATGCAAAGTTTTTGTCTCCATAACAGCATTTGCATTATGCCAAATTCTTCTATACAACTAAATTTGAGAGAACATGTGAAAGAGATATCTAGGATAGGCTACTTAAACCGCAGTTAACCAAAAAGTCCTTTATACCAAATTTCATCGGACGAATAACAATACCATTTTAGCTGGATTATAGAATATTTACAACAAATAAGGCTTTATGGAAATAACCCATGATATTTTTTAGCTCTAAAATGGATTTAACGTTAAAATTCCCAACAGCACAATCGTGGGAAGGTAATGTTCCCATATACCTAAAAGCAACATCGAGCCAGTTGTCGGGATAATCTCAAACAGGTTTTATGTCAACAGGTCTTATTTTCATCTCTGATTTATGTAATTGTTCTCTCTTCCAATGATTCCAAGCTATACCACGCCATTGAATGTTTGAATGATTGTGGTACGGTCCATTTAAATACGCAAACCAACAATTATTGAACCACCAACCACCTTCCCATTCACGAGCACAATGTGCTTCACGTCGCTCATCATTATCCCGATCGGGAGTACTGAATGACATTCTATTGTGTTTAAATAAACTATCTTTAGCACTCCCACTAAATCCATGAATATGTAGTTTATAGTTATCTCGTTCGCCGTCGATTTTAAATGTTTTATACGAAGCGTACACTCTGTTTCCAGTAAAATCCCATAGATCTATTCTTAATTCATAATGGTCTTGATTGGACAATAGAAACAGGTTATCATTTCCTAACCAAAACTCGGCCGAAATGTCACCAAACCCTTTCTTATAATCCTGCCAGTCTCTGTTGAAATCTAAATCACCATTGTATCGTTTTTGTACGAGTAACCACCCACCAGGTGCAGTCTGCATGTCACACCATACTGGAATAGCACACGGTGCATAACTTGGCCTAACAAAATAAACACCATTCTTCTTGTGTCCGTCATCAAACGCTTCAGAACAATCCTTATAAATTTTGACATTTTCGTCATAGCCCGTACAAACTCTTGAGTCAGCAATACTCTCCACAATAATTTGTTTATCATTAGCCAAGTTAACATTGGGTACTCTTTTCATTAAATAGTTGTTAACTTCAACCACATCTAAAACAACATTGGATAATTTCTGATTTAAATTTCGGCTGATTTTTCTCTGACGCTTTAATTTTTGTTCCATTAACATAATAGCTCTAAAAACTCTAGATAATTTAGATTTATAAGTGGCAAGTAAAGATTCTCCTTTCTGTAATAATCGTTCATGTCTTTCTAAAGTAGAGTTCAGTTCCCTATTTTTGACGACTTCATCCAGTAGGCGACTTTCCATATCTCTTAACTTATAATCCAGTCGTTCCATATTTTTAAACTTTGGTTGTTTAATGATCCTTTCTGTTCTATCTTGGAAAACATCGGCCTGGGAATCGCCGTCTGAAATGTCTGCCATTGGAAGCACTGAATGACACCGTGGATCATCATTTTGAGGTACAATAAATTTATATTCACAGTAGTTCAATTTATTAACTTTTTCACTGGCCTGACAATACAGAAATATGTTAATGATTAAAACCAACACTTTCATTTTATCCAAACTAAGCACCAATATGGTACCGGTATCCCGCCTGATTCCTGACGAAATTCTTCACCGGCTCAACATGTATACTGCCGACTCCTGTAACGCGCTATATCCACTTATTTTAATAGGCAGTATATTCGTTTGTAGTCACAAGGTCTTAAACTCGACAAGTAAATTTCTATTTTGAGGTGTCAGCACATTTCACAGAATTTAATAAATTAAACAGGCACTTCCAATGCCTATTAGCCTATTTTCGAACATTCTAACTACTTGTACTTCATGGAATTTAAATAGAATTAAAACATAAATTGTTATTATTGAAACATTCTATAGTATTATAAATTCACTGCTTGTTACACACGCCAATAGATAAATAGAGTTTAAATAGCGATTATGGGTGGTGTAGGAAGTGGAATAATGCCTGCTGACGTGTACTGAAACACACATTTCATACAAATTATACACAAACACAGCGAGAGCATGCGCACATTTATGCAATTCCAAGTACTGTTGTGTATGTGAGGGGAATGTAAACCTTAATAACCGTAGGCTTAGATCAGTGTCAGATAAACTAGATACTCTAGTCCCCTATAAACGTTATTTCATTCATGGATCACTAACATTCCAACATTCTATGTCGATATTTGGCATCCACCCACGACCAGTCTCACACGGCTAGCAATATTACATTCACGGAGTTCACTCTGTCGTTACAATCTTTATAGCACAACCAAATCAAATCAAAACATGATATAGTCTAAACATTTCCTTGTAGAAAGACTTTAGAATCTAGTACCATAGCCATAAATAAACATTCTACACATATATACAAGTCATCAACATTTTTTCCATTCAAATTTTCAGTCATGCTGAACTCTAAAATTGTATAAATTATGTCGTTCTATATACAAATAGTTCTCTTAGAAGAAACTGAGTGAGTTAATTCTGTACTATTACATTGACACAAACTAAACACCAAGTAAATACATTACATGTATGTCTATTCTACCTACCTCAGTCCGAAACTTGCCGGCTCCCATTTAGTTTCTAATACCATTTTTTTTTCAAAGGTCTTTCAGAAAAACTGAGGTCATTGACTCCAAACTTTCAGACTGAGAACATCAGTGGGTGTTTAATCCTTTACTTTTTTCTCTATTACTTCTGGATTTTCATTAAGTCTTTTAAAAAAACTGAGCTTATCTACTCCAAAATTTCAGATTGAGAACATTATCATCTGCTTTCAATCCTTCAAATATCACATTTGTATTCTTCGTTTTCATTAATGTTACGTATCAGGTTCCAAATAAGTATTGCATAGAGAAAAACAAATCTGGTTTCTGGAAATTTGGCATGAAATAGAAATTGGAGGACTTTGCATCACAATAATGATATATATGTGTTCGGGCAGCCGTCTTTAAAGTACACGTAAAATACACGTAATCAAACCTATACATAAGTCCTAGCCATCAACCAAAGGCAATGATAAATGTAACTTGCAATGATTGGAAAACATTTAAGTTGATGAAAGGGCACATCAAAGTTTGGTTTGTGGTTCTTTGTTTGGCATGTAAGTGGCTTTTGCGCAACGTTGTCTCGGTATCAATGAGGAGCAAAATATGGCGTGTTATTTAAAAAAGTAACAACATGAAAAAGAACAGAAAGAAACAACCATGTTTTACACGGATAACAACATAGGTTCATTCATAAGCCTTTCTACCAGATGGCACAGATCTTTCCCGGATTATCTGCTGGGAAGAGTGAAGAGAATCATCAAAGGTCTCCAGACTTATACGATCCGACCAAGATTAGAAACAAATGAGAAGGCCCAACGCTCTATGACTGTAGGCCCAAAATAACTTTCTACCATCCGTTTGACTTTCCACGTTCCTGGAAGTCTCTCTACGCACTAAATACTTTTATAGTTGCTTTGCCTTCGACTTCGTCTAGCCGAGATCAAGTAATAGTGCAAGTTTCGGACTAATTGTAATTCAGTCTGCGTTTCACCTGACGAAATAAAAAAAAAACTAATTAGTCTTTTGTAGTAACAAATAAATTTCTCTTTTTCTAACAGGTGTTTCAAATACCTGAGTAAAAAGTAGCTAATTCAGCAAATTCTACATGTTACATTTTATACAACATCAACAAAAAATATCTTGTTAATTTTCTTATAATTTTCGACTGGTATGCGATGAACACCTTTTCTCTGAACTATCAGCCATTTTCAATACAGGTTTGCTTTATCTCCTCGCCTGAAAGATACCTATGTCTTTTTTCATTTTCATCTCTCTTGGCTGAACGAGATATTTGTTCACCATCAGCGCAAAGTTCTTCTCGTAGGGCAAGCACAGATCGCCTCATCCCAGCCCACGCCCCTGTGGAAGTAGTAACTGTGCTATCACACACAGACCCACATAAAAGTGATAGATCTGAAGACCACAGAGTTGGACCCACATCATAGTAAATGTGTTATCAAATCCAGTGGCCCTCAAAGATGATGAAAACCATGAGGCTAATTGGTTAAGAAGTCTTCAGTTATATGTTTTAACAATTTAAGCTTATTATACTCTTAATGTCGTGCAATAAATTCTATATATAGATTTGTTGAAAATTTAATGTCTATTTCATACATTAATATGCTAAAAACAAAATATTTTCTTACATATTATTCTACTTGGATGTCACGTTTGTGCTGTGAACCCTGCAAATGAGTTTGCCAGTCCAGTCTCAGATGGGCAACGTTTGAACCAAATGATTATAATCTAAGGATTTTTCGCCCATAATCTCTTCTTTGTCTACTGTATGTTAGAATACAATTAAAACGTATTTAGTGCATAAGGGTCAATGTGCAACACAATATAACAAAATCAAATCTGTTATTATAATCAAATATTGTTATAAAATGAAACATAAATTATTATTTTATGGACTTCGTTCCAGATGAATGCAGCATTTTCTCCAAAAACGTAAACATGGTAAACAGATTCATTTATTTTTTTACAGATGTTTTCTTTCTAAACATTGAGAAAATTATTGTTTTTTGGTCAAGAAGAAACAGAAACTATTACATTATATATGTGTGACGTATGACAACGCAAACCCGTAACTTACTCATAATTATTAAGTTTTGATAACTATTACATGACATTTCCAACAATTCCAAACAAGTCTATTGCTGAAACAGCAACGAATCGTGGAATCTTTTCCTTATCAGCACCCCCAGCCATGTGCTGCATCACTTACAAGAGGAACTTTCTTCAATCGGGATCGAACTCAAAGGTGAGCGAATCATCACCAAGGTTACAGTTCATATGCAACAAATAACGTAGATGCCTTGCTGGTCTCAATTCTTTTATGATACATGTATATTCAATCTTCAATCAATTGATTGCTCTGTTAATATTATATGCCCAGTTTACAACAGAATGACCACAGTGGTTGTCAAAATGTCCACAAGCTCATAAGAGGTAACACGCGACTCTCAATGGTTAACCGGATAAAATGTACTACCGATCGTCCAATACGGACCGCTGAACTTCTATACCTCTTCAACCAATCCTCATTAATTTAGAAAATGTCAATTCATTTGGCGACTCTTTCGTCTGGTGAAATCTTCTATTGAAATTAAGTTGATAGGTCACTTCAATTCATCGCCTTTTAGTGGAAAATTTGTCAAGAGATGTAAAAGTGGTTTATTCTCTCAGTAGGAGAATACGCTCGCCAATTAAAGCGATCTCGTCATGATTCTTAGGCGATGGTCGTTTCGTTATATTTGTGGTTTTTATCGCTAACTGGTGCTAGTCTTTAGAAATCTGACGTGTGGTTTTGCCAATTAAAAATCAAGAATTTCTACTCAACATCTAGTTAAACTGTCGAGCTAGAAAGTTAATTGTGGTGGATTAGAAGAACGTCCATTGTTTGTTGACATGTCTTTTTACAGCTCACAGAAATACTTTGTTATTTTCTTAACAAATGAAGACTGTACGAAATATTACTCTCGAAGTTTCTTAAGGTCACATAGAAATGTGGCAACAACTAAAAGATTGTGTGAAGTTTATCCGATATTTAAAATTTGTCATTCGAGACCGTCAAGAGAATTAACCAGTCAGTAACAACTGCCCTATGGCAACCCTCAATAAATACAATTAACCGTTATAAATTTTTATCGTTTCCAGCAAAGGTGGGTTACAGGTTACTTCAATTGTCTTTCCACGCAAGTGCTGCGTTAATTTTCTGTTGTTATTTGCAAGATGCACATTATCTTCATTTTTTAATATTAAATCCAAATCCACAGGGGCAGGGATTAGGACAACCGGGCCTAGTCAACGGGTTCGGGCTCCCTACGAATATTAAATTTCTTGAAATTTAATAGCATCCAGTGAGAAAATTGAGTTTATTAAGCTGGGAGACCGTTCACACATTCAGTTGGGCATTTGGGTTGGGGCCCTAGAAAACCCATGGATCCGAAATCTCCTCAATCTGCACCTGGTTTAATACCTTATTTCTTTGAGATAAAAGTGGGTCGGCCTAATAGATAGGTGAATATCACAAAAAATAGGATATTATTCTTTAGAAATTGTTCTTAAAAAATAGCAAAGAGAGAATGTGAAAGTATTGAATGAAGAGACATGAGAAACAAAACTTGAAGGTAAAGAATGTTTCTCTGGCAAAGATTGGATTAAAAGTTAGTGAAAATATGACTTTTTTCTCTGATTAAAAGTGAATAACAAATTCTTTCAAAAAACTGCATTCCAAGATATAATAAACTATCTTAGTAAAGGTTCAGGAAGTTTCTTTGGCGATGAAACTTAAGTAACACTGTGTGAATTGAAGATCGAGTTTAAGAATAGGAGGGTGTTACGGTTATAATGACACAGTGTCACGATGATATGAAACGTTGGTGTGGGTGAGATAATAATAAATATGATTATCTTTTATACACCGGGACTGTCTTCATTAAGAATGAAAAATCTTCAGGTATATACGAAATGTCAAACGTATAGGCGACATGCAAAACCTGGCCAAGGTCAAGTAAGAACACATTAAGATAAACATACCGGTATTTCATAGCTATGACTGTATACAGGTGGAAGGGAAAGACACTGTGTCTATTTAAAAAAAAACTGGTATTGGCAACAGAATATCTTTTTACCTCGATGGGAATCGAACAGCTTAACAAATTTATATTGCTGAAGTACGAATCCAATTGGCTACTGAGAGTATTGATATTTAGATTGAGAAACAAATGTACCTTCAGTTGACCTTCAATCTGATCTACATTAGGCTTTTATCAAGAAAAAGTTTCTCTCTTATTGCAGCTTTCTCTAAAATCAAATTGGCTTTAGTTCACAGAACGGATTTTCTTTATCCGAAAAATTGACCACTTTTATTTGAAACAAAACAGAGCCATATCAAAATAATCCACAACGCCTCTCAGTGGGCTTAGCACTTTTCTAGCACACACACAAATTTCTTATTTTACAAAGGGGAACAATTATCTTGAAAATCATTTGGACCCTACTAGGACTCTTATATAAATTCCAAGAAATGTCTCTGGTTGCACTGCTTATCAACATAGGACTTATTTTTTTTATTTTCACATTAATTAAAGTAGTCGAACCTTTTAAGAAATAAACAGTTCCTTTTTTTCTGACAACAAAAAAGACGCCCAGTGGGTGTAAAATGCCGAATTCCCGAACTGTCTTAACTGACCTAAGTACGGCAGAAAAGACTCAAAATTGAAATTAAATTCGGGATCAAAACATTTTACATCCAGAAATGAATATTGTAAAAGCTGTTTTCTTTTGTTAAATCACAATATCTATTTTTTTTTACACATACAGTATTTATAGTGAGCTTATTTATAATAATGCTGTCTATCATTTATTCTATCATTAATAACCATATAATCGCTATTATACAATGAACACTCTTTGTGCCTGCTGTGGCTTGTGTGTCAAAAAATCAGTCTTGGTGATTACCAGGCAAGTTTACCAGGTATATGAGCAGAAGAGAATGACATGAACTCCCTCGGTTAAGTTTCGATGAAAATATGGTCAACAATTGGTATAATTCACTAGACGTTCTAGTGACGGATGATTGATCCGAGTTCGGACGTGGTCAAATGACCGGCAGTGTAATAACATACGTCCATACGGACGGTTTCTATGACGGAGAATCACTCTGTGTGGTTTAATATTCTTGTAATGCATATGTATAATTTCACAAAACATCCAGCACAGATAGAACCTTCTACATGTAAAAAAAGATATCCCGCAGTTACTATTCTTACTACCTTGTATCCCTTTAAGTTATAGAGTGGTTTTACCTGCTGTATGGGATGTTGCACGGAGAAAAAAGAATAACTCACATAACTTTTACACCCCCGCCTATGTTTTCTGGTTGCTCTTACCGGACCATGAAACGATCTATCATCAATAACAAATGAAAATAAGTGATCTAGAGACAATATTTTACATAAAATGACTTTTGAGTTTCGATTGACTCTGATTTTAAAGGAACAATTGGGGTAATAAAATACAAAATACTGTTCAAAAGTAAAAGAAAGTACATGTAGATGTAATTAATTAAAATGTTGAAACACATGTTGTATTTCAAATCGTTCAATTTTTTAACTGATAACATTCAATATCTGAAATAGAAAAATATTAAATTAGGGATATTTCCTTACCAAGCAATAATAAAACTGCATTCCTTAAAGTATGTATATACTAAGACATATACTTACGATAAGTCTTACTTTTCTGTAGCTGGTTAACGATACGGCATACAGTGAACAATGTGGGCAATTTTTTAGGACGTGGGCATTAGCTTGCTCACAGTCAATTTCTATCTTTTGGGGGCGTCTACAATAAGCACAACCTGTGGCGCATGGGACCTCCCTTAAGATGGCATGAAAAAAGTAAGGTTCAATGACCCAATCTTGGAGGGCATGAGTTTGTTCGCTAAAAAAACCACCAACCATTTAACAATTTGCAGCAACACAATTTGATATCTACAGACCAAAATTCTATGAGAACATTTTCTTATCTGTAATAAATCATTCAATCAGATTAAAATGCAAAACCATGGATGTCTCGTATCCTTTTTTTTTTGCAAGTGACCCACTTGCCATCCATGATCTGACAAATTTCTTATTCATGTCCTTTTCTGGGACATTGAGTATTCAATCAGTACTAAGTATAGGTTAATGGCCGAAAGCAGTCCAATAAGTTCAATAATGATCGTAACACAAGCATCGAAGGTCCGCGTGTTACGTCATTATTTAACGCATTGGACTGCTTGAGGACCATTGACCTACTTAAAATACAGATTACACAAACAATAACATCTACTCATGCATGTGCAATATTACAGGTCACGAGATCAACTCACGAGCCATATTGAAACTATTGTTGCCATTTTGACTGTTTGAAAGTCAGCAAGGAAAGGGAATTTAAAATACATGCATATTGATGCTAATATATTGACGGATTGTCCACACACACTCAATAAATTGTTTCAATAAATTGACGGACTATCAATAATATATTGATGAGTCTTCAATAAAAATCAAACTGAATTTGATCCATCAATATACTGACTCAATAATATTTATTGACAATATTTTCGTCAATATTGTCCACAGACGATCAATAATATTGAGTCAATATATTGAACGTGTATGGGCCGCTTTAGACTATTTGTACTGTTTTGAAGTGAATATTTCAATTTATACAACAATATTAGGCGAAATGCAATACTGTAAACATTACGATCGGACGTTAGGATTTACTAGAATTTACATAATTTTTGTGGCCAAAACATCACAGTCAAGCATGAGTAAAATTCAGAAATAAGTCAACTCCATTTATTGTAAAATCACTCGAAGTAAGTATTTATCAATCATGTTATGACGTCACAGCAGTTCAAAATTTGAAGCCATTTTTAACAAATCGTGTACTCTTGGCACAATGACCATACCAATAAGTTGGATATTGGTCCGCAAATATCAAAGAATGACGTCGCATCTGTATTTTAATATACAGTAAGTAATTTATATATCAAATATTATGTACAATATAAGATTTCCTTGCTGCATGTGAGGAATTCTAGGGTATCTCTTGTTTTAAATGGACACGTAGTTGTAGTGTCCATTTTTAAAAGATTCTTTGATTCTTTTTAATTAGTTAACATAATTTATGACAACTGTGGATGGTCATTGGTTCTAAACAAATCACCAAATATAGATGAAGTTCGTTAAATCACGGTTAGTGGATTTACCTGCAAAAAGAAAAAAGAAACTAAACATAAACATGTGCATTTTAATAATATCAAAAAAATTTCAAATAATTTGCATCAAAAGTTTATAAAATCACTTGCATCAGACTCTGAAATATATCAATTAAAGGACTACATACACCCCTTCAGTAAAAAAAAAAGCCCCTTCCCCACAAAAATTCACAAGATTACCCCTTACCTAAGGCTAGGTCTAACAGTTGAATAATGCAAGTCGTTTTCAGACAAATTAATCTAAGAAAGTTAATTATAAACAAAACTCACCATAAATAAAAGGTATATTTGCCAAAAGCGATTTAACCCCGAATATCGATAATTTTTTCTAAACTGCTGTGACTGTAAAAAGAGTAACATTTTTAGAATAAAAACATTTTGTTGCGAACTGTCTCAAAAGTAATAAACGTTACTTACCGGTATCTATATTTGTCGTACTTTCATCATAAATCACAAGTCAAATTTATGAATTCTCACAATAAGAAGCCTGCAGAGATGTAATAACCACCCTCATTCCTACATTAATATCATGTTCTTAACTAATACAGTGGTTAAGCTATATTCGTGCATAAGGATTCCACACCGAATTTCAGATATTCTATAAAATAATTAAAATTGGTTTGTTTCTACTAAAGGAACATTACTCGACTGTTTAATCTATAAATAAGTCGAGTAAAACATGTTATATGTACGGAGCCCCTAAGGCGCAATTGTAAACATATTTATTTATTATTTCATTTAAACGAAATAATTATTTCGTTAAAACGAAATGTTATTTCGTTTAAACGAAAGAAATTATTATTTCGTTAAAACGAAATAATTATTTCATTTAAACGAAATAATTAATTCGTTTAAACGAAATAATTATTTCGTTTTAACGAAATACACTTTGTTTATTTCGTTTAAACGAATTAATTTTTTCATCTATTTCGTTTAAACGAAATAATTAACCCATCTTTTTATTTCGTTTAAACGAAATAATTATTTTGTTTAAACGAATTAATTATTTCGTTTAAACGAAATAAACATAGGGTATTTCGTTAAAACGAAATAATTATTTCGTTTAAACGAAATAATAATTTAATTCGTTTAAACGAAATAACATTTCGTTTTAACGAAATGATTAATTCGTTTAAACGAAATAATAAATAAATATGTTTACAATTGCGCCTTAGGGGCTCCGTATATATGGATATTCAGTGGTATAATTTATTTCTCTTGGTATTTATCTTTAATAATATTTCATTATAACTAATGACAATTCCTTGTAAAGTAAGATAAGTAAAACGCAAGAGTAATGTATTGCTAAAAGTCATTGAAACAATTAACATAAAAATACGCCCCACATTGTGTTCCATAGAATTTTTCTACATGGAATCCGCTAGTTTGTGACATGACTTTGTTCGACGACATTTCGAATTCCGCTTACAGCTTGGGATTATGGAATTTGGCCGATAAAAAATGATAATAACTGAAAAACGGTTTTTGGTCATAACTACCAATATGACCTAATAGTTCTATGACAACGGTTTATCAAAATACGGAAATGCGGAGGTCACGCGAGGTCGCACATTTAAATTATTCATCATTTCCAAAGATGTACGAAATTAGGTTACTAGAGTGGCTGGTTGAAAGAACTTTGAATAAAGATGCCATGCAGGCATTATATTGCCTTTGTAAAGTCTAAAGTCTGTTCAAAAATAACATGATTGATAAATTCGCGCCACATATTAAAATTAATTAAAGTTAATGTGAAGGCCTTTTGCCACTTACGCCGAAACGAAAACGTACCCTACCGAAAAAAAAAATTGCTTATATTTATCTTTCCTACATATAACAAAACTGTAACGTGAGATCAAAGCGAAGACAGGCACGAATTCAATTTTTAATTTTAAGATTAGTGAATCAAACATGCACGCCCATATTCAGTATGCGGTTGGTCATTGGGAAATGCTGTCGACTTGTTGCTTGGAACAACCGAAACAGTTATAACCGACAATCACATGGCCGGTATTTGAGTCCTAGACTTCAGCTGATACAGGGTTTAGTACCCTCCTTGCAAATTCTGGGTTACCTCCACTGATGAAAGACCCTAAATAAACTAATAAATAATTAAATCATATCATTAGACTGCCAAAATTATTCCTACTAGATGACAAAAATAATTGTTTGTGGGGGCGAATATATTTCCATGGTGGAGGCGTCTGTGCCCCGAATTTCCCAATTTTTGCACAGCCTTTGGCGGAATTTTATTCTCGATTTTCAGACCATTCTGACCCAAATCTGGAAATTACACCCACCCTTTTTCGCCCTATTGATTTTGGAATACAAGAGCAGTTAACTCTCAAACATTTGGTATGATTTTAATATTTTAAGTTACTTTGTTTTCCCTCACAGCCACAGGTAGCATTTTTAAAAAAGAACAGCAAGTCTAGTCAAATAGAACCTACATGGAGTTAATCATTATCCAGTTACTCCGGCTTATACTATCTCATTTTTGAGTATGCTACCGCTTTGTCCAGTTATCCGGACCACAAATAACTTCTTTTGTTTATATCTAGATAAAGTGTCGAGTAATGACTATTTGATTCAACTTCAGGATTTAAAAAAGCTTAGATATAAATGATAAATTCAAAACATGGGAAAATATTCAAGTGATGAAGATAGAAAGTCTAAAAAGAAAAAGAAAAGAAGATCAAGGTTTGTTGTGTTTGGCTACTCTGCTTTCATACTCTCAGAACCAGTCTTAAGACTTTTAATCTTATTCTTATCATTTCTGAAAATAAAGAAAGTAAGATAAACTTAATAAAGTGAAAATCTAAATTGTTGATGATGCATAATAGGTTATCAGTTGGTAAGTCATAGATATGAAAATATATGTGGTAATTTTAGTACGTATATTACTAGGTCTGAAAAGGGTATTCCGACGACTGAGCATCTGAAAGGGTTCTCTAATGAAAATTTTTGAAAAAATAGTATTTTTATATTCTAATACATATTTTGGGCCAAAAACATATAAACTCATATTTCTAAATTTATTAGAAATGGAGTTCAAACCATTTTTCATTCAAATAAGTCTAATCTGAAAAGCTTACTGAATCACCCCTATTTTTGAGATTCGTTGTTGTATATACTTCATCTCTTATTCCTAACATTAAGGTAATGAAATTTGGCTCTAGGAAGATATGTTGTAGCAACTGTTGCCTGTCCGACCTATCTGTATAAATACAATACATGTATATAAAACTTATTAACAGCAATACCATACAATAAATCTGAGTAAAATTTGATTGTAATCAAAATGAAAGTTTATATGTGAAATTTGAAACTTCAAATACAGTAAAGTAATCATTACAGGTCAAGAAGTAGCAGCGTTAGCAGTTTTTACTCTTCAAAATCCAAGAAAAAGTCCAAGAAAAGAAAATCAAAAAAATATTCCAGAAGTTCTTCAACTCAGAGACGGAGATCTGGATCTCCCAGTAGAAGTAAAACATACCGCAGATCAAGGTCCAGAAGTAGAGGTCGCAGGTCACATTCTAGGTCCAGACGGTCTTATAGTAGAGGTCGAAGGTCATACAGTAAAGGTAGAAGATCGTACAGTAGAGACCATTCTAGAAGTAGAGGTCGTGATATAAGATCAGGATCAAGGACATATGAAAGACGAACTCTCTCTAGAAGCAGAAGTAGAGAAAGATATAGAGGTCGTAGGTCAAGAAGTAGGGATCGATACAGAAGGTCAAGGTAATTATGTAGTTTTTACAACCTTCTGTTTAATCAAAATTACATAATTCATTGAAATTTCAAATACATGCTTTGCTTTCTTCTGCACTAATTTCGCAGATCTCAGTTTAAACCATCCATGTAGGCCTACTAATAGATTAACATGTTGACATCTTCAACTTAACATATGTCTAATTGTTGTTCTTTTTCTCGGCTCCAGTTCAGAAGATAGATATCAAGATACTAAAAGACGTTCAGACAAAACTGAAGACAAGTTAGTATTGTTTATTTACAATCAAATGAATAGTAATGTGGTTTTTTTAGCTACAAATTTCACAGTCAAAAAATGTTCTTGTATAATGAAATTTCTAGATTTGCTTTTATCCAATACCCATATCATTTTGTGTCATTATGTAATATTAAAATGGTTTCTTTTAGTTTCCATGGTAATGGCAAAATTTTACTCCCTCATGTAATCATTTTGTAATCTGTTATGCAGGTCAGATCCTGTATCTAATATTCCTGGATTTGAAGACATGGTAAGTTTTGAACTCTATTAATTCTAATATCCTGGTTCACTTTACTCTCAATGGCTTTTGCTATTGTTATTCGCCTAAACTGGAAAATAGAAGTAGGATGTAAAGTTCCATTTTATTATTTCGCGGGCTTGTAATTTTACCCACACATTATCTTTCAATTCGTATCTGAGGTTTGTCTTAAGTTATGATTTAATGTGTTATTTCAGGCACCACATGAACAGGCTAAGATTAGAATGCAATTTGCTTTAAAAGCAGCAGGTAAGATTGTCATAACTTCCATCATTACCGGTAAATATCATATCATACAAATCTTAATGGCTTATTGAGACTTATTCATGCTCAAGTTCAAGGTTTTACTTTGGTTAAGGTCCAAATCATGTTTTTACATTTTTACCCCTGTTTCTCTTGTCTCTGATGCTGTTTTACATTGGCACCAATCAAAGCCATTTATTTTCACAGTATTAGATAAAAAAAAAATTCGAAAAATGCCGAAAACTTGCCAATAATGCACCCTACTTAGCAGTCTATTACTAATAAGAGGTAAAAATTCAATTCATTTCACACATATATTAATGCACAAAAAGAATGCAATGTGTTAAATGGGAAATGTTTTTATTTTTACTAGCTGCAGCTGATGAGAAAATACGACAAGAGGAAGCTTCTTCTAGTACAACAGAGACTGATCAAAAACCAAAAGATATACTTTCATTTTCTAATGCTGTAGCAGAAATAGAAGATTTTGGTTTTACACCATCTTCATTTAAATCTAGTAGATCTACCAAGAAAAAGGTAAATTAGCCAAATAAAATTGAAATAATATCAATATGTATTACTGGTAATAATAATTTTTTCGTACACAAAAATGGTACAAAGTATTACTAGTCAAGTTTTGAATAATGTGACTAAGGGTCAAGAACCTGATTGCTATTCTTTTTGAAGACATCTTGATCTGCATGTTATGTTACTCAGATTTTGCAAGTAAATGAGCGTAAATTAATTATGTCTGTGTAACTCGAAATAAGAATAAACAAAAATTCCACCAAATTAATTTCTTTTCAAACCCCTAATATCTATATTATTTATACATGTTTGATCAGGCATAAATCAGTCATATTTATATTTGTTTTGTAGGAAGACACATCAGAGAAAATATTAGATAGCCATGATCAAGCAATGTTTGGTATTAGTGGATTAGCTTTGAAAACAGAACCAGGATTTAACAAACCTATAACTATAGACCCAAATACACTGGCACATTCTAATGTAAGTACTCTATAATGTATATATCAGTTCTATTTTAGGTTTGTATCAAAATTTTATTTATCAAATAAGACCATTCACGATAAGTGACTTCATCAAATGGTGCAAATGGATGCTTTCAGTGTCCCTGATACACATAACAAATTTAGAAAACCTCTTTACAATCCCTTAGAATATAGCCATAGTTTATGCCTATGGAAGCAATTGAGAAAAATAACTTAATTTCCACTCAAATATGTTTTGACAGGAATTTAACTGTTTTACTTCCAGCTATATGTAGATTCTGATGAAAAGATGGAGAGATGGATAGCAAAGTTGACATCAATGAGACGTAAAAAAATGGAAGGACTCATGTTAGGACATTGATATCAAATGAATCTTTTAAAGAAGCCGAGGTGGAAGTAGTTCAAGATATTTGCAAATTATGCAAACAATGCTAAACAGGAGTAAAAAATAACCTTTGTGTGTTATCAACTAAAAAGGAATTTTAATCCTAACAATTGAAAAAGCTTTTAGATAAAATTATTATTTGACATGTGTCAGTGATATTTTCTACTTGCTTGCATATGAGCTATTTCTATCTTCAAAGATTTATCGAAACAAAATATATGTGAAATCATCTGCAAACTGTTGAGGAGCATGAGTTATTCTAATACACTAGATAGTAGATAAATCATTTATTATTGACATGTAAAGCTGTATTCAAAATACATATTAACAAAACATTATTGAATCATTTTACAATACTGCTTATAGCAGATTCATTATCATAATCTTTATCAAGACATTAATAAATTTAGTACAAATTAAACTAGATATTGCTTATGGGAAATAATCAAATGCCCTTAATGCAAAAGTAAGTATTTCTTAGTCATGTTTAAATGCCCTTCATAAATTGTCTGAATTATGCAGTTTTCAGTTTTATTTTCAATATGTGGTCCACAAGAAAAAGTCACCGTTCTTTATCAACTATACATTGATGTATGTAACTTTCATTGACAGATTGAATCCCAAATATAACCCAAAGGTAAATATAGTACCACATTATAGACAAATGTGATAATATATCAGTAAGTATACAATTCTTAATAGTATTTCAATTAAAACTGGTTGAGTAGGAATCAACATGTTACATTTTAACTATCCATAACTGATCAGGTGTTCATTTAAAGTAATCATTAATTAAAACCCATAAGTCTGAGCGCTGATCAATTACTAATTAACACTTCAAATCAACTGAATATCATTATCAGTTATTATAAAGCACCATCATAATACATATGATAAAATCACATACATTCAAGCTTTTAGATATTTAGCATGGTGTTTAATATGGTCTTCAATAAATGTAGCTATGAAGAAATAACTGTGGTCGTAGTCCTAAAATAAAATATATTAAACATTATTCATTAGTAACTTGATCATCACTTAGCTCTTCACATACCAAACTTTTGTCTGCATCAAAAGCCTCATAATTACGGATATATACAGATAATCTGACATGCAGGTAGTTTTGTCATGGTCTCCATATTTCTTCAGCAAGTATGGATAATGATAGTAGAAAATAAGGCCATCCAATGGCAGACAGTCTGAATGTTTTCAAAAAATAAATTTCAGCATGATAGCTTTAATTAACTCAGGGTATTGATAAGCTTATACAAAGAGTTAGTCTGCTACCTACCTCTTGCATTCTTAATGATATTGGTATAGCTTTATCACTACAAACTTGTACTAGACTTTCTGGTAACAATTGATTCTGTGTCAAAAAATTATCTGCTTTACCCTAGAAATTACAACATAATAATGTTAATAATAGTTTGAGTGTAACTTGTGGTAACCTATGAAATTGCTTAAATGTCAAAACAAACATTTTCCCTCCCTCTTCAATAAATAGTGGGTTATGCAACACTTACATACAATATTGAGAAAACAACAAGAGTTAAATAATAGTGATTTGACATTACCTGATCTATGAGTATATTTAACTGGGGTCCACTGTATGTTTTACTTAATTCACAAGCATCATATTCCTGTTAAAAACAACAAAATTACTGAAAATTCACATAGTATTATAGAGCATCTCTAAAAAATAAGATATGGAACTTAAATTCCAAGTTATTGTTGCGTACCTTACAAAACAAAACAAAAAACTGAGTATAAGAACAAAATGTTGGTTTTTGAAGATTTGGTCAATTCAAAAAGCATAATATAATAATTTTCTTACATACCTTCCAAGCGGTTTTATCAGAACCAAGATAGCCAGTGAAAGCTTTCTCTCCCCATGGACAGTTCATAGGGTTACAAATAGGTGAGAAGGCACTAACTGATCTGTATTTACCAGGATTCTTTAAAGTACAAATTAAAGCTCCATGGCCACCCATACTACAATTAACAAAATACTTAATTTTAAGATGCATGTCTAAAATTTACAACAGAAGAAATGAGTTAAGCATAAATGATTCATTTTGTGGAAAATGTATTGGATATCCCAAATATGAAAGATACCTTTTGATTGTGTACCTACCTATGACCAGTTATGGACTGTCTGTCTGAAATTGTTGGAAATTTTTCGTTAATTAAAGCTGGCAGCTGGAACATAAAAACATAATAATTCAATACAGCATAGTTTCCTCTACCTCGTGTCTAAGCTAATAATTGAAAATAATTTGGACACTCGGACCTACATATCATTAGGGCATTTAAGATAGTGCAGGGTTAGTTGATAACCAAACGTATGGTACAAAAATAATTTCATTTCATGCTGATTACCATATTCTTAACGTCAAAAAAAAAGAAAAAAAAGTTCACCTATGAATAATCATTTTTACATTTTTAAAATGTCAACCTATTAATTACCTCTTCAGTTATATATGAATACATTCTGTAATGATTCTTCCATTTATCTTGTGTAGCATTAACATAAAATCCTGCACCTGAACCAAAATCATAGCTGTCATCTTCACCTTCTATATTGACACCTCTAGGACTTGTATCAGGAGCTACCAATATAATACCATGTTCTGAGGCATATTTCTGGGCTCCTGCTTTGGTTACAAAATTCTGTTCTGTGCAGGTTAGACCTAAAAATACATAACATGCCTTGATTACATTCTGGTCAAACCACGAGGGTTAGGGAGCTAGTGCAACTGAAAATCAATTAGGCTGATTGCCTCAATTCTGTATCAAAATATGTAATTTCCTCTCATTCTTTTGTAAATATCCTTTTAAATAATTTACCTGATAAATAGTACAAAACTGGTACTTTACCACCATTAGCTGATGGAGGTAAATAAATTCCAAATTTCATAGTACATTTTAACTCTTTACTGTAATATAAAAGTGGCCTATGGTACAAGAAGAAGAGATACCTGTATATGTTACTGTATCATATAAGAACAACTTTAGATAGTGTAACCATCATGACAACAGACAAGTTGACAACCATATTATGTTCAATTCTTCAAATGATCAATACCTTTTACTTATAAGGAATCTCTAATCAAATACATGACTTGCAAAGTATTTCTGTGCTAAAGTTCTTAAAAGTCACATAGTCTTGTCCATACCTTTGATGAGAAAATACCTTTTGCCATCCTCCAAACATCTTATTAGATGACACTTCAGTCATTTCAGCCATTTTGATAGCAGTGCCTGTTGCGAGAAAACATTTTTTTAATTGATATCAATTCAAATTGCTTTAGTAATATTATAAAACGTAGATCTATCTATGCATTGCCATCAATAGTTTAACTGTGCTAGTTGCAGTTGCCTATTTACTCATCAGGCGTTCCCTATTAAGAATCAAGTTGGAGATTAGTACAAAACCTTCAAAGGTATCACTGCCCTATCATTTACAATCAAGCTACAACCCCCACCCCCATATTTTCTGATAACCATAGCTTATGACGAAAATGGCATGGTTCAAAAGTGGCTTTATTACTTTTGAGCTTGCATAAATTATTGCAAGTCATTAGAACTATGCTAACCTAAATTATTGCCCAGTTGCCTAAATGTGGGGGAGTCTTTGAAAAAGCTAGGTAGGTAGGTAGGTGAAAAAGCTGCGAAGAACTAGTAGATATAATGACCGAACAACTTCATTAAGAGGAAATCGGAAAATACTTCGCCATAAATGAGTTTACAAATGTATAAAAAAAAAGTATGAGTATTGGAAAAAACACAACTTAATTATACCTGTTGGTAATCTATTTTGTTTCAGCAGGAATTATAATATTCTTTTGCAGAATGTAGAGGGATGCTATTGATTGCGGTTTAATAATAACAAGGTGCACGAACTACTTTTTTGAGTTATCTTTCCTTACCGGAAATAAACAACGTACTGTGAATGGAAATTTTATAAAACTATAAAAACAATTTTGAAAAGTTTGCAGAGAAATATGCCAGCTTTAGAAGCTGTTAGACCTCACATCAATGATGGAGAAATTGACATTGAGAAGGAGCGGATTCCACCACCATCAAAGCCAGTCATTGGCATCATTTATCCTCCTCCTGAAGTGAGAAGTATCCTTCATAAAAACAATCTCTAAATTCTATCGTCCATCCAGTCACAGTGCACTGTTACACTGTGTGGTGTTTGAACAGCATTTACCCTTTTCTCAATGTAGCCTTATATTATCAAACTTTTTATTTCTATAGATCTGAATAAAAGTTTAAGTACATGCATCTGGAAATTGATTTTGACTATTTATTGCTGAATTATGCAGAATTCATACTGTAGCCGTGTGAGATTCCAGAAACGAAAGGAAAGGGAATAAAATCATAGACCAACTAAAATTTCAATTAGTAACTTTGCGCATATATCCTACTTATACTTAATTACAAATATAGACTTAGAAATTGGTACTTATCAGGGTTGTCTTCTGTTATTGAATAAGCACATGAAATGTATTACACAGTGAGATGGTCATTGATATTCTTCTGATTAGGTAAACAAATGGTTGATTGATTGATTAAGAGATTCAATTCTAATCTAAATTCTAATCTGAGTTTGGATTTTGTTTCCATATCAGTACCTATCTAAAAAGAAATTAAAAAAAGGTAAACAACTGATTGAATGGTATGTTAGAGGACATGAATCATGCAACTTAATAATTTAGGCATCAAATAGAAGGATTAGAGGAAAAGAACACAAAAAACACCTATTGTTAATTGAAGTCTTAACTTCATACTAATTTTGAATGTAAACATTTTAATATAATATATGTTTTACAATTTAGAATTACCTTTAACATCATCTAAATAGACATTGTTGACAAAACTGCTAGTTTTGTTGCTAGAAATGGACCTGAATTTGAAAACAGAATTCGACAAAATGAAGTTAACAATCCAAAGTTTAACTTTTTGAATGAAAATGATGCTTATCATGCCTATTATCAACACAAAGTTAAAGAATTTAAAGAAGGGAGAGGTAGATATATATTTTTTATTTGATATTTTTTTAACACTTCATACATTAATTTTCGACTTTGGCTCTAATTTTGCATTATAAACAAGTAAGGCAAGAATGTATGACTTTTCCATCAGAAAAAGAGGAAAGAATGATGAAATGAACTGGAGTTTTGAACTGTTAAGCTCTGTTGTGTATGATTTTATAAGGTATTTTTTTTTTTTGTTAGGTCAAGAGCCAGTGGCACCAAAGGTAAATTTTTTTTATTATATTGTTATTTCTTATAAAAAGTGAGATATATACGGGTACATTGTTAAGCCTACTTTTTACATTTAAAAATGTATGTGTAGAGCTGTAGCATTGCACATGTAGGGTATGCTTTGTTTCCAATTTCTTATGTTCCATTTAATAATTTGAGTCTTCTTAATAAAATGAATGAAAGGCAGATGCCTGTTCCCTAATCCTTCTCATTATTTACTTTTAAATTTTAGCCTGGATTTCAATCATTGGCCAGACAGCCACAAGAACAAAGTATCAGTAAGATATCTGAAGTATTTGTTCCTAAAGATCCCCCTGCAGAGTTTGAGTTTATTGTTGACCCACCATCTATATCAGCTTATGATCTGTAAGTAATAGTTTGGTGAAAAAATGGAATAAATCAAATAAAAATGGAAATCACAAGTCAGCTTATCTATTGTTATGTTATCCCAATTTATAAGACTTACAAGCTGTAACATTAAGGTAAAATGTATGACAATGTTCTGACTTACTTCTTGTGGAAACAGAATAATTAGAAGTTGTTGACTATCTTTATTGTGTAGAGCTTGTCAGGTATTGTGTGGTACATTGTCTTGAAGTCAGACAGACCTTATAAGGAAGTATCCTGTTGAAAATACCTCAGAAATCAATAAGCTTATTTTAAGCTTGTATTATATATGCATTAATGTATGATAATTATTTGTCATGACTGTGATTTGTATTTTACAGTGATGTTGTAAAATTAACAGCACAGTTTGTGGCTCGAAATGGTCGTCAGTTTTTAACAACAGTGATGCAGAGAGAACAGAGAAATTATTTATTTGATTTTCTTAGACCACAACATAGTTTGTTTAATTACTTTACCAAACTTGTAGAACAGTATACTAAGGTTAGTTTCTTATGATAATACATTTGTTTCACTGGGGCAAAGTCTAGCAGCCCTAAATTTTCTAGTTTGAATTCAAGGGGAAATCCTGAAAAAGCCATCCATTTTTATGGCAGTTCCTATAATTTTTTGTATAATTACTCAAGTGAGGATTGTTGTACATAGTCAATAAGATTGATTGAATGGAATGACTTCAGATGCAAGCAAATCTAACCTGATTACACATGTAATCTATTGTCTTTTTTTCCTTACAGATTTTGATTCCACCAAAGAATCTTCGTGAGAAGTTAGCTAAAGATTGTGAATCATATAAAACATGTTTAGATCAAGTTAAATACAGGGTGGAATGGGCTAAACATCAAGACAGAGAGAAGAGGAAAGAAGAAGAAGCACAAGAAAAGGAAAGAGGTATACAACTTTTAAGAAGTACTGACAGGTTATTGTCCATGAGGCATACTGTTAAGTAAAATATGAAGATTTCGCATAGTAGACAAGCTGTACTATATATCTGAAAGCTTATGATCTTGAAATCCTTCTCCATGTACTTATTCTGTTAATCCTTTACATTCCAGTTGCTTATGCCTCAGTAGATTGGCATGATTTCGTGGTGGTAGAAACAGTTGATTTTCAACCTAATGAACAAGGTAAGTCTGTCTTTTAACACAATGTTATCATGTAGTTATCTATCAATAATTTCAATGTATTGTATTTCATACTAGAAAAGCCAAAATACTCTGTATGTGTATGCCTGGTAATTATATGTATTTTCATGTTTGTAGGTAATTTACCACCACCAACAACTCCTGATGAAGTTGGTGCTAGAATGTTAGCACAAGAAAGACTTTCCAAAAAGGTAAATCTTGATTTATGATCTTGTCTATCATTATTAAGATTATCTACTTAATGCTTATTTTCAATCAGAATTAAAGCACATTGTTATATGTTACAAATATTATTATGGAAGGTAGCAAATTCAACATCGAACCCTGAAGACACTTTGTTGATCTCATTATTACTTTGATTGATCTTGATTAAGTGATATGAAAACATGGACATGGTTTTTATATTGTAGTTATGGATTTATTTATTTTCAGGCTGTAGATCCTGATGAGATGGATGTAGAATCTGATGATGAATCAGAACCTGGTAGTCCAACACCAGAGGAACCAGCACCACCTAAACTTCCACCTCCTCCTAAAGATAACAGACAATTACAGGTAGGTATCTTTAGTGAAATCTTTGTAAACAAAAGGTTTTCTTGTCCTGTGGCTTATTATAATCTTTGGAGTGTACCATTTTTGTATAGTGGAACCACATCAATGTTAGATTCCAAAACTGCCATGCAACATGTTATGAATACTGATATTTTCATTTTACTTTGTAGGATATGGATGAAGAATCAGATGATGAGATGCATGCTCAAAGAAGATCTAATGCACCTCCTCCCCCTCCCCCACCACCATCAGATGTTCCTCCCATGCCTCCAACACCTGGTAATGTTATTATCAAGAAGAACTATGATCCTAAAGGTATGTTTATTGTATTTGGTATCTTACAAGAACAGAAACGATCATAAGGGTTGTACAAGACGAAATGATGATTGAAAGTTATGTTATATACATTTTGTTATCAATTTTGATTATTGTTTGTTAATAGCTAAGAAACAGGGAAATATTGGAATAGCAAGTTCAAAAAGCTCTTGCTGTACAATATTAGTTGCTTTGAATGCACTGAATGTTAGCTAAAATATTAATTGTATATTGTGATGTTTTAGCTCGAGCTGTGGTGACTGAACAACCATCAGATCAGTTTATGATATCACCTATTACTGGAGAGAAGGTACCTACAGATAAGGTTCCTGAACATATGAGAATTGGTAGGTTATTTTTTCTCAAAATTCACCATAGTTATATTTCTAAGACATCAATCAATAGTAATAATTTTAAGCACTTGAAAAGTACAAATTAAATCCATCAGAGATTCCAAAGGAATCGGCTAAGCAAGCAAAAATCTCAGTAGTTATTTTACTGTGATCATTGTTTTTGAGTCTAAAAATGGCTCCCATTTGTTTAAATTACCAATATGTAGATGTTTAGAAATACTGATTTTGTTTTTTAATGTGTATCTGTGTATTCAAAAATAAATGTCTATGAATTATCTAATACTTTCATGAAATTGACAGGTTTGTTGAATCCTAAGTGGATAGAAGATAGACAGAGAACATTAGAAGAAAAGAGAGAACAAGAGGAAGTATATGCTGCAGGATCATCTATTGATATTAATTTGAAACAACTGGCTGAAAGACGTACTGATATTTTTGGTGTGGGTACAGAAGAAACGCAGATTGGTAAAAAGGTAAATCAAATTTGGATTGAAATTCATTAAGTTTATTAGCTCATTCAGATTCATAATATCAATAAATCTTGGTTATGGTGTATCATTTGGGACTGTATGTGAAAATTTGATTGAAATTCCACAATTTACCTCCGATATTGTTGTTTTAGATTGGTGAAGAAGAACAGAAAGATAGAAAGATTGTATGGGATGGACATACAGCTAGTATGGAGAAAGTCTCACAGAAAGCTCGTGAAAATATCTCTATTGAAGAACAGATTGCTACTATACATAAAGTTAAAGGTCTATTGTAAGTAAATGTTTGTATAAATAACTGTATTCAAGTAAGCAGAAAATGATGGATGAAATGCCTGGTGGATCAAGCACTCTAAACCAATAATCATGGTTTGTTTGATGTCTGCAGTTAGTCTTTCATTTTATTCATCCATACCTCTATCTAATGTATTTTCTTTAAAACATTTCTAATATCTGTCCATGATGGTCATGTAATACATTTTTTATCTACTTCTTATTCCAGACCTGATGAAGAGAAAGAAAAGATTGGACCAGCAATGCCTAAAAATGCTCCTCCTCTTCCTAAATCTAGACCTCCCCCACCATCTTCACAGCCTCCTCCTTTAAATCCTCCCCCTCAATCTCGACCTCCTCTTCCTCCTCAACCACCACTGATGGCAGCTCAACCTTTGATGCAGCCTAATTTGATGGTACTTCAACAGAGACCTCCTATGCCTATTATAGGTAGGTTTTGTCTTATATATAATCTTCTATTTGTTTATCCTTTTATTCTCATGAACAGTGACACAGATTAACCAGTTTAAGTCATGAATGATCATAGCTTATGAGCTTTAAGTTAGTCTTAGCTGCATGCAATATAAGGTGCAATGTATGATTGAATATGCTATTTTTCAAGTATGAAATAGATGATTAGATGTGCATTACTTTAGTATTGTTTTGACGCATGATTATTAATGGTACTCCAGGTATTCCAGCACCACCACCACTTGTTAGACAACCAATGAGTATTCCAACTCCACAACGATTCACTAGACCAACAGCTCCTGTACCCAATCCTAAAAAAGCATCTGATGATGAACCTCCTAACAAGAAGGCTAAGACTGAAGATAATTTGATCCCAGAGGATGTTTTCTTAAAGAGGAATAAGGTGGGTTCTAGTATCTATTTTACACTGGATAGAGGTTAGCTGTGACTTTAGACTTTGTACTCAACAATTTACTTGTTTGTGGTGTACAGAAAAGGACATCTCTTTCAATTATTTATCCCCAACTTTAAACCAATGTAACTTTAGAAATCTTATTTAGATGTTAACTTATTTTTCTCTTGTTCAATGTTGTATTTTCAGGGTCCTGTCAAGATATCTGTATCGGTACCTAATGTATCAGATAAACCAGAATGGTCTCTTAATGGACAGAAATTAGATTTCACATTACCACTCACTGATTCTGTAAGTTTTTCACCTATAGTGTATTTTTGTAGTAATTATCTGTAGTTTGGTTGTTGTTATGCATTCAACTATGGATATTTTTTGGAAGTGTGCATTTTTGGTATTTTGACTACTTAAAAGATCTGACCTGAAAGTTGATTTAATATTTTATTAAATACATGTGTCAGCTTACAGTATATGTATTTGTTATACCTCAAGCCAATGTTAACTCTGTAATTCTGTAAGGAATATCATTAAAATAACCTATGTTTTACTGGGTTCATTTTTTCTATAGGTATCTGTTATTAAAGCTAAGTTAAATGAAGCTTTAGGTATGCCAGCTGGTAAACAGAAATTACAATTTGATGTAAGTATATTGGTTTAAAGAAAATATTTGATATAAGAATTACTCCCACAGTGTTTTTAATGTAAAACTTGTCATCTTGCATCAAATCATCATTTTTGCAAGAATTATTGTTAAGCTATAATTCCTTTGAAGCCGAACTCTGTTTAAACAGAAAGTAAAAATATTTGCTGTAAATTATTAACAGGCTTTATATTACAATTGTGTTACAAACACTATATATATTTATTTGATACATTCAGGGTATATTTATCAAAGACTCCAACACACTGGCATTTTATAATTTTACTAATGGTGCTGTGGTTGATTTACAAGTAAAAGAAAGAGGAGGTAGAAAGAAATAAATAGAAGAGAGTCTGTACAGTTGTATATATTATAATATACATATTTGTTATTCATCATCAGTTCAACTATTGATTAAGGTTTAATTGTCTATCAAATTTACAAACAAAGGTTATGGTTAGAATCAGATATCCATGGTTATATATTCATCATCAGAAAAGACAGAAAAGATAATTTGGTCTTGACGATGTTACTGTGCATGTTACAGTGAATTTGCATTTTAATTAGATATCATTATCATACAATGGTGTAACCTATTTTCGTGGATATAAGGATTCAACACCGAATTTCGTCAAAGTTAAAAAAAAGGAATTATTTTTTTATGTCTTAGATGTTTCCTCAGATATTCTACAAAATAATTAAAATTGGTTTGTTTCGATTTTCTTCATGAATCCCCCACTTAGACCAATATTTCATGAGCAACCAACTCGACAACGGCGGCAAAAATGCGACAATGTTTGATCTATAAATAAGTCGAGAAAACACGTTTTATGGATACCCAGTGGTATATTTAACTTCTCTTAGTATTTATCTTTAATATCAATTCATTATAACTAGTGACTGACTACGAACCACGATTTTAAAAAAAACAGTGACTGACAAACTAAGATACGTAGTATGATTTATTGCTTAAAGTCATTGACTTCACGTGACTTCATTCGTTGGAATATATTCTAGCAGACGACACTTGGAATTCCGATTACAGCTAGGGGAAATTCGGCCGATAAAAAATTGTGACGTTTGGTCATACCAAACGGGTTGGTAATAACTGAAATCCGCCAATTTGTATTTGTCAAAGTATACATTAATACATTTTACCTTGCTTGAAACTACTGATTTCATTCTACTAGTTGACATGGTACAGATAACCCATGTTTATTAAAACAAGCAAATGTGGAGGTCACGTGAGATCGCACGGAGATGCACGAAAAATAGGTTAGCACGAAATTAGGTTACTTGACTGTATTGTATCTAGAGCCATGCTATAATCTAATCTAAATAATCTGTTCATCATTGATCATCTCAAAACTCATGTAAGATTGATTGATCCTTAATTATAAAGAATCAGGAAATCAGAATTCACAAGTTTTTTTTTTTATGTCAAAACACCTTTTTGTAAATCAGGGATTTTATAATATTCCTTTATCTTGTGACCGGGAGCCGCGGTGGCTCAGTGAGTTAGACGCTTGCTCGCTAACCTGAAGGTCCAGGGTTCAATCCCGGCATAAGTCGAGATAATACCTTCGGATTTTTCAACCCGGTTTCCCCCGGACATGGAAAAAGCGTCTAGTCGTTCGGATGGGACAATAAACCGAGGCCCCGTGTGCTACAGGCTGTGCACGTTAAAGATCCCTCGACAGTTGGAAACCGAAAAAGAGCAGGCTAATGCCGCTGTCCTGGCAAAATTTCCCTCTTCATTAGTCCACATGGTGCAGAAAAGTAGGACGTAAAACTCCATTCATTTCATTTCATTTTTATCTTGTGACCTGATGTCCCTTTGTCAGTGAAGCAGATCAGAGTGACTGACATGGAAAAAGTGTTTAGTCGTTTGGATGGAACAGTAAACAGTGTGCTACAAGTTTTGTATGTTATAGATCACTTGAGACATGGAATTCAAAAGAGTGTTTGCTAGTGCTCCTGTCCTGGCAAAATTTCCCTTATTGCACACATTTTATTAGTTTTTATTGCCCAATCATGTGAAAAGTAGGACGTAAAACTCCATATATTTCATTTTTTCTGCTATTTCTCATTGTTTATTCTTTTTGAACAACATGCTTCAAAACTGTTTCATTTCACATGTCATACTTGATTAAGTTCTTATAATAAAGTAGAGATCAATATGTGCGTATAGGAATTATTAAACCAGAAAAAACAGCCATTTTCTTCCATTATGGCATTATATATTATGGCCTTTTCGCTCTTCATCCCCTGTGTCCATTAGCCAAATCACATACAGAAATTTAAGATTTAAACACCATTTTATTTCATTTCATATTTCTTTCTAAAATAAATACCTAAAAATAAGATGAATTGGTCGTATTTTACACTTGAAAGCATTTCTGATGTTCAAAATATGTTGTTGTTATGCCATTCCTTTTTTAAGGCTTAATGTTTTTTCGATTGATAGCATTTTTGTTTTAGTGCTGCTTGGTTGGTAACTGTCTCTAGTAAACAATAGAATAAATTTCTTCATCATGAATTATCAAAACTAGTTTGTGTAATGAGAAACATTTATACGCCCAAGTGAAATGTGGGGGTATATTTTGGCGTCATGTCCGTCGGTCTGTCAGACACAATGGTTCCGTCTTTCTATTTACAATTGCTCATAGATACTCTAGAAGAAAGAATTATTGATGGATTTTGTTGAAACTTATTGAAACTTCGGAACCACTCAATTAAAGATCATGAACACATTGGAAAGTACTTGATGTATTTTGATTTATGAAAAAAAAAATCGTATAATATTGAACATGAGTTTTATTTAAAACGCCGTTAAGGTTTAAGCTCGTTAACACTCTAGAAGACAGACTTAGATGAAACTTGGACAAGGACAAACCATATCGAAAATCAAAAACAGAAATCAACATTGGAAATATTTAATTTGATCTTTTGTCCTATTTTTCTAATGCCTCCGCCAAATACGCCACAAGCTAGGATTAGAAAAAGGACAAAAGATCAATGACCCTCGGGACAAAAAAATAACTTTAGATTTACTCTGCACCCTACCTATTAGATAATTTTCCAGGTGTGAAAACTCTACAAGACAGAGTTTGTGATGGATATGAAAGAAATTGTTAATTATCACTAGAGGGAAGAGTATTTGGGTCAATTTGCAAATGTCACCGAACAACCTTCTCAATGCCCTGATCAGATGTGAAGCTTAATAATGGTGCCGTGCATGTCCAACATCGTCGGTCCGTCCACAATAGCTTGTTAACTCTCTAAAAGTCACCATTATTGACAAATCTTGACAAAAGTGTGAGTGCTTATTATCAATCAATGAAAAATATTAGGCCTAAGTATGAGTTGTTGTCCTTGTTTTTGAACATAATTTAAGGCGAAGCCGAATAGAAATATTTATGAAAACTCATTTTTATACGCCCACACGTAAGTATGATCTTTTGTATGTGTGTCAATATCATTATGAAGATGTGCACTATTGAATTTGGTGATGATCCAATGATTTTCTTCAGAGAAATCGCATAAAACTCTGATATCGCCTTGGTTCGTCCGTTCACATTTACCTCGTGCTCACTCTATACAGGCTACAATTCTCTATAGATTCTTTTTATCTTTTGTATGTGTGTCAATATCATTATGAAGATGTGCACTATTGAATTTGGTGATGATCCAATGATTTTCTTCAGAGATATCGCATAAAACTCTGATTTCGCCTTGGTGCGTCCGTTCACATTTACCTCGTGCTCACTCTACAGGCTACAATTCTTTATAGATTCTTTTGATCTTTTGTATGTGTGTCAATATCATTATGAAGATGTGCACTATTGAATTTGGTGATGATCCAATGATTTTCTTCAGAGATATCGCACAAAACTCTGATTTCGCGTTCGTTTTTCTTTACTTTTTTGCCTTGTGCTCACTCCACAAGCCACGATTCTCCATACATTCTTTTGATCTTTTGTATGTGTGTCAATATTATCATGAAGATGTGCACTATTCAATTTGGTGATGATCCGATGATTTTCTTTAGAGATATCGCATAAAACTCTGATATCGCGTTCGTTTTTTTTTCACTTATTTTGCTCGTGCCCGCCCTAAAGACTACAATTCTCCAAGGATTCTTTTGATCTTTTGTATGTGTGTCAATATCATTATGAAGATGTGCACTATTGAATTTGGTGATGATCCAATGATTTTCTTGAGAGATATCGCATAAAATTCTGATATCACGTTTGTTTTTTTTTTCTCACTTTTTTGACACGTGCTGTTTGACTCATATTTTGGTCTCTTATGCCTATGCCATAAGGTGTGATAATCAATGACATAATGAATCTTTCTGCTGAATGGGAGCAACGAAACCTCTTATCTCTAGGAGTTACATGTTTCAGATATTGAAGGTTGAGTCATGCGAGTAAAATTAATTTCAATGTCGTCATAATGGCTGGCTATTTAAAACAATTTTCGTACATTATGCATATCTATTTTGAGTTAAAACTGCTGTTCAGCACATGGAAATCAAAAAATAAAGAATAAACATTTGACATCTACAGTAGATTTATTAGAAAAAATTCATTTCCTAGTTGCCTCCAGTTAAAGCACTAGTAAGATGGTTAAGTGCTACACTACCGGCATTCTTGGCGGTTTCAACAGCTTTTTGGATGGTGGGTTGAGCGTTCTTGAAGGTTTGACCTGAAAAAGAGATCAGCCAATTCAAGTTTCATGTCCACCCACATTTTACGAAGTTACCGAATAAGCTAGATGGAATGTTAAAAGAAAGATGCAATTGTCTAATTTAAATGGCTTTCAAGCAAAATCTTTTAAGAGAAATCTTACCTAAGATATCTGTAACCGCATCAGTAAGAGCGCTGATGGCGTTCTTTCCATGTCCCAAAAGTGTGGTTCCAGCATTTTTCAAGGTATCGATGTGGGTGCTGAGTTTACCTTTCAAAGCATCAATGCTTGGTTTAATGGCACCAAGAAGGGTAGATCCAACATTCTTGAGGGCATTTCCAATATTGGCGATGTGCTGCAAAAGAAAATCAGTACCTTGTTTATTAACCTTATCCACAAGCTTATGTTAGATGACGATGAGAACATAGCCTCATATATTAAAAGCACTGGCTTTACAAAGTAAGGCTTGTCTCCGACTGTCTCATACAAACTTATTTATGTATGTTGGTAGTCTAATGGGAAATAGTTTAAAGTTTCCTTACTTGGGTAACAGTGCTGATGAATGGAGTAAATTGTCCAGCGATTTGAGATCCAATGGTCTTCAATTGATCGACAACAGCACCTCTCTTGTGGTGAGATAAAGCCCCGATGATGTGTTGAGCAGCATCAGTTAACAGTTGAGCTGGCTTTTCAGCCAATTCCTTCATGATTGTTCCTTGGAGGATTCCGTGGCTTGCTGCAAACAAAACGCTACTATTATAAGTAGTCTTGTACTTTTACAAATATTAACATACAGTTTATTTTTCCGGAATAGCAAAAATTGCTCGTATGAACTTCATGTCAAAGTGTGTACATTTTTGAAAGTCAGGTTACTGATTTTATGCTTCCCTGTCAGTTTTCTCCAAACAATGTTCACAATCAGTTAAGATTTGGGGGGAAACTTAAAATACTCACAGACAATTCCTTCAATATCACTAATGAGTGAAGCAAGGCTGAGGTGGGTAAGATCTTGAAGGTGAAATTTCTTAGCAACTTCTCCCAATCTGGTCAAGGCATTTTGGAAGAGACCCTTAACGGTGTCAAGAACGTTGTGGATGGTATCTTTTCCTTTGGAGACAAATTGTTGGAGTTGTTGCATGAGACTGTCAAAAATAAATTCAATAAACATCACTAGAATCATGTCACCGTCATTATAATTCCATTTGTCTAGTTTCATTTTTCTGTTTTAAAGGGTTGTAGGTTCACTAACATTTTATGTGTCATTTATGGCTTCTATGTTATGACAGCATTCTATTTTATCTTGCAGATTTCTGTGGCAACCGCACGAGACAAAGCTGCCTAATGAAACGCTTAGAGTGGAATTGCAAGAACTACAGTTGTCTGAGTGGATATTGGAATCGTGCATATCGATGCTATCGGTATTCCCCATGCACATAAAAGATTTTAGTAAACTTATGTTAAATTAAAAAGAGTCGACAATTTTCAATGTAGAGAAATTAGAAGAAACAATAAATAAACTTACTCTGTATTTCTAGTAGCTGGAGCATTAGTAGTACCAGTACCTCCACCGCCTAAAGATCCCAGAAGAGCTATAAATAAATCGCAAAAGATTATAAAAGATACAATTATAGTCCGTTAGCAGTTCAAAATTCGCCACTATATAAATTTCCCAGGAATAGTTCACCAAACATTGATATCCTGAAGATGACAATGTAGATTGTTGAAACGTCGTGTGTAATAAAACTAAGGAGTAGTATACCATAAAATTGTGTTCCGTTATTTAATATAATATCTAATAGTGTGGAGCATTATATATTTTCTAACACAAACCTTGAGCCCCTTTAGACAGTAATTGCGATCCAGTGGTCTTTAAACCATCAACCAAGTGACCGGCAGCTTCAGAAATAATAGGTGTTACTTGATGGAGGACATTGCTGAATGTTCCAGAGATGCTTTTGAATGTGCTCCTCAGTTCATCTAAGAAACCAGCATTGGCGGCTCCAGAGAGAAGAAGAACGAGGGAAAGTGCGACGAAGGCCTTCATTGCTATTTCTGAAAAAGGGAAAGTAATATGAACAGATATTGAAACTGTACTTGGCTATGATGTTTTTTTCTTCATCATCAGATGTCCATTTGTGCTCTGTTATGATTCAATTTAGATTATTATTCCGACTCTGAATAAAATACAGAACAATCCTATTAAGATCGAAACCAACTCAACACCAAAGTTAAGAATTGTTACCTTGTTTACGATTGTAGATTCTTTGAAACAATGAGGATCACTGTTTGGCTTCCTCTTTTATTGCAGTTGATCGTGCTTCGTGTGCTCAACATATGACGATTTCTTACGTATTTTTTTTCTGAAATGTATGTTTTTTTCTGATAATGCGACTGAAATAACTTTACCTATGTCAGTGAATTAAAGATGAATACCCCTCAATCCTGTAAACTCATCTGGAATATCTTTTGTTCCTGATGCATTGACAAACAGTTTCCAAGTTACTGACCTTGACTAAGTAAAAACCAACGAGCTTTCATTAAACCTCCTTGGTAAAAACTATTCCCGTTTTCAATGAGAGCGATGAATGACAAAAATAATCTACAACCCTGGTTTCGAAACTGAGGTTCAAGCAACTCAAGGGGTATCAGATCAGCTACGTAGACGATATAGGAAATATCTTGTTTCATAATTCATTTACTAGTTAGTGATACAAACATTCTTCTTGCTTTTTAGTCGATGTTTTGAACCGTGGTCAGAATAGTTTTTCCCCATTTAAACTTTCAATGAACTTCAAGTTCATTATGTTGCTTATTGCACAAAGTTTCGGGTAAAGGGGACGCCAACTGGTCGGGAGCAAATCAGCATTTTTGATAAAGTGACAGCTGTTTCTGATAAAGACATATACTGCATGTTATCTTATCAGAAGCCATATTTTTGTGCAATTTCATGTCTGTGACATTCTTCTGGTGGTAGACCTTCATCCAGGTAAGAGGGAATCTAATTTTCAACAGTAGTGGATGCTTCCTCGACATTCTTGACATTCCAAACACAGAGTACGATATGATGAGAGTCATGACCCGCTCCACGAGAGGTCTTTAACAACATTTCCGGTTAACACTACTCGGTTGTATAACATTGTGATGACTGATCGACGATTGAACACTCGACAACAAGAATGACAAAAGTTTCTGACTCAGATTCACACTTCAGCAACTCCGAGGAAGTGCATAGGTACAGTAGGCAATGGCGTAAACTTTGCACTGTATCGAAGTTTAATAAATTATACACCAATAATACCATGAAAAACTATTCACACAATAATACTAATTTCACATACATTCATATTAATAAGAAGTGTAATTTCAGGTGCGTCCATAAAATAGTATTGACTGAAAATCTCTAATAGTTAGTTGATTGAAACAAACTATTACCATAAACAAGTACACTCATTTAATAAATCATAGACATAACTGCAACTGTCATGTTGCACTTTTTCTAATAATAATGACATCATTTTCACTGTTAATCGCTTTTTTCTATGGTGGATGGAAAAAATATTTTATTGACCTACACCAAAACCATGCATCTTCGCTGGTAAAAGTGTGTAAACCTGGAAAGGGACTTTATAGAGAAATATATAAAAACCATCGACCCTGTATGAGTCTTTCAAAGTAAGGCTTAGAACGTTTCAGTCAAACCACGTAATGTGAGACATGGTGATTGGATGCCTAATAATGGTTCACTTTAATAGAAAGAAAATATAGTAGTATAGTTATACATACGTCTTATACAGGTCATTTCTTGAACACCACTTCAGCATCACTAGTAAGCAACAACCATTATTTTTAAAAAGGCTCCATGTTTTATTTTGGTTACTGCCATCAAACTTTTTAACAAGAAATTCATCAACGCAGTATAAATTTTTTTTTATGATTTTCATTCTAAAATATCATCTAGGTCAAATTAAATTAATTATCTTAAAAAAGGTTCGTTTTTACTATCTTTTGAAAGGCACATTTTCACCATATGTTTATCGATCATACACACTACAGATAGCCTACTTTATTAGGCCCAGAAAAGTCACTGTATTGTTTTTAATAATAATAGTTTCAACACTGGAAAACTTCCATACTTACTGTCTGTCTTCAATCGTTACATATTTAAACTCTGATTTCAATGTTTACAGAATCGAATTTGGTCCATTATTTTCGTTTGACTTTAAATATCAAATACAAAATACTACTGAAAGTCTTAGATTGTGTTTGGGTTCATGAAAATGCCAACCACGGGAAAAGATACGAAAAGTGGGTCTTTTTTGGGGTCTTTAAAACTTTGATAAACTTAAAAATTCAATATTGTCAGAGAGTAGATTAACTTGCATATAATGCATGATACGATACCATAAAAGCAACCATTGATGTACGTAAAATATAGGGATGAATTTACCAAAAACTCTTCTACGGCTTGGTACCGATTTCCATCATAAAAAACATCAACTTCAATGACTATTGGTGCCGTCTATAAATGTCTTTTTAGACATATCTATAAATTAATCACGATGCTTTTTACCGGGATCTCAGCTGAAATGCACAGGTCTCTTATTCTAACCATTTGGACTCTTCGTACTCCTTTTTATACGCCCACACGTAAGATGGGCGTATATTGTAATCACCCTGTCGGTCCGTCCGTCCGTTCACATTTGGCTCGTGCTCACTCTATAGGCTACAGTTCTTTATGGATTCTTTTGATTTTTATTTTGTATGTCAATGATGAAGATGATCCCTATTGATTTTCGTGATGATCGGATAATTTTTCACCGAAATATCGTGTCTGACTTGACGTTTTTCTCTATTAGCTATATTGTGCAACTCGTGCTCACTCTATACAGGCTACAATGTTTTACAGATTCTTTTGATTTTTATTTTGTGTGTCAATGTCATTATGAAGATGATCCCTATTGATTTTCATGATTATCGGATAATTTTTCACCGAAATATCGTGTCTGACCTGAAATTTTACTCTATTAGCTATATTGTGCAACTCGTGCTCACTCTACAGGCTACAATTGTTTACAGATTCTTTTGATTTTTATTTTGTATGTCAATGTCATTATGAAGATGATCCCTATCGATTTTCGCGATGATCGGATAATATTTCACCGAAATATCGTGTCTGACTTGACGTTTTACTCTATTAGCTATATCGTGCAATCCTGTAGTCACTAAAGACTGTTTAATCATTTCTGACAGCTGCCAGTGGGCGTATGTTACCTTGCCTGGCAAACTATCTATACACTTTCACAACCAAGACACACAATCAAAAGGGTCATTACCACATTCACAGTGCATGTATATGAATTATTCATACACATAAAGCTACCTTACCGCTCATTTTATAACAAGCTACAAAAGGCTACTCACACATGCCTTGTGATGGTTGGTATTACCTTAGACAAGCATGTTTAGTTAGAGAGTCTATGGTTTCCAAGCATATTTACTGTGAAATATTCCACCACGCAATAGTCCCATAGTTGCATAGAAAGTCGACTTATTATGCTTTACAAATTTACAAAGAGGTCAATGCATTTTTTAATTCATTATTTATTTACCATTCAAACAATTTTGTTTTAAGAGAATCGGCTCATAATCTCGTCAAATTTTAATACAATGCGTCTAGGAGGGCGACTAGTTATTAAATCATAGTCGGAGCCTGTGGATGGAGGAAAAGTTTTTTGAAACGACGCAAACTGTTTACAATACACATGAATAAGAACTTCTTTGGAATCCTTTCAAAACTTTTGAAAAATTCAGAAGCTCCAACTCAAGCCCATACATATAATGATGCAATTTGATTGAGATATAAATATATTCAGACATGCTTTGTATTATTTTTAGGAATATATTTCGTCCAATGACCACACTTATTCCACTTTTGATGATAAGATTGGCCATAATCGTGTCGTATTGCTAAAAAATATCTAAAAATAACACGATGATAAGGATAGTGGTGTATAAAAGGTTGATTGTAACCAGTATTGGACATTGCCTAGAAACACAGACAATCAGTAAGTATGGTAGCATAGTCTATATCTCATTCTTTAACCATTCTGTGTCCTTCTTCTTGAAGGTAACACGTAAGTTTCCAAAGATGCTTCCTGTCATTATGTAGAAGGAAGGCTAATGTGTTTTTGAAAGAATATGTACAAAGCCTTGAACAGATTGAAATAAATTCCTTGTGTTCTCTCACTTGCTATGAAATGCTATGATACTAGAGAATTCGAAATGGTCTTTTCCGGAATGACCTAATCTTTAATAGTAAACAACGAAGTTTTTAATTGATTTTTCATTTCAGTACATCAGAAACATGAAAGCTTTAGTTGCACTTACCCTTGTCTTGGTCCTTACCGGCGCCAATGCCGGTTTCTTGGATAAAATTCAAGAAACATTTGGACAAATCAAGAACACATTCGCAAACGTCTTCAAATCCATCACCCCAGTTCTTGGTCAAGCTGCTAACAACGTTTTATCTGAATTGAAGAAAGATGGTGCCTCGATTTTGTCATCAGGATTACAAGGTGAGTTTAAACCACATCCTAAAGGAGTAATCTCATTCATATACGCGTAATTTACGACATGCAATTCATATTGCACAATTTGAAAGCCAAATGCTCATACCTATCATATATACATAATATATTTGTATTGTTAATGTTTTGATTCTGTATGAATGTTTACCAAATACATTTTTCATATCTATTTTTTATAGCATTAACACATTCCGCTGGCAAAAGAGATCTTGCGTAAGTAGATTTTTTCAAGTTTCAAGCATTCATATAACGTGAAAGGCGCAAGGCATAACATTTGTAGCCTTTAGAGGAGCTTCTAGCTATTGTGCAATGTCAGACGAAAATAACAGTTTATACGTCACAGTTTTTTTGTTACAAAGATCATAACTATTATTAACTTCTAGAAATCAGATTTATCAATATTCTCACAGAAATAATATACAAAAAGCCACCAAAGTTCTAAATAATAAAGTTTAATAAGTTTTTAACAGTAACGAAATATTTCATCACAAAACGAATATATTTTCAGTATTCTCGATAAAGTTGGACAATTCATCCAAAAGGGAGAAAGCGCCATCGGTGATTTGAGCACCCTCATTGGAAACATCTTCAACAAAGCTTTAACCGAACTTACCCAAGTTGCTCAACATTTGGGAGAAGTTGAAATCTTCAACCTTCCATTATCTGACATCCTCCACAAAATTGACAACATTGTTGGTAAGCAAAACCTTCAGGTTTTACTGTTCTTGGGGGGACATAGCAATGCTATAGGGTCTAAGTAGCCTGACTATTCTGATCCTACCAGTTCCTCAGTCGCGACGATATCACATCCACATGTCACGTCTGAGGAACTGTGGTGATGAATAACATCATAATTATTCGAACAAGAGCATCTCCTCATGGCTACTCACTCACTTCAGAGACTTGTCATTCTACGGTTAATATTAAAACTCTATTACCGCGTTTTGACTTTTATAGCCAACCACAACATCCTCCAAGGAGGTATCTTGAAAACATTGATTGAACACCCAGCTGATATCTTATCTGAAGCCGTTCAACACATCATGGGAGCTTTGTCTCACCACAAGAGAAGTGGAGTCCTCGATTCCTTGAAGAGCATTGGATCTCAAATCGCTGGACAATTTACCCCATTCATCAATACTGTTACCCAAGTAAGTTACATTTACCAACAACTCTATTGGTCATTATTTCTCTCTGAATGAGTTAAGCATCGGACGTAGCAATTCTCATCGCTATTGTAATCAATTTAACCTTTTGTGTTTCCTAATCTAAATTACTGTGACACTTTCCCTTTTCCAGCACATCACCAACATCGGATCAGCTCTTAAGAATGTTGGATCTACCCTTCTTGGTGCCATTAAACCAAGCATTGATGCTTTGAAAGGTAAACTCAGCACCCACATCGATACCTTGAAAAATGTCGGAACCACACTTTTGGGACATGGAAAGAACGCCATCAGCGCTCTTACTGATGCTGTTACAGATATCTTAGGTAAGATTTTGGTTAGATTCTACTAATACAATATACAGAAATGAATTCAGTCAGTCCATAAATTATACACGTTACTAGAGAACAGAACTATCTTTAGGCATTTATTAACTTTCCAACATGGTCTTTGTACTATAGATAATAAATAGTATTACAATTTCTTCCTCGTTTCAGGTCAAACCTTCAAGAACGCCCAACCCACCATCCAAAAAGCTGTTGAAACCGCCAAGGATGCCGGTAGTGTTGCTATTAACCACCTCACCAGCACTTTGACTGGAGGACACTAAATGTCTGGACAAAGGTATTAAAAATAAAAATAAATAAATAAAAAAAATGCCGTTTTCTTTAACTCTGGACAATCGGCATCTTAGCAACTTGTTGTAAATTTGCCAAGACTTTAGTACATGGCCATTGGCTTAAAATAGAATAAAAATAGTCGTCCATTTCTTGAAAGAGGTTTTGATACAACAGACAGTTTTCCACAGATTTCTGACAAAAAATGAACATAAATATATTATCTTTATTTACAATAAAATTTATAATGCATACTATTATTCGATATTAAAATATTTTTGCTGTTAAAATAATGCTCATTACAACAATTATTGTAGAGCGATATAGAAATATTTTAACAGAACCTAACAACAACAAAATTTTTTGGTTCTGTTGCAACGCGATAGCGTAGTTGTTAGCCAACGTTTATTTATATAACTGGAACTGTAATGGTAGCTGTAAGCTATTTTCTTGATGTGTATCTCCTTGCAGAATGAAAGCAAGACTATTCTTACAAACTGTATAATCGTTTGTAAGAAACTGGACATGGAAATCTTTCTTCAATGGATACTAATAATAACAATATTAACACTTTATTTACAAATCACTAACTTAGAGTATAAACTGAATCGGGAGATACTACCTAAGTATTCCCTTCTTAATACTTATTACTTGTGAAAACTACTTAAGGCGTTAGGCTATTCTTTGTTAACCCGTGGAAATTAGTTTCGATGTAAGATTATACTAAACAATGCTACACTGTTATAATATAACAACAACATTTTTTTAGGTTCTGTTTTAATATTTCTACGTACTATTATACATAAATCAATCGCAGTTAGCTGTAGTCAGCAATCCAAAATTAAGGTCGATGCATATTCACAGTGATATTGGCTTCTTCAACGAGTTCTAACTGTTTTCAGTTCTAAATCTGTTCAGACAAAAGTGAGAAATATTTGGTACTGTCCAACCATGTAGTTGATATATCTTAAGGAGAAAAGATTGAATTCTAATATCAATTTCTTTATCACTTCCTAAACAAGTACAAAATTCTACCGTGTTTCATTCTAGAAGGTAAACCTCATATAGGGGCAGAAATAATAAATATTGATAATGTCAACTATTTAACCGGCCAATCAACACACTTCTAAATACGGTTTTGTGTTTTTAATATATACACACACAATCTCAGAATAAAACTTACCTAAGCTATCAGATATGTTCAATATGGCGGCATCAATTTCATTACTACCAGGTACAGAATAGTGCCTGTTAAATCTTTTTAAAATATTCTTACATTTCTTCTTCTTAATCTTTTCATCTATTGGTTCTATGAATGTTTTCACTTTCGTGTATTTTACCTAAAGCATAACTAAAATACACTATGAACGATAACATAATATACACATAAATGAGATTATATAAATGAGATTTTCTCTAACAAGTATACAAATAATTGATTGAAGATTCCAACAACCAAAGCCATAGCATCTAATGTGTGAATATCAGGCATTCTGTATCATTTGATCAAAGATTTTTCTCATACTGTGACAAAACGTTATTTACTTATTGTTATTTATTTGATTGAAATATTGTTACCAATCAATTAATTGAATGAAAAAGACAACATATATCCAATCTAAATAACCAGGTTTTAATCTGCAAGATTTTCCTTCATTTATGTGTGTAATAGTTACCTTTCCCTTCTTAGTCTTGTTCTTGTTTTTTGATGTTTTATCTATAACTGAAGTGGACAGTTGTCTCCAAGATTTGTCTCTAATAATACAGAACATTGTATCACGATGAGGTTTAGGTTGAAGTTTAAATGATGATTCTGGTAGAGTGATAGTTGACATACATGAATCAACATTATTATTACTATTATCTAAACATCTACGTGTACTGGGAATTCTAACGGAACACATGGTGTGGTGTGTGTCTGTTGAAGATCTGTAATCATCTCTTTTGGAGATCACGTCAGCTTTTGGTTCTTTGAGTTTTTCTTGTTCTTCTTTCGAATAATGAACGCCCATCTAAACAAGTACAAGTTATTTGGAAACTGATAGAAATAGTTTTTTCAGAATGAAAATAATTCCGAACTACAAACTACTATATGACCTTTTAGTGTGTTTGAAAAGCAACTACGTGCTTGCTATTTCGCAAATGTAAAGCTGTATATAACTTTACTTTAAATTTGGGCTTGCTGAACACTATAAATATCAGACAATTACCTGACTAAAATCCTTTTTTAGTTGACTGTCGTTAAGTTCAGCATCAGATGTTTGGACAAGATGTATAGATTCTTTCGCTGGTTTGACTTTTATCAGTTTAGTTCCTTTTGGACCAAATGTAACTTCAGTTGGCACCAACTTCTCCAGATCATTTTTCCATAGATCTAATGCTGGTTTGACTTGAATTACTCTAATATTTGCTGCTTTTGTTGATCCAGTGCCTAGTTCTAGTGTTTTTGTACATAGTTCTTGTGATCCACTACGTAGTTCTAGTGATCCTCTTCTTAGTTCTTGTGATCCACTACGTAGTTCTAGTGATCCTCTTCTTAGTTCTTGTGATCCACTACGTACTTCTAGTGATCCTCTTCTTAGTTCTTGTGATCCACTACGTAGTTCTTGTGATCCTCTTCTTAGTTCTTGTGATCCTCTTCGTAGTTCTTGTGATCCACTACGTAGTTCTTGTGATCCAGTGTGTACTTCTTGTGATCTACTACGAAGTTCTAGTGCTGTGGAACCTTGCTCTGGTGATCCAGTACGTGGTTCAAATGATTCGGTACCTTTTTTTAGTGATTCAGTTTTTGCTTCTGGTGATTCAGTTTTTGCTTGTGGTGGTCCAATTCCTTCTTCTGGTGATCTAGTTCGTGCTTGCAATGCTTCTGGACGTGATTCTAGTGATTCTTGGCGTGGTTCTAGCGATTCTAGTGATATTTGTGGTAAATCAAGATAACATGAAGACAATGGTAATCCTATTGGTTTATCTAGCTTCAGATTTTCAACAGAAAATTGTTGAGCCAGTTGTTGTATTGATGGTCTAAATAAATAATCTTCTCTTACTGATAATTTTGGTGAATAAACAAAGTGACTTTTCTCGATATTTCCTGGTAAATATGTTGCTGAATATCTGCTTCTTCTTTGTAAAGATTGTTTTCTGTATCGGTCATCCTTCCTCCCCCTTGTTTCACAACAAAAACACTGAGTAAAAATCCCAATTTTGAAAGAAATGTTTCACAAGTCATGAGCGTCTGGTTCTAACCGTTCCTTAATTAACAATAGAATAATAACGTTTCTTTATTATGACGTCATAATATGTGTCATGTTAATGTCGACTTGATAATACTTACACGAAATGTTTGTTTCAATAGTCAAATTATAATAATAGAAGTCATACAACTGCATAAAAAAATTAAATGAGGGTTATTTCACTTATTCGATATATAGCTTGTAAACATTAAAAAACTGGTTCACGCTGATGATGGTTGCCGTCAATCGAATGTTGCAATGTGAACAAATTGGCAATATGCCGATGTAGCCTTGCCTGGCAATGTCTTTTAACGCTGATGATGGTTGCCGTCAATCGAATGTTGCAATGTGAACAAATTGGCAATATGCCGAAGTAACCTTGCTTGGCAATGTCTTTTAACGCTGATGATGGTTACCGTCAATCGAATGTTGCAATGTGAACAAATTGGCAATATGCCGAAGTAACCTTGCCTGGCAATGTCTTTTAACGCTGATAATGGTTGCCGTCAATCGAATGTTGCAATGTGAGAAAATTGGCATTATGCCGACGTAGCCTTGCCTGGCAATGTCTTTTAACGCTGATAATGGTTGCCGTCAATCGAATGTTGCAATGTGAACAAATTGGCAATATGCCGAAGTAACCTTGCCTGGCAATGTCTTTTAACGCTGTTGATGGTTGCCGTCAATCGAATGTTGCAATGTGAACAAATTGGCAATATGCCCATGTAACCTTGCCTGGCAATGTCTTTTAACGCTGATGATGGTTGCCATCAATCGAGTGTTGCAATGTGAACAAATTCTATGAGTGTCCTAGTTTCGTTTCAGAAACCAGAGGATCCAAGAAACAAGTTGCTGTGAGTATCTTTTTATATCATTATCAAAATCTAAAATTATTGGTGGATCTGAAAACCTGATGTTCTCTTTCTATCTGAAAACAATGTCAATACATTTCTTTTTTTAATGCGATTTGTGCATAAATTAGCATACACATTTTCAAACATCATTGAGGTATCCACTAAATGCGACCAGATAAACCCCAACAATATAACGAAGATTAGCTTCATTAACGTTGCACGCAACCAACAAATAACTACCTGGTGTTTTCATGGAATAGTTTGAAGATCGTTTAACTGATAATGTGGTTACAAGCCAAACATTTCTTATAAAATTTTTTATTTCATATTATAAAATTGTCTACAATACAAAACATATCGTTTAGTTGCCTCCAGTCAAAGTGCTGGTAAGGTGGTTAAGAGCAACACTACCGGCATCCTTGGCGGTTTCAACAGCTTTTTGGATGGTTGGTTGAGCGTTCTTGAAGGTTTGACCTGAAACGATGAAGAACTAATTAGAAATAATTTTAACTATCAGAGATGTTCCCAATATTTGCCAATATTTGGTAACTTATCATAATTTATGGACTGACTGTAGTCATTTCTTTGTGTTGTATTATTAGAATCTAACCAAAATCTTACCTAAGATATCTGTAACAGCATCAGTAAGAGCGCTGATGGCGTTCTTTCCATGTCCCAAAAGTGTGGTTCCGACATTTTTCAAGGTATCGATGTGGGTGCTGAGTTTACCTTTCAAAGCATCAATGCTTGGTTTAATGGCACCAAGAAGGGTAGATCCAACATTCTTAAGGGCTGATCCGATATTGGTGATGTGCTGGAAAAATGGAAAGTGTCAAAGTAATTTAGATTAGGAAACATCAAAAATCAAATTGATTACAATACGTCAATAGTGGAAATATGATTGTCCAAATTCTAAATCCATTCACATTAATAATCACTAAGAGAGTATTTGGTAAATGTAACTTACTTGGGTAACAGTATTGATGAATGGGGTAAATTGTCCAGCGATTTGAGATCCAATGCTCTTCAAGGAATCAAGGACTGCACTTCTCTTGTGGTGAGACAAAGCTCCCATGACGTGTTGAACGGCTTCAGTTAAGATATCAGCTGGATGTTCAATCAATTGTTTCAAGATACTTCCTTGGAGGATGTTGTGGTTGGCTGTGAAAAACATAAGCTACGATTTAAAAATGATAAATTGAATTGAAAATTGTGATAAATCTGGCATTTTTTTCATATCAGTATTTTCACGAATGTGACATATATTTGTTATCTAAGGAACGGTTAATGTGTATTAGTTTCGGTAGAACTGTAGTATTTGAAAGATGGACACATCAGCTTTATAAATAAATGGATACGGTATGTAACTTACCAACGATGTTTTCGATTTTGCTGATGATATCGGATAAAGGTAAGTTGAAGATATGGACACTTCCGAGTTCTTGGGCAACTTTGGTAAGTCCAGTTAAAGCTTTGTTGAAAATGTTTCCAACGAGTTCACTGAGTTGACCAATAGCTTGTTCTCCCTTTTGGATAAATTGTCCAATTCTAGAAAAAACAGACGCATTTTTGCATGAACATTCGATACACAATACACACAAGGGTTTGTATCTGGTGATTCTTAAACAGTGTAAGGTTGTTTTTGTGGTAACTGAGACTATTGGAGATTGTCATCCTTATTTAAGTATTATTTAAAGACTTATTTTGTAAATGGTTTTGCTCAGGACGCTAATATTATACAGCACTAATCCTAAATGATCTATTTAAAATAATACTTACTCAAGATCTCTTTTGGAACTTCCAAGAGAACCAGCCAGAGCTGAAATGAATGATTTAAACTTCTGTCAGAAACTGATGCCATCGTGCTTCAGAATATCTTCTTGGGTATAAGTCTACTCCTGAATTATTATTTCCTAGATTTAAAAACCTTAGAAATATACTGTTAGTGTTCGTGTATCTGAAAGCCTGATCCAGTTGGAAAATCATATTTTCTCGGTTTTTATGATCATTTGATGAACAATATTGAACTAAAGAAAATTACCTGATACACCTTTAGATAAAATCAATGATCCATCTTTTTTCAGTTCACCAAGAATGTTAGTGGCAGCTTGACCAAGTGCTGGGGCAATTGAGGTATAGACTTTAGAGATATTATCTTTGATGGAAGAAAATACGTTATGGAGACTATCCAAGAAACCAGCATTGGCTGTGCTGAGGGCCAAGACGAGGGTTAATGCTACTAAGGCTTTCATTTTTACCTGAAAATGAAAGAAAGGTTACTCTTAATTTCAACTGAATGACGCCCTAAAGAAACCATAATATGTTTCTTTCATGTTTTGCTCAGCATGCTAAGATTTAGATATACATTGTTTGAGTAGAGAGTGTTGACGCAATTAGGCTCATTCGATAATTTAGTTTCTGAATTTAAGACTAATTTTGGTAGAAGACATTCTACAATTAATCTATTAAAAGAGTATGGTATAAATCCCTTTTAAACCCAGGCTTGTCATAATCTTAAAGACTCTGAACATCACAGTACATATTTAAACAACCATAATACAATAAGCTACTTACTGATTGTCTGTTGATGGAGGCAATGGACTTGGTTTAACTTTCTGGTGTTTTTATACTTTCAGGGATCAAGAAAACGAGTATCTATTGCTATTTTTGGTATTAATCTTATCAACAGATTTTTTTTCTCAGACTTACAGGATTGTAATTGGATTGGCTAACTGGACAGTAAGATAAGTTTTTTGCCCAAATCATCCACCTCTATGACCTCGATTGATCGACATTTTTTGAAACACAAGCACAAAGTAACTAAAATATAACATCTACTATAGGAATACAACATTCAATAATTGAGAACAATTGACAGTTATTACATGTTTCTTTTGTTATTAATTTTATATTGACACAATTATATTATTTGATGGCAATCATTCCAAAAAAGGAAGAAAACAGAATCAGCTGTGTCGTACACATGCATATTTAATATAAGTAAAATGTATCAGAAATAGTCTTTAAAAGACAAACCTTTTGTCTTAATGTGGTATTCCATAAATTATAAGTGAGTATAAGTCACTCCCGGGTGACACCCATCCTATATGGTGAACTATTACATTATCCCTCTTTATCAATATTAAATGAGGAAGACAAATTTATCAACGACGTAGAATAAAGTTTTCTCTGAGGGGCCAAACATCAATCTGTTTCTTCTTAAATGATGAAATTAATTGTTTATTCACGTTCAAGGCAATAGATTTATCCCAAGTAAATAGATCCCTTACTTAAAGCGAACTGGTAAGACAGATATACTCTTGGACAATTAATATCGGATGAAGTCTAAACTGTAATACCTCAGTTTTACACTAAATTGACTGAAATTAGCTCCTTTCTTATGAAACTTACTCTTCAATACTTGACTAATCAAGCCATACTTTGTAGTATTATGCAATGATCAGGTCATGGAAAAACCCGGCGTAGCATCACAGATTAGAGTAGTGATTGCATAATAAATATCCACAAATGAAAGGGAAAACATGTTGTGTTCTGCAGTCAAGTCAAGTTTTTGTTTTAGAGAGAAATGTTCTTTAAATATTCATTAAGTGTTGGAAGAAATTAAAAGCCACACTATCGACTCGTTCAGGCTTAAAAAGAATACATTCAAAATGTATTAATGGGATTCATGGTCGTCTTTAAATTTTCTCACGCCACGTTCAATTATCCGAATAATTCAGATTAAAGTCAACCATCCACTAATTCTGCATTTTAACAGAAACGTGTGGAAGTTTAGACCTTCGGGATAAATGATAATAATTAGACGACTGTAGCCCTTACAATATATGTTTAAAGATGGATTTCACATTTATAAGAGTAAAATCAAGCAAACTATTTGATAATTGTTGTGTATAATGAATAATGCTTGTATCAGCTAAAGAAATGTCTGTAGAAGGCTTCGAAAATACAATAAACTCTAATCCGCTTAGAGAAGCGTATTCAAGCTATTTTTGAATTAATTGGCCATATTTTCTCTATTTTAATATAATAAGTCAAATCTATTTGAAAGTTAAAACTGGTTTAAATTAATTATCATATTTTTGCAAAATAAAATTCAAATATATAATGTCTTGTTACTGGAGATAATAAATGGAATACCAAAATACTAGAGTATCTGTTGCATAAAGTAAAAGTTTTAACTAATCATGAAAATCCATATCTGTACATAGACTGTATAATATGGCGGCCGACTGGTATTTTTCCAATCACTAGAAGACCTCAAGTTCAATTGTTATATGTATTGGCCTTCTAATAATCGAATAAATATATATTATATGAATAAATGGAAATAAGGAAATCCATCTTTAAGAACGCAAATTAATCACGTGCTTGTTGAACATAACGGTATCCTTGATAACTGTCTGTCAATAACATAGTTGTTATAACTACAGTTTGAATTATTGATACCATTATTTATTTCGCATTCCTCTTGTATATTTCCATGACAAGATTTAGGTGAACTTAGTTGTGTGATTTTTAAAACTGTCATGGAAAGTGATATTAAGAAAATTTGTTTCCGAGTGACACTGATTGCCACTATAATGACAAATATTCTATGTACAGATGTAATACAGGAACTTTCTGTACCGTTGGAGTTGTCTGTAACGTGGGATGTAGAAAGCACTGTGGTAGGCTATGCCTCTTTTGAAGTGATAGGAGTAGTAGGTTGTGCCAAAATTTGTTTCCAAAAACCGGAATGCCAGAGCTTCACACATTTCAAATCAACATTAAAATGTGAAATATTTGACCATAGTCTTCAGTCCAATAATCTTAGTACTTTAAAGATGTCTATTTATAGCGAGAAAATAAATTGGAATCAGGTATAAACTCTTTTTTACTAATCATCTTTTTAGTCCTCAGGAATATCAGTTTTTCACGTCGTATGAGCGTCCTATTTGCTTGATACTGTGATAAATCTAAGATTAAAAAATCAAATTGTTTTCCTTCTCACCCTATGTAATTCTTTATCTTGATATCATCACCGCATTCTTAAGGTCGGTATGCTAAATTGAGCACGACGAAAAAGAGGTCTGAATTCATCAACCTCCTTGACCATTTTGCGATTTCCGCCCAGGCAAATTTTCCAGCGGTCACAATGGATAATTTATCCGTTCAAATTCAGAAATCATGAGGGGATTTTTGTAGGTCAAAACTATATTTGCTCAAATTTATGAAAACTATCAAATGTGCAGAAATGTGTCCCGCAACTTATCTGAAAGTCTTAACTAAAAATGCTTTTTGATTGGTGATAGAAAACTACTGTTATGTCTTCTTTGTATTATGTAGGCTTCAACTACAAATATAAAGTCTTTATGAGGCCCAACACCAAAACTTATAGTTTAACAATTAGTACAATCCTCTTTTTATAAACAGTTTCAAAACAAATTCAGTTTGACCAAATAGATTTAGAAATATTTTCAGGTATGATTTACGACTTTTTGATAATGATCTTTAAAATGGTTCAAGACAAAACGCCGTGCCTAAATTTAAAGTATAAAACATGGTCAAATGTATTTTACATGCGAAAGTGTCGGATTTACAAGGTGCCCTGCCACAAGTATAGAATCTCAATATATCACAATAAATCCAAGTAACTAAAAAATTATTAAAAAACACGCCTCTAAGTATGTTTCAAAATTTCTAAGTTTAAAGAATTATTACTTAGTTTTATGGAGGTAAGTCCACTGATAAACAAAAATCTCATTTTAAGAAAGATTCAAAATTTCATTTTTTTGGTCATCCAAATATTTTTTAACCAATATTTATTCATAAATTAAAATTAAATTTTAGTGCTGGGTATTGCCAATCATGGCACGATACATATCTCGATGCAGTGGTTCCCATCCTTTTTCAGCCTTCACACCCCTGGAGCAATCATCTGGACCTTTTACACCCCCAAAAATTTGTTTCATCCACATTTCCAGCATGTGATGATGTGAGGTGCTCTCAATTCAAAATAAATTTTTCTCAAACACAGTTGACCACACCCCTGACAACCTAGCCCCACATTCCCAGGGGGGGGGGGGGGGGGGGCACCTCAGTTTGGGATCCAGAGCGATATGGTAATGGGACAAACAGTTTCTTCAAAGTATTAATAATTATTAAATAATAACTTTATTATGGTGATATTTGGTAAGTATTTGATAGGTTAATGTGCATCGTCTTGTAAATAGTTACTAACAATTTCAGTCAAGTCGTCGAGAACAATTCGTGATTCCATTCGCCGACTTAAAAAAAAAATCATCACATTTTATTGAATAAGAAGTATCGCAATATTATACACGTATCGTGGCATTTCGTATCGTGATACATTGATTCATCGATATATCGTGTCAGCACTAGTAAATCTAAGAAAAAAAGAGAAAAATCATATTTCATTCCCATACTAGTTATTCTTATCATTATCATTCTCACTATCAATTCTATACTAAAAGTCTATCTGTAAATTACGTTTAAGTTCGCATTGTCTTGAAATTCAAGCAGGGGGGTACTCCAGTGTCAACAGAGCATAAAGAATCTGTCATTTTTGTAATCAGCACGAAATAGAAGATGAGTACACCGAAAAACCAATCATTATTGTATACCATTATCATACGTTCCATCCCTATCTCCATCTTTATCATCCCTACCATTATCATACGTTTCTTCACCTTATTATCATCCTCACCATTATCATCACCATCATAATTACCTCTATCATTATCATCAAAATATATTCTAGTCATCTGACCAGTTATTAAGCCGACATTTCTAACCCCTGCAAGACACTCCTAAGGTTTTGGTAGGCTAATAACAACTGAGGCAATATGTAAGAAAGCAATATGTATTGCGGGAACTCTGATAGTATCACTTTACACCATTCCAATTTTCAGTCAGACGTCTGTGGTTCCTGCAATTTCGATAAAACTAAGTGTTTGATGACGTCACTAATCGCGAATGGCTATGTGATAAAGCATATTTTGAATTAATGACGTCATCAAACACTAAGTTTTGATTGAACTGCATGAACCATAGATGTCTGATCGAAAATTAATGGTGCAAATTGATGCTATCGCTGTCCCCGATACTCGTAGAATTTTTTTAGAAAACTCCTTTTACGATCCCTGTCAAGTAAAATACCAAAAGACATTCTAAGAAACTGCCAAATGTTTCAATAATTTAGTGAAATCATACACTAAGTTTGAAATAAGTATGAAAAAATACTAAATGATTAAATCATTAAGTGAAAATGAAGTACAAAATTCATAACACTGAAAAGCATTACAACTTGAACGTAAAGAAAAAGGCAAAGCACTTTTTACAGTACCGGTACACAACCTTAAGTAAATCATTGAAAAAATGTCCACAAATATGAAAAATTATGAAATACAGGGTGATTGAGTTTATTTTATCGCCTACTTAATAACACATATTGTAGACAGTATTTATTATTATATCGCCTGATCTCTAAAGACTTATAGTAACTTACAGCAAATCAGAGATTCTGATCGATGACCTGGCCTGTGCCCACCGATTACAAAAAATCGGCCTAGAAACTGGATCTGATCGTTGACAAACTAAACATAGGGGGTCTGTGTGGTGTTCTCCTTGTAACAATGAACAGAATGTGTGCTTTAGTCCTTGCGTTTAATAAATCCTCAGTTTCAGTTTCTGAAAGGTTAACTTTAATTTATATATATACGTCACCATACTAATATATAAAATGTTCATTATTTTTTTTAGGATTTATTTAGTGGTTGTAGTGAATTAAACTGTTCGCTTGGCTCATCGTGTTTTATTAAACAGGGCACTCCAACTTGTATTCCCACAGGTAATATCAACCTTAAAGAATTTCAGACAACAGAGCTAACAACTTTCATGATAAAGATTGTACAATGTTTAAGTCATAGGGCTATATTCTGCAGCAGAATTATTTGAGATCAGACGGCCTCTTGAAGAATGCCTGTTTGCAAGGTTATTTTATTAGTAAGGTAAGAACAAGACTCCATCTTACCAATTCGTGGTATCATGTTCTGAAATGGTGAATGAACATTGTATTTATTCTATCCTGACTTTCTTTATCGTTTTCTTTGCTTTAAATCGTTTTTGTTCTGTAGAGTGTGGGCCGACACCGCTTGTCGCCAATAGTCAAATGACAGTACATGGAACTCGAGTAGGAACATTGGTTCAATATACCTGCAATCCAGAAACAGTGTTAGAAGGAAGACCAGAGAGACGTTGTTTAACTATTGGAAAATGGCAGCCCGATTTGTTTAAGTGCCATTTACGTAAGTACACTGGATTTTAATATTTTTGGAATGCCAAGGCTGAATGATTTTGAAATCATAAAATAAATATTTGATAATCATTGACCTAATTTACTTATTTCCTTGGAACTAAGTGGTCGGAAACCAAATTGAAAAGCACTGAGTTTATATAACGATTATTAGATAATAAAAGACCACTCGGTACATAAAGATGAAAACTGTACAGTTTCTATTAGACTGTTTTTACCTTTTCGTTTTATAGTCATCACAGAAATGAAGGCACAAGAAAGGTGTGGTATACCATACCTTATGATCGATACAGTTGAAAATAGAAGAAAAGAATACCCGAGGTACGGGTCCGGACAGGCTATGTTCTACCGTAGCGATATACCGTACGATATACCACACCGGATAACGTACCTTGCCTATATAATACTATATATATAATCAAATAAAACAAATACAATTTTGTAAAATTGTTAATAAATATATTATTGAATATTTTGTGTTCTCACCACCATTTTTACGTGTATATTCCTTAGGCAATAAAATATACATATAATTATTATTACTGATATATATTTAATACATGTCAATCACCCGTTAACAATATTATCGTATCTTGTAGAATGTCCCCCAGCTCCATTAGTTCCCGATGCTGCTTTAGATGATCCTTTGAGAATAGTTGGCATTTACACAAACTATACATGCGTAAATAACACTCGTCTTTTTGGAACACCTCATCTTTATTGTCAAGATAATCAAACATGGACTCCTGTTGAATTTGAATGTATTCGACGTAAGTTTTCTGTGATATCTCAAATTTTAAGTTCTTCATGAAGAAGAACTAAAGAAGTGAAAAAATCCAACTTAGTGACATCATTTGTTTTTTTTTTGTATCCTCCAGACTTTAATTCGATGAGTGTGGCTGTCGGAAAGATGTCCACAGATATGTTATATTTAGAAATTTGATTGTTGTTTCTTTAAACAATCGATGATAAGGTCATAAATATCATCATTCTCTATTGAAGAATGTCCACCAGCCCCAGATGTTAATGATGCTACTACAAATACATCAGATAGAATAATAAATACTACATTAGGTTACCAGTGTCACCCTCTAGCTGATGCCTATGGTACACCATTTATTGTTTGTCAAGAAGACCTGTCATGGAGTCCTGTAGTCTTCAACTGTTCACGTCGTAAGTTTATTGATAAGCGCGTCGTTGCTTCTTTTGTACTTTGGTGTTTTTTCGGATGTTCATTTCTAAGTGTTTTCAGTTCATTAAAAGGTATTGCAGTTCAAAATATGTCTTGAAAATAATCTATCAATTGTGTTAGTTATCAAAAACACCTTTTATTTGTTAAAGAAACGATACCAAAATGTTTTTTTCAGAATGTCCAATAGCTGAAGAAGTAACTCACGCCAGAAAGTTAACCCATGTACGACAAGTGTTTACCACACTAGAATATGAGTGTATTAATGATACCTTATTAGATGGAAATCCTACACGGAATTGCCCTACAACTCAACAATGGGAACCTATACAATTCACATGCATTGAACGTAAGTACAATTAAGATTTTGGCTGGGTCCAATCTAATGGTGAATCCACCAAGTATGTTGTTTTTCTCTCTTACAGAATGTCCAGTTTTAGATATACCACATGCTATAAATGATACCAGTAACAGAGTTCTAACGTCCGCCGTCAATTATCATTGTGAAGATGGTTATTTACATAATGGTACAACTCAAATAACTTGTCAAAACGACAGAACCTGGACTTCAATTAATTTTGAGTGTATTGAAGGTTTGTGCTATCCGTACTTTCATCCAGTGACGGCGCCACCATAGATGGTCTGCACCCACAATTGTGTCCCCAATTTATTTTCGAAAAAATATGATTTTTATACATTTTTGCCCAAAACTAGTTGTATGTTTCAGATAGGACCAAATCAATTCAATTTTTCGAAAATTTACTTGATAGAACCCTCTCAGACGCTCCATTAGCGATTTGCAACTAAACGCAAGTCAGTCTGCCCCTATTTGCACTTCAGTCTCAAGAGGCTGGCGCCGCCACTGCTTCCATCATTACCAAGTTTGAGTTGCCGATTAGGCAGTGGCGGAGCCAAAGGGTGGGGGGGGGGGGGGGGGGCAGCCCCAAAAGCAAGTTTTTCGGGCAAAAATCTCACAACTATATTTGAAATTCGGGCAATCTCAGATATTTCGCCCCCACCCCCCCTCGGACATAAACCTGGCTCCGCCACTGCGATTAGAGGTTGCCCAACTGATACATCGTAATGACCTTTAGGTGACCTTTGTGTTATTATCACATTTAGGGCTTGTATATGAATCCATTATCCCTGCATATGATATAGATTGATGGTACGAATTGGAAATGGTCAGACAAGTAGATTATAGGTAACGAGACAGAAATGGAAGAGGTTATGCTGTCTTCAAGAAAAACACCCATCATCATGATTCCATTATACCATTTTCAGTGTGTCCAACAGAAGCACCACCAGTTCAATATGCCCAAACAGACCAGATACTGAGATTTGTAGGAACAGTTGCTACCTATACTTGTGATCCAGATACTATCATACATGGTGATAACTACGTTACTTGTATTCACTCATCAAATTCTACTGTAGCGTGGTCAACAGTGCCGTTTTGGTGTGAGAAAGGTAACAATCTAATTGTTAAATCCACCCGATTCCATTTCTTTCTAGTCCGTAGAAGTCTGTTTGGGTCTGTATTCGGCCGGAAGGTCTTTTCACTAAAGAATAACGGGGTGTATCAGAATATAATCTAACTATAGATGAAGCTGAAAGAAATTCACATTTGACACTCAGAAAGAGGGGTATATTGGATCCAAATCTGTTTCTAATTTCGGAAATAGTAGTCTATCCAGAACAGGGTAATGAGCAAGATGAGTATAGAGCACAAAATTCTTATGCAAATGCTTTAGATGGGTTAATTTTTTATTTAAAAGATGGAGTGTAGTTATTTTACGATCTTTACTATTTGTGATTGTATATAATAAACAAGCATGTCTTCACACTATAACGAGTATATAACTTGATTTACAGTTTGTTCAGATTCCCCACCAGTTGTAATGGATGCAACACTGACCACCTTTAATAGATCAAAAGGAGCAGTAGCAGAATATACATGCCATAACGAAACAGTTTTAATAGACGGACCAGCTACAATCCCATGTCTACAATCACAACAATGGGGAGCTCAAATATTCGACTGTAGAAGGCGTAAGTTAAATGGTTTTGTTTCAACATCATTTTTGAATTTATCAGTAAACGCATAATCACGAGACACATACTAAAGAAACAGCCCATTAAAGGATTGGAACTCTTTTTGGAGTGCAATGACATCTGTCAAATGTATAATGTAGAATCAGCCATATTAATCCAGTAAACCCTGGTAGGTTTTTATTGTGTCCATTGTATTATTGTATTGCTTTTTTGGACTAATATATTCAATAAGATATTGCTTTATGTTGTTACAGAATGTCCAATACCTCTGGTATATCCAAACAGTATCGTCATTCATGATTGTTATATTGCTTTATGTTGTTACAGGTTGTCCAATACCTCTGGTATATCCAAACAGTATCGTCATTCATGATTGTTATATTGCTTTATATTGTTACAGATTGTCCAATACCTCTGGTATATCCAAACAGTATCGTCATTCATGATTGTTATATTGCTTTATATTGTTACAGATTGTCCAATACCTCTGGTATATCCAAACAGTATCGTCATTCATGATTGTTATATTGCTTTATGTTGTTACAGAATGTCCAATACCTCTGGTATATCCAAACAGTATCGTCATTCATGATTGTCATATTGCTTTATATTGTTACAGAATGTCCAATACCTCTGGTATATCCAAACAATATCGTCATTCATGATTGTTTTATTGCTTTATATTGTTACAGAATGTCCAGTACCTCCTGTATATTCAAACAGTATCGTCAATCCAGGACCAAGAACACTGGGGGAAACCATCACTTATAATTGTACAGCTGGACACATGCTAAAATCGGGAACTTTATCAATATTTTGTAAGGCTAATCAGGAATGGACCAATAAAGATTTTGTCTGCTTCCCAAGTGAGTATAGCACAGGATACTGAAAGCATATTAATGGTGCAATTTTCGATGAGCTAAACCCCACTCTAGAATAAGTCTATATAGAGTAATGCAAAAACCACTCCGACAAACCCATATTTTATTTAGAAAATACAGCCTCTCTCCCCCTTTCACAATCTCATTCACACAATTCATATCCATTCGCAAACATTCCGCATTCCCGCAACATTCACACACTTGCAAATGTTCATCATGTGACAGCCTGGAACATCACTTGACATTGTATCAATTCATTCTACAGTCTTCATACACTTGAAAGATCTCAAAAATCTTCTAGACTTTGGTGTCTTGATCGTTTGAACTGAAAAGGAAATTATGATACATCAGAGGCGTTGAATTTGATTGAAGACCCTACGACTAGGACAGGTTTTTTTATTCATTGAAGAGAATTTGTGCTAACAGCACGCCATGACTGGTCTTACTGATCACTGTTCTAGAATTTGATCTGATCAATGTTATTATGTGCAAAGTTCAAATATTAAAATCTTCCGTTAGTAAAGGGCATGAACTAAACCTTGAATAATTAAAATGATTTACCTTCTTGATTACAATTAACAACGTCTAAATGGGTGGCCTTTTTTTCTTGACTAACTCTAGTTAGGGACGTTCCACCAGACCTAAAACTATCACCGGCTTCGACTCCCGGGTTAGAAGCATTACGGTAGGCGTTCTGTTGTAATACGTGGTGAACATTGAATTTTATCTGGGGGAATTCATCTACAAAAAAATAAGTAGGCAGGTTGAAGTAAAATTACCGAAACATTAAACAAAAACTCTCTCGAATACAAAAAAAACCATCATCTCAACTTACCTTCATATTTAGAGAGCTTCGATATTCCAATAAATTGTATGAAATTTTCAACAAAATCAGCTACGTCTTCTGCTGCTTTATGAAGTGGTTTTTCATTCAAAAATCCAAAAAATTTGTTGTCGTAATATTGGTATTCTTCTACCGTCATGGGAGGTATTGAATAATCGGGAAGGTATCCAAAGCAGTATGGAGGTCTTGACATATATTTCTTAGACATTCTGGAAAAGAAAAAAGACGGAAATTCTTTCAAATGACACAAAATGACCCTACGTTGAACTAGTGGACACACTGCTCTTGATGATATCGCGAGATCGACATTGAGTGAAGTAACCCCAAAGCAAATAAATCAATCAAATAGGAGGTGCATTATCATTATCATTTCATTTCGAAAACTTAAAGAGATAGTAAAATATTATGAAAGGTGCTTTTATGATGACAATTTAATAAGTGTATAATATACTAATACGTTACAGTACCTAATGCATAGGGCAACCCGCAAAAATAAATCACCCATTAAGATTAAAAGGGATAACAAATTGCATTTTTTGATTTAAATGAATTTACAAAAATTAAGAAATCTAACGACAACAGAGTTTTCAGCCAAAACTGTTTTGTTTATATAAACTTCTTACCTTGAACACCTTGAAATATAGAAAACTCCTCAAAAATTGTGACAACGTGTTTTCAATAAGAATAATATAATTGCCTATATATTTCGATTATATAACGTCGTAATAAGACTAACTTGCAAATCTTCAGACTCATAAGAAAAGATTCTAGTTTCATTCAGAGGAGTTGACCAATGAAATTCAGATTCGTTATATGCCTAAGTCATTTGTTTATTTTGGCCTTTTATAGTATCTGATTTGGATAGTGCATGTCTTGAAAATTTGCAAAGAACAAACGTGACCCAGATTTATTTGATGTGTCTAATCAAAAGAGACAATATTTCATCCAAATCTGGCAAAAAGCAACGGTTTGAACCTAATATGGAGGCTGAAAATCGGGTCTGAGCCGAACTGAGAACCAAGAATGGGAAAATTCGTCAGGAAAAGATCGTTCCCGTCTTTTCAAGATAACTAGATATTATATTCACGAGAGGTGTTGAGCTGAATTTATCCCTTTGTAAAGGGTTTCGTCCACATATCATTTTAAGATGACAAAAACGTGGAGATTAACCAGTCCAATTCTCCCGAAATCAACTCTTGGTTCCTCTGCGTGGTGGCGGTTTAGTTACAGGAGGGCTTTCGGTGATTTCCGACTATATATTGTGTAAAGTGTACAAAGTAAAAAAAAACAAAATATAATCATTGAACATGTTTTAAACACATTGAGTTTCATAGTTGAATAAACATATGCCCAAGTCATATTATGTAAATTACCCGTCAAGATTGAATTTATTTTATTATATCATATACGGTATTTCTTACCGAGTATAGAGCATTATAGCCTCTTATGCTTGTAATGAAATTTTGTTACCTAAAAAAAATGACTTGGGCACTTTTCCATAAATATCCAGACATTTCAATCAATGAAGTTTTTTCTCGGCATATATTATAGCCATTACAAGTTTTCAAAAGATTGAGGTGGCTCAGTCAATATAAGTGTGGATAATCATCGTATAGTATTACCTACCTTGATTGCGATCAGAAACAATCACCAAATTATATTGAGTTCAGATGAATTGATAAAATACTTTCTGTACTGCATGTATCCTAATAGTTAAAAAAGGCATCTAGTTGTTCGTATAGGACAATAAACCGAGGCCCCGTGTGCTACAGGCTGTACACAATATCTCTCAGCAATTGGAAATTGAAAATAGTAGACTATGGTCGCTGTTTCGGCAAGAGAAGATAGAGTAGGACGTAAAACTCATTTTCTTTCATTTTTCTTGTAGTTTGTGTAGAATCACCACCGCAAGTACCAGATGGTATTGTAACTAATACAGATAGATTTGTTGGTGATGTAGCTATTTATAGTTGTGTTAATGATACAGTTTTAATGAATGGTCCAGGACATGTAGAATGTCAATCAAATCAAACCTGGCCATCACCAACATTCGATTGTAGACGACGTAAGTTCCACATCACAAAATCTGTTAACCGAATCTTGCAAAGAGCACATTGCATTTAACTACACGTGTTTCCTTGCCTAATGAGGAGGTATGCGTCGATGAGCACTAATTAAAATGGAATGTCTTTTTCTATACTATCACTAGTCATCGGATTAGCTTCATTTAAACTTATATCTTTCAGAATGTCCAGTACCACCGAGTTTAGACAATGGAGAAGGTATTGCAGGACCTCGAACGCTTGGTGAAACTATAACATATCTATGTAATGATTTATTTGTAATGGAAGGAACACCAGAAATTTTTTGTATGTCAAATCAAACATGGACTCAAATAACATTTTACTGTAGACCAAGTAAGAAATTTCTTTTATGATGCTTAGTCACCATTTGGGACCTTTGTAAGTTGTTCAGTATGATGATAAAGCTGATACTGTAACCCATTCTCAGTTCTTAAGCGTTGATGTCACCAATGTGCTTTGGTAGCAGGCCCATATCCAGACTTGATTGTTCGGAGAGGCAAGTAAGTTTTCTAGAGAGGCAATGGTTTATGATATTTAGTTCCAGTAAAGGAGTTGGTCGGTGGTCAGAATGTTTTTCAGGGTTTTTCACGTTTTCGCTCACAAATTGTTATCTTCAATTTATTGGAAATATAAACCATCTGTTCTGATGGCGCATTTAATGCGTAGTGAATTTCTGCTTCTATTCCACTACTATTACTATGTGCTCAGTGATGTTTCCGGGATGTTGTTACCATTCTGAATATTATGTTTTCAGTTTGTCCTGATCCACCAGTAGTAGCTGATTCTTCTATCCTATCATTTAATAATTCTATTAATGGTACAGCTGAATATCAGTGTGATATTGAAACAGTTTTAATGGGAGGACCCCCTGTTTTAACTTGTCTCAGTTCTCAAACATGGTCTACTATACAGTTTGAATGTAGAAGACGTAAGTTCTAATTGTCGCATTTATGGGCATATTCACATTGTCAAGCATGTGTCCCTTGACTGTAATAGTAACTTTTCTTGTATCATAGATTGTAAATAAAGCGATTTGATTCGATTGTATGCTTACGAACAAAGCTTATCAGATGCCTCGACAGAAAGTCTATGAAAACAAAGCCATAATGTTTACAGCCTGTATGTCGAGGACTCCAATTGTCTGAATTCGCTGGCGTACAATCTAATCAAATCGCTACATTCCGTGATACAAGAATAGTGGCTATTTCAGTCAGGGAATAAGTACAAGTTCGTAATATGTAAAGCGAACTCTCAGAGCCAATTGAAGTGTGTTCTTTTATACAACGGTTGAATAATCATTTTCTTTGTTGTAACATTGATATTATTAATAATTCCTATTACTTTGTTGACGCCAATTCTCTAAAGATAAGATTCCGCATCTCTCTTTGATCACCCAATTAGCTTAAAGCATTAGGACTGACAGAAGTACACTTCAGCTTCAAGGGAAATGCATAATTCAATGTACAGTAAAGGGATTGTAAAGAGGTTTTCTAAAAAATTTATATGTATCTGAGACACTGATAGCTTCAATTTGCATCAATCAAATTTTCAGACGCTTCTACTCATCACTAATCGCGAATGATCTCATGTGATGAAGCATATCTTGCGATTAGTGACGTCATCCAACACTTAGTTTTAAAGGATTTGAAGGAACCAAAGACGACTGATTGAAAATTGGAATGGTGCACATTGATGCTTTCTGTGTCCTCGATACGCATTATTTTTTTTTAGAAAACCTTTTTATAATCCCTTTAATATGATAAGTAAAGTGAATGGCATAGTCTTGTTCAATGGTGGGCCTGATTGTTGCTCTTGTTGATCAATGCTAAGCTGACAAAGTTTGTAAACGCTCTGTTCTTATTGCAGAATGTGCAGTACCAGATGCAATACCTAATACGTATAATATAACTATACCAGCAAGAACTATTGGTACTATATTAAACTATACTTGTATTGATAAACATGATGTTTATCCACTAACAGAAACACCACAAAGTACTTGTCAACAAAATCAACAATGGTTAATACCATTTCAATGTAAACCAGGTATGGAGCTATACAAATGAATAATGTCAAAGATGGATGGAATTTGTATTAGATCCGGACAATACCGATTCAAAGGCCAAAGTATGCCACATGCTAAAAAAATGCTTAGATGGAGCCAAAACACTGCGCTTTTTGCAAGATATTTGAAGACTAGGGTCCATGTCTGTCTTAACATTGAAACTTGGAAGCTGATTGTGTATATACTCATTATTCTTTCCAGTTTTAATGATAATAATATTTGCTTCTTCACCATCTTTATTCACAGTTTGTGTAGAATCACCACCGCAAGTACCAGATGGTATTGTAACTAATACAGATAGATTTGTTGGTGATGTAGCTATTTATAGTTGTGTTAATGATACTGTTTTAATGAATGGTCCAGGACATGTAGAATGTCAATCAAATCAAACCTGGTCATTGCCAAATTTTGAGTGCAGACGACGTAAGTTACCAATCCAGTGCGAAAACTATTTATACCATCAATATGAATAGATTAATATCATTTCGTATTTCTTATGTTGCTTGCAATAAGAGAAGTTCTGCCTCACTTACGGAAACTGACAATTTTCTTTGGAAGGAGTAAGGCTATTCCACGGATGAAAAGGAGTTAAAAACGAAGTTGTAATGATTGTTTCTTTGCGTAGATCATTTAATCCTATATTTAATTTTTTAAAGTCCAGTTTGTCTGATTTGGAATAGAGTCGTATAGAGATTTATAAATATATCTTCCAGAATGCCCAGTACCACCGAGTTTAGACAATGGAGAAAGTATTGCAGGACCTCGAACACTTGGTGAAACTATAACATATCTATGTAATGATTTATTTGTAATGGAAGGAACACCAGAAATATTTTGTATGTCAAATCAAACATGGACTCAAATAACATTTTACTGTAGACCAAGTAAGTATTTATACTATTTCATGATATACTGATACAAGCATAGATACCATCTACAACAGCTGGAGTACAAATTTTCGTTGACAAACATCCATTTTACCATTAATTGTCAGTGGTCTTTCTCCGAGCCTTTTTTTTCCTGAAAATGCAACATCTGTGTCCAAAACGATCGTCATTTTGTTGCCACACCGTTAATAATAAAGTAAAGATTCTAATGTTCAAACAGGTCAACCAATGTTGAGTTGATGAACCCCTTAGAGGATCATATACTCAAGTATTGAAATTGTACAATATACCAATTAGATTGTATTGCGTTGTACAAAGGTTTAACCAACGATTCTCAACCCATATGATCCAATTTCCTCCGTTAAAACTTGAACTGTAAAACATCAAAAAACTAAAAAAACAAAAAACTGAAACATGCTAGATAGATACTCTTTCAAACTTATATTTCAAGACATGTCAAGACCCTCCAATGAGAACCTTGTTTCTTGTTTTCTTGGAGAAGGATCTTAACTTCTGGAACAAGCTTGGTTAATTCCAGGCGTAGATTGCCATGTCCATGTCCATCGCCAAATTTCCGCATTTGAGTATAACCAACCCCCTAAATTTCACCTCCAACAATTTCGAAATCACACTCGTGGGTGCATATGGACCCCTGTTGGGAAGCACTGGGTTAAACCAATATCAACACAGTTTCATGGTAATTTGATGGTGATTTATCGTTTCAGTTTGTCCTGATCCACCAGTAGTAGCTGATTCTTCTATCCTATCATTTAATAATTCTATTAATGGTACAGGTGAATATCAATGTGATATTGAAACAGTTTTAATGGGAGGACCCCCTGTTTTAACTTGTCTCAGTTCTCAAACATGGTCTACTATACAGTTTGAATGTAGAAGACGTAAGTTGTCTGAGTTTTCCTTCATTTACATTACATCAACCCATGATAAATATAATACGTTGTGTGTTTTGTATCTATCTGATATGTGAATGCTTTCATGTTCATATTCATATTCAACCAATAATCAGGTGGTTGTGTTAGTTTGCCAAGCAAGGTGTCCATTTGAAAGAGTTGGTATTCTCTGTTCAGCGATAAGGGGTTGTTATTTGAATATAATCGATGGACACACTACAGTGCTGTTGGAACATAACGGATTGATTTTAATTTAGAAAAATAAACTTTTGTAATTGTTTTTACAGAATGTGCAGTACCAGATGCAATACCTAATACGTATAATATAACCATACCAGCAAGAACTATTGGTACTATATTAAACTATACTTGTATTGATGAACATGATGTTTATCCACTAACAGAAACACCACAAAGTACTTGTCAACAAAATCAACAATGGTTAATACCATTTCAATGTAAACCAGGTAGGTAGGTAGATAAATTATGAAGGAATATCTAGGTTATCGAAGTTTCTTAGTTGAATAAATTTCCAGAGTTTGTTTTCTAGATTTGTTGTTCCGTCCAACAGACACACTCAGATTTTTGACGGTTTAGACTTTAAATTGAACTGTTAGCGCCCAAGTAGAAGAAAATACGATACATATTGATATATTGATTACAGTTTGTGTAGAATCACCACCAACAATACCAAATGGTATTGTAACTAATACAGATAGATTTGTTGGTGATGTAGCTATTTATAGTTGTGTTAATGATACAGTTTTAATGAATGGTCCAGGACATGTAGAATGTCAATCAAATCAAACCTGGTCATCACCAACATTCGATTGTAGAAGACGTAAGTAAATCACATTTTAAATGTTGTTTAGATTTAGCTGAAATTGGTGATATTACGGATGTGAATGATTTTACTGATATTTATTGGAAAATTTGAATGTGGTCTTAATTTTTCTGTCGTGTGAGCCTATGCACTCCCTCCATTAGTTCCTTCTTTATTTCTTCTGAATTTTTTTCCAGAATGTCCAATGCCGCCAACTCTAGACAATGGAGAAAGTATTGCAGGACCTCGAACGCTTGGTGAAACTATAACGTATCTATGTAATGATTTATTTGTAATGGAAGGAACACCAGAAATATTTTGTATGTCAAATCAAACATGGACTCAAATAACATTTTATTGTAGACCAAGTAAGAAATTTCATTAACATAATATTATTATGAAGGATATTCAAATCTTGATGAACCTCATATTCCAAGTACGTGTCCACAGCAAATTATTTACTGCCTCCTGACTCTTGTTTCATTTAGGGCATAGATCAAAATAATGATCTTCTCCTATTTCGGTGATTGGTAACACATCACATGCCTGTGATATGAGAGCGAAATAAAACAAACAGGTACATGGTGTATGGGAACGTACAAATTATGATTTACATTTGTGGTCTGGAAGTTTCTTTTTGGTCTTTCCTTACTTGAAGTTATTGAGGAACAATTTAATACTAATTATGTGGTCTTTCTGTTTCATTTCAGTTTGTCCTGATCCACCAGTAGTAGCTGATTCTTCTATCCTATCATTTAATAATTCTATTAATGGTACAGCTGAATATCAATGTGATATTGAGACAGTTTTAATGGGAGGACCCCCTGTTTTAACTTGTCTGTCTGCGCAAAACTGGTCATTACCCCAATTTGAATGTAGACGACGTAAGTAATTTGTCAAAACCGAAATGTCAGCCCTAATTACAATCATTCATTCTGACTAAAATGGGCTTGCAATCACCAATTCGTGATTATATGTAAATTAAAATATTGAATTAGCTATGCGGATTCATCAAAAGGTGTCGTAGAGAGGCATCAGGTGAAACTTTTCTTTTACTTTACCAGGAGCATTTGTTAGGTTTCAATGTAAACCATGTAGGTATTTTGAACCTATTCAGTACTGTGCATCTGATGTCGAATTACTGCAAAAGTATCCACATTTTAGAAGCAGCTGTGTTGATAATGAATTGTACTACCAGCATATTACATTATAATTATTGTTGTTTTAGTGTGTGAAGAAGCACCTAGTTTACCCGATGCCAACCTTACAAATACAGATAGATTTGTTGGTGATGTAGCTATTTATAGTTGTGTTAATGATACAGTTTTAATGAATGGTCCAGCACATGTAGAATGTCAATCAAATCAAACCTGGTCATCACCAACATTTGATTGTAGAAGACGTAAGTTTCTAGATAAACTTAGGTAGTAAAGTCAAATCAAATACATTCCTAGATTCGCAGTCAGTTTTGCTTAATATAAACTTATTATGCCTATTGTAGTTCTGGCGGTGGGACCTTTTAATCGTATAACACTATTGTAAACTACTGCTAATCGAGAAATTATATTTATCTCCTCAGAATGTCCAGAACCACCAACGGTAGAAAACACCGAGTCGGTAACAACAGATCTTACTATTGGTACTATCTATAATTATACTTGTATAACTGGACATCAACCAACATCAATTTCACAGATAGTTTGTCAAAACAACCAACAGTGGTCCACAGTGCAGTTTGAATGCCGTCCAGGTATTGATTAAACATATTGTTGCAATTTCTTTGAAAATTAGATGTTTTAGAGAACTGCACATTAAAAGATAGCTTGCCAGGCAAGGTAATATACGCCCACTGGCAGCTTTGATTTAAACAAAAATATTTGGCAGTAGTCACAAAATGAAATATTCAAAATTCAGTCAAACACTTCTTTTGAACTATTTGGGTTGATACTGAATAATAATACCACGTTTTGTCAAAATCCGAAATAGCCTTTAAGTGTTTGCGGGCTAAACATTGAATGCGTTTTCAAGTTTGAGGTCAATAACTCATACAAAATAGTTCTTAATTTCTTGAGTTTTAATAGGTATCATCTATGGATGATAATAAATAATTTCGCCAAGTTTGGTCAAACTCAGTCGAGAATTATGCCTTCGAACGTGATTACAAGCTCAAAATCCATTTCATGTTGGCGTATAGAAAGAAAACAAGAGTAGTGAAAGTTTGGTACTAAACCATACTTTTTTAGCCAGTAAGACCCTTCTTTCTATTATATTGCCATCTACAAGACATACTATGATGAGATGAAGTCTGGTTTTGGATTGCTTACGAGAAGATTTAACTGCCAATATCCAAATCTCAAATCCAGCTCTACAAATAACGTTGTTCCCTTAAAACGATGCAATCTTATTTTTATTATGGATACAATGTGCTGCACCAATTATTAATTCATTTAGTTGTATATAATCAACTGGAAACTTGAGTGCATTCTCTTTTGGCCAGGTTATTACAACCGGAGTATCTATTGAACACTCTGTTTTTTCAACATCAATAGAAAATTCTGAAAAACTGTAAGAGACATGCTTTGATGCTTCTTTCAAAAGAGATAAGTTTTCCATATTAAAATTTAATAAGTGTTTACAAAGTTATAACAGTGGATTAGTCGTGTCTAATTCTGAAAAACTGTAAGAGACATGCTTTGGTGCTTCTTTCAAAAGAGATAAGTTTTCTATATTAAAATTTAATAAGTGTTTACAAAGTTATAACAGTGGATTAGTCGTGTCTAACATCATTAAATATACTTTGATTTTCAGTTCAGCCCTGTTGTACTGTTAGGTATCCTTCCATGGTCTCTGAGTCTCGATGTAAACCTTTATCTGCCATCTAACATTATTAAAATAGGTGCTATCCTACATTAATATCTTTATGTATTATTTCATAGTTAAAGTTGAATTCAGTTTTTTCAGATTTTCTTGAGGTTACTATAATTTTTTTTGAATACTAGTTTGTGAAGACGCTCCTAATTTACCCGATGCCAACCTTACAAATACAGATAGATTTGTTGGTGATGTAGCTATTTATAGTTGTGTTAATGATACAGTTTTAATGAATGGTCCAGCACATGTAGAATGTCAATCAAATCAAACCTGGTCATCACCAACATTTGATTGTAGAAGACGTAAGTAAATCGCCCAAGTTCTTTAATTGTATACAGAAACAAGATGATTCTTCTGAAAAAAAATGATACTCCCAGTAATGCCATGAACGAATTACTTAATAATATTAATCCTTACTTTCAGAATGTCCAGAGCCTCCTACAGTAAATTATACCGATCCAGTTACAGGTCCAAGAGTGATAGGTTCTATCTTAACCTACACTTGCACTACTGGTTATGGGGCAACCTCAAATTCATCTATAACATGTCAACAAGATGGCCATTGGTCATTGGTATTGTTTGAATGTCATTCAGGTATGTTTGTCCATTTTAATTTCAAATGGAATTCTTTTTTGCTCAAAATTGTAATTAGTAAAAACGCATTCCTGAGTACAATTTTGTAAGGTTATGTAATGGGAAAGCTGCGTTGGAATGTCAGCTGTTCGGAGACATATGTTTGATCTATCCCTCAAGACATTCTGATGCCATTATAGTGATACTCGTTGCTTTTATTTTCAGTTTGTGAAGTCCCACCTACCGTCCAAAATACCACAGTTTTCTATAACGATACATTTGTTGGTAGTAATGCTACATTTGAATGTGATTCTAGTCTCATGCTTTCTGGAAACCCAACTATAACATGTCAAGTCAACACGACTTGGTCTTCAGTAGAATTTTCTTGTAACTAGTTTTCTGTGTGAAATTATATTGTTATTGTTATGCCTCGTCCTGTATGCAATTCTTAAAATTCCTAAATGGAATATATATTATAGACCTAGCGCTAATCTTGTCGTATTACCACTGTTTAGCATTCCGCGTTCCAATTATACAACACAAAATAAAAATAATCCTTTATTATTTAATACAGATAAAAGTAAATAACACAAAATGAGACAAATAGAAAGAAACATTTTACTCAATAAACAAATGAAATTAACAAGAAAACCGGGTTATATCTAGAACTAAAACATTAATAGACAGTTTACTATACCCAACAATATAATATGAATATATAATTTAAATTATAATATAAATATCCTTCTAGTCATTATCCTAAATGCAAGTTTTAGATACTTAAAGATGATGTATTAATTTTAAATGAGATTCGAACGACAAGTTACTCTGGAAAAAGATGATTTACTCTAAATTTCACCAAAAATGGCAAATACTATACTTTAAGAACTTAACACTATTTTCACGGTTCCAACGCGGTCAGATTTCACAGAGCACACTGTATTCTGAATTGAAGAAAGATCTAAATTTCAGACAACATAATTGTGATTTATTGAGAATTACAGATAGTGGTTTAATGAGAATTTCAGAGGATACATGTATCTGAATAGTCAGATTTTTATATTTTATGGAAAAAATGATTTGTTCAATTATAAGAATTTTTTTCAGAATCTTAATGTATAGATATATGAATATATGATATGATGGTTTATTTGAATTTCAGATAAGATAATGGTGTTTTAATGAGAATTTAAGATAAGAAAAAGTTTTAAAATTTCATGGATATGATTATTTGTTCAGAATGTTAAATAAAATGAGGTTGATTTGTTCAGAATATTAAATAAAATGAGGTTGATTTGTTCAGAATTTCAGATAAGATCTTCTGGATTTCAGATAAGTTTTTGAGTACTGAGACAGTCAAATATTTAACTTTATATTACTTTATACTATAATTAAAATAAAATATAAATAATCAAACAAATAATTAATGAGGGTAAAAACGTATAGAAAGTGTTTATAAAATTGAAAAAAAAAATTACACAGATAGAGCCATTTCTAATTCTTTTTAAGATTTTCATCAGTAATTAGGAATAGTGGAACTATTCTTGTAGATACTGAATAATTTACTAAATCTAGTAATATGCACACAGAATAATGCACTTACTTGGCAATTATATTTTAATGACACTTGTTGGATCAAAGGGTTATATCTTGTGCGAGTCTTACATCTTGGATAAATTTAAAAATTAGATGCTATAGAAATAAATATAAGATAAGATAAATTTTAAACTAACAATAAAGACTAAACAGGGATAGATAATTTATATCATCTCACACTTTTCTGTTTTAGGACTGTAGATATATTTTCGTGTATAATTTAAGTACCTTCTTTTTCATGTAGACCTAGTGGGTTGATGAATTTATATAGCAGGTTTTTCTTCATTATAACACAGAACAAGTCAGTACTACTAAACATTGCTTAGCTAACCAGCACTTTGAAATGAATAGTCCTTGCTTCTGACCAAGGCCTGTGTTTTCTATGACTAATATTCTCATTTCACCTTAACACTGGCAGAATAAGAAAATATTGTCTCTACTAATATAGTGCTCAATACTTCAATTATAGAGATATATTTCACAGCATGATATTTTGAGTAGACACGTGTTTCAGGTTCTGTTTTAATATTTTACCTTCTCACACATATCATTACCATACACACACCATCTTTGTACAATGATATTGAGTTCTAAGGACGTTATTTGTTGTGTCAAAATAGATTAGTAATATACATGTATAGAAATTGTCATCAGACCCACAAAACTGTAGATTTATAATTAAATGATTGTCATAATCAATATGAAAAATTCTTTTAATTTTAAATTTTTTGATTGACTGATTGTGTATTGAATGAATGCTGCAAATTCCCATAGTATAATGTAAGTAGGTAAGAAAGTTTCTCATCAGCCCAATGAGACATGTCATGTATTAAAATATTGTCAATACAGACTAGAGAGTAGATAACAGTAATATATAATCTACTCTTTTATATGAATGGACAAATAGCTGCCTAGAATAAAACAATATAAACAAAATATAACTTACTATGTCATGTCAAGATGTGTTTGTTTATCCCTTTTCTTAATTAATGGGTAACAAAGTAATAAAATGCCCCCTATAATAGGTAATACACCACATATAATTATAACAACTTCAAACGATCCAGTTACATCTCTTATCCAACCTAAAAAATAACATACAAACAATAGTTTCAAATACAACATAAAAAATGGATATCATTTATCGTTTCATGTTTCCACAATTTGACCCCTTGAAAAAGACATCTGTTAGAATTTGTGAGCTTGAGGTGTTGCCAATCAATTTATTACCAGAAATTTTAGTTTTTATTTCTTTTGAGAGAAGCTTATTATGAACCAGCCCCTAAGATTTGATTACCTCTGAATTCGTTCATTGTTTGAACATGAAATAAAACTCCAATTGAAAGTGAAAGAAAAAAAAGAAAAAAATTGAGAGATTCTCTGTTCAATAAAAACATTCGGATTTGTGGAGCCATGTATTTGAATTTCTTAAAAGATTGTGCATAAGCCTCTAGATTTTATGTTATATACAATTTATTGAGATGAATAAAGATCTCCAAATAAAAAATCTCAGTATGACTCTAACATACTGTTTGTTGTAGTGTGAAATCTTTCACAATTGTTTTAAAAATTCAATATTAATTTATTTCTAACTTACCTAAGAATGGTTGCCCTGCTGCTGCACCACTGCCTTGAAGCAATAAGACCAGAGCAAGAGCTTTGGGAAAAATTTTCAAACCAACAAAATCTATCAATACTATAGCAATATAATTAATATAAACACCTCCAAAAAATCCATAGAGGGCAGAAAGAACAGCTAAAAATGTAAAATTATCTGCTACTAGAAATAACAATATAACTATTCCAACAAATATAACTGCAATTGCTTTGATCTTATATCTGGCTATTAGATTAAGATCACCAAAATAACCACTACCTAGTCTACCAATCAAATCTCCAACCCCACAAATAGAGATCAGTAAAGCCTTGTCATATTTTGTAATGCCTTTACTAATTACATGTAGGGGTAAAAATAAAATAAAATTAAAATAACCAAAAAAACTTAGAAATGCTATAATTACATAGAACATAATTATTGGTCTGACTAAAACACTAAAGTCAAATATTTTCTGACAAAAACATTTAGTAGATGAAGTTCTAGAGGAATTATCCTTTTCGTCTTGGTTAATGTCATTAGAGTCTTCTATTTCTATCTCCTCTTCCAACATTATACTACCAGTACTGGCCATTAGAGCACGTAATTTCACATCCTTTTTTATTGCGTTGAGAGAATTTGAAATAAGCGGATCTGACACCTCATTTTGCACTTCCTCTGCCAGCACATTGTTTGTTGAACTTTTCTGAATATTATGAGATTTTTGGAGGTAAAATGAAGTGGGTCTAAATAAAGAACCACATACTGTAACATTGAAATATATTGCACTGAGTATTAGTAATGTTCCACTTAAAGAATAGGTATCTACTAGAAACTGTATTAAAGGTGGTAAAGTAAACTGTCCTATACTAGCACCGGCTACTGTAATTCCGTTAGCTAGAGTTCTTCTCTTTCTAAAATATTGACCAACCATCACTAAACTATTACCATATACTGCTGAATTACCTATACCTAAAAACAAGAGGGCACAAAAGAAAACATAGAATAAGTAGGGAAAAGAATGGAATCTATAGGCCTACATGTCTGAACAGGGTGTTCATTATTTCTTAACACAATTTTCAGCTTTAGCCAAACTTCACCAAATGGTAGCCATATTCAGTCCCTCAATCAACCACCTATTTAAATGTTAGGCACTGTAAGGTTAACTTTGAGTATTTGCCTTGAATATTTCAATCAGTCAAACCTAAAACTTGTAGTAAATGCAAATTTCTTGAGTTAAAAATCTTTTCTTATCTACTTATCATAAAGTTAAAAACTTACCAAATCCTACACCCATAAAACAGATAACAAATGTCATACTGATTAATAAACTGCTTATAGAAATACCAATCAAAGCTATTAATCCACCCAACATAACTACACGCCGTGCTGTAAAATGTTCTCCCAATACAATACACAAAGGAGCTGAAAAATACACAATAATACATGTATGTAGTTATAAAACAAATACAAACCAATGGTGTAAATGTTCTTCAATATTATAAAACAGATTAGAAACAGGAGATTACATATTTCTCTAATACAAACAGGTGATTACAAACAGGAACTTATTTTTTCTTGTTATACAAACCAGTTATTATAAACAAGATCTAATATATGTCTAATAATGCAAATAGTTGAAACAGGTGATTACACACAGGACCTTATATATTTCTCATAATACAAACAGTTGATTAAAAACAGAAGCCAAAATATTTTCCATAATACAAACAGATGATTATGAACAGGATCAAATATATTTGCAATGATTTAAACAGTTTAAGAGGTGATTACAAGCAAGATCTAATACATTTCTCATAAAACAGTTAAACTGTTGAAACGGGTGCTAACCAACTGAAGGTTATTGCAAACAGAGGTTATTTTGAAGTATTTCTGTTATCATGAACAATAAATAATAATATCATGAAGAATAAAGCTTACCACAAAATGCATAAACAATACCAGAAACACTAATGACCATAGTTGCCATTGCTGTAGATACTTCAAAAGTTCGAATAAATTCTTCTACTAATAAACCAAATGATTTAGCTATACCAACCATAAGGAACGTGTTGAAAAAACCACCTGAAATTAAATATAATACATATATCATTATGAAGTCATGTGCATAAACATTTTTTTATGTTTGAACTGTATATTATAATTTCAAACATATAGGTAGTTTGAATTTTAAATAAGGAGGAAAGTAATAAGTCTATGATTAAAAAAATAGAAAATGCTCCTGCAAATTGAAGAAAAAATACCAAAAATGCATGTATACATATATAGCTGTAACTATATCATACACCAAATAAACATATACGATATGTGGACTCTCCGCAAGGGATGCCAAGCTGACAAAGCCCGATTCTAAGTTACTTAGCGTTTCCAGTAATAGTGAGCATGGTACGTCTCGATAGTCAAACCTGGAAAGTGCTGTTCCTTGTGGTATTATATATATCATAAACATAAAGATTAACAAGAAACGAACATACCAATCACTATGACCCAAGCCCATCCTTTATCTATAGGCAGATTGTTATTTGAAGATTTCATATTTGTTGCCAGTATGTATCAACTTCCATTAATACTCATATATATTACTCTAGGTTGGACCTGAAACATCTTTAAAACTCAATTTGAATTTACAGGGAAAAACTGTTTTAAATTTTTCGCTATTCTCAGATGATTCATGGTGACCCACCACATAACTTAACATAATTGAAATTTATGTTCGATATCATGTGTAATTGAATGAAAAATATAGATAAGGGCTATTACTAGCAACAATTTGTTTATCTTGCTCCAGATCTTGTCAAGCTGAGGCAAATATGTTCCTAAAACTGGATAAAAACTTTAGCAACAACCACTTGAGATATATGGTTGATATTGACACACAATAACAATTAACATAATTCTGAAGATTCTAATCAACTGTGCAGTGTAACTATAGTTCATTTTGTTAAAACTATTAACAAATTCTATTCAGTAAACTTAATCAACTTGAACTAATCAACAAGTTATCTGCTCAAACTCAACAGTTAAATTGATGTAAAATATAATGATTAAAATTATACTCACGTGTCCATAAAGCATGAGTAACAAAAAATTATTCTGTAAACACAGTACTATCCTCAAACCTGTTTAGCAACATACTTTTCAAATATTCAAGACTGAAATGCAATGTATTAAAAATGTCTTATTAGTAACATATATGGATAAAAAACTTAAACTCCTTGTCTCTTGGTTTGAAACCCATGTAGACATCTCAGTATATATTCATCACTATCCACATTATTTCTTTAAAATAAAACATGAAAACACAGGTTTATTAAGACTATTGTACATGCTCAAAGACAAAAATCCAACATAATTGACACAAATAAATAATGAATAATCTATAAGGGTATCAACACATTCATTACATTGTAGTATAGTGTTAGAGTGAAATAGCCTATGAGGAAATAAAGCGGAGATGAATACCAATTGAGGCGTGTCTATTTGGTCATGGTTCATCAAATATTATGATCAGCCCACACTGAACTCGAACTACCTTCATACAGACCAATGGTAAACACTTCAGGGGCAAAACACAAATATAATATATTAAATTACTAGTAAGATAGAGCAATGCTGGAATACTCTTTACTGTATTGTGATGAATAACCCAAGTTCAAATTATACAAGTTCTTATTAAAAATAGTATTTGGTTGTGTAAGCCTATCCTTATTTTATTAGAAGAAACAATCAGCATATCAACCTACATATAACAAACATAGAACTACTGTCTGAGCAAAGTAAAAAGTTTTTTAATTTGTTTCAATTATTTCTATAAGAATTGAAATAGCAGCCTCAAAATATTACTGTTAGTCTTAGAATGTCTGAGTTGATAAAAATATAAACATGGGCACACATAATTTTCTTCAAAATTTGTTTATACAGAGGACAATTTTCAGCCAAAATTTAGGCTATGTTTGGGGTTGAAATTTCTTGAAGAGATATGTGTTTCTTTTCAATGTAAACTTACGAAAAAATATAGTTCTATCAATGCAAAAACATTCTAAGACTAACAGTACCAGTTTGAGGCTGTTATTAGAATTCTTTTAAAAATTACAAAGATGTTTTACATTGCTCAGACAATACAGTTTCAACAATATTTATTTCTATACAAAGTACAAAATATAAAGAAGAAAATACAAATTAATACACAATAGTTGATCCAGAGACAAGCATAATGCTTATATTAGACTGTTTCGAACGTATCTATATACAAAATAATTTACAATTTTTTAGAATAAAGAATATTTGAATTTGTGCAACAGCAAGTCTATTATAGTAAAATAGGTGTAATGAAATCTGTAAGTTAGGCCGGAAATCTATTCATTGGTATAAAGTGGCAACATACTCTAAGCTATATAGTAGTAAATTTCGAAATGTAGTAGACAATACGTGGCAACTCTTCTATTAGATAGCTGATTTTTGGCTAGTCTGACTATTCAAGATTAATCTTTGTGAATTCAAACAGTTTCTTTTTCAGAAATTTGTTCTTGAAACACAAAAAATAGTCAAAATAATGTTTTCTCTGCAAAAGTCGTCTGCTGAAATAAAAATGACTTTAGTAGCTCTACAATGAATTTGATATTAGTAAGAATACCTATAACATATGTATATCCTACAAGATAGTATTGACATTTTGTTGTTATGAACTATATCAATGAAAGAAATTCAATTCAATCTGTGTAGATAGAGATATTCTTCTAATTGTTGTTTGAAGTAAGAGAGTTAACTCCCTTCTATAACAATCGCCATCGATCAATAAATATTTTTTATCGATGAACGAAAACCCAGAGAAGAACATTCTTCTGAAATAAAAGACGATAATTTTTCCACATTATGGAATCCTACATTTATCTGATTCCATAAGAATGAACACAGACTGCTGAGCTGATCGAAAATGCCATATGTTTTCAAGAAAAATTGTAAGTAAATAACGTACCACCTTCCATGCACTTTTCAAGGAAGAGCAAACAAACGTGGGGTGTATGTGATTTGCCGGTCTGTCGGTCTTTACTCGGCACTCCGCTCTGCAAGTCTTGATACTAGGCTAGGCCAAATGCATTCTGATCACAAAAAGTTGTCACTGTACGAATCAATCAGCTTGTTATATAAACACGAGAATTTTATCCAACTTGTTTGCTTGTTTATAAAACGGGCACATTATTTTAAGACAAAATGACTTACTCTCTGGCCACATTGATGATTGAATTTTTTCTCTCGTGTCACAAATATTCAAAATATGATTTTTAAGTGCAAACCAATTGTCTTAGAATGCCTTTGGGTCCATGAATATATACGTTTTGAAAATTTTGCACTTGAAATGAACACACTTCTCTCCATGTGAAAATGACAAGGACATTTTGAACTGAAAATCTCCCTCTGTAAAATCATAGATTCAAATAATTTTGTTTTAAATGGTTGGCTTTTTCATCAACCCAAAGACAATCTAATACTCTCAGCAATATTTGGAGATTAATATTTCAATTCATACAAAAATGATAGCCAAAATGTGAGAAGTTGATGTGGTCAGCGAGTAGGACTTCTTCACATCACAAGATGAGCAGGGCGATATGGAGAAGAGCGCTTAGTAGGGTGTCTTCCCATTATAAACTCTTCTAATTCCGTCCCTCCCAATTCGACCAAGACCGAAACATTTGTCTTTAATCCAGTCTCTGAGACTGACCCTGTTAAATGGGAACTTTCCGTATCTCTGCAGGTGCAGGATTTTTAAACCTAATTAGATACCTTAGGCAAAACCCACATATATTTGGAAAGATGAATATTTTTGTAATTCAGTCATTTTCTCCCTACACCATTTATGTCACGTTTGCGGTTCCATCAAAATTTATTTTAAAGAAACTTATCTCGCATCGACCATTGAAAAATGCCTGCGAAAAAGGTTTAGAGGGCCCAGAGTCACGTGACATACACAAAAACGAAAGCTATGGTGATACCGAACATTAATTTACAGCAATCGCCAAAGTAATTAAATATTATGTTAGATAAAACGCATCTTCATTTAACATGGTCTTTTTCTCTGACTCCACTCCAGCGGCTGTCAAAATATCTATCAGAGTCAAATCATTCCTGTTTCGCCGCTTCTGTGTTTCGCCCAATATCACCCTTGCTTTACCTGTCCTGCTTTACCCATTCACCCCTTACCCATTTCCCCCTTTCAACACCCCCCCCCCCCCCCCCCTCTTCTCGTTTAAATTATGCTTTTCAATAGGCCTATGCAATTGCTTTTGTGTCATCACATTACTCTTTTTGGAAAGGATTCAATTATGTTTGTGCAATTTGGGTCGGATCCTTTTGTAAAGTGAAGGGGCGAATTAGGAAGGGTCCGAGTGCGAATGAGGGGCGAAAATTGAAGGGAACTAAATTGGAGAGGGTTGAGTGAAATCGAATAATGACAAAATGAAAAAGGGGACAATAGTTCTGTTATTTAATCTTAGCATCCTTTTCTGTTTAGTCCGAAACTCGCCGTCACTAGTTATTGATATATTAACTAGTTATTGATATTATCTGCTGCTGTAGAACTGACCTAAACAAATATATTACATAAAGAGACATAAGAGTCAACATGTTTCGGACTTTCTTACCATCATCTGTCGAATTATCATTGTAGATTGACAATAATAAATTGTTACGCCATGTTATTCTCCGGGCTGAATTGACATTTACGCATTCACTCGAACTAGGCTTATGGTAACGAGTAGAATATATTGAGGTAATGAGGGTTGTGATGCTTTATGTCGAGTTAACAGTTAGTATATTTTCACAAGGTAGACGACATTGAGGTATGTATTACAGCGATGAACAACTGATCAGTATTATTTTGTCAAGGTCATGTTTCGATTTCCAATTGCGTTTTAACCTTCAGACACTAGAAACACACAGAGCCTCTTTTTGCTGTCCTTTCGTTCGTAATATTAAAACAAAACTTGAATCATGTTGTTACTCAGAGTTTGATGCTATGTGATCTTCAGACAACCGACCTATTTTCAGCTAGCGACTCTACTGAATTTGGACAAGTATAACTTATTCTCATGTCTACATTAAAATAGGGACTGAAAATAGGTCATTTGTCTAAAGATCGCATAACATGAAAATCTGATCAGCAAAATTCAATTTAAGTTGTAATATTTTAATAGCGCCCTTTAATTGTATTGAAACTCAAAACTGTTGATTTAGTGTATAATAAAAGGGTTGCATTGTTTGCAAATTGTGAAACCTTTTTGGTTGATTTTTTATTTGTCTGCCCTTATATAATGGGTTATTTCTGAAAACAGATGCTAGTATTCTGCACATAATTTAAATAAATATGCATATAGAGGACAACACTGTCTCACTCCTCTACAGATTACTAAAGGATTTTGATGTCTATCCGTTGTTTAAAGCGCTGCTTGTTATGTTAGTGCAAAATATTTTTTATCGATAAAGTCCCAAAGATTGCAAAGAATCAACAATTTTTTAAAATCAATTTGGAATAACATTGCTCCTTCATTATTGTCTTCCAAATAATCTATATTTTCTAACCTACTCTAATCTCTTAAATTTTCTTCAATATATCGCCCTTTATTACAGCCTTTGTGGTGTCCGTGGTTTAGTTAATACATGTATTTTATAATCACAATTTAAAAGACTTTTGGGTCGCCAATTTATAATTATATATTTTGTGTCTTTGTCTGATTTCGGTAAAAGAGATATAATTCCATGTCTTTGTGAAAAACTATATTGATATTTTTAAATAATCGTTAAAGATGAGTTCCCTTATTTTTATTTATGAAGATGAAAATGCCAATACTTATATGAATATAAAGTGGAGATGTTCTTATAATGACTTGGAAAAATACCAGTTTCTCTCACATTTCCAAAAATTAATTCATAATTAGCTCAATTAGAAGAGATTACCAGCAGAATTCCAATGAATGACTGATCAAGAAAGGCCAAAAAGTCTTTTTTTGTTTATCCAAACAGTACATACATGGACACTTATGATTGGCTAAAACTATATGCAATAACAACATAATGATTTGATTAAGAATACATGATAATTCATTAGAAACACCAATTAATCAAATAGTTTGCTTAATTTGCCACTAGAAAATAAGGAAACCCATATTTAAACGAATTAAAAACAAAAGGACGTATTTCTTTCCAGAAGATTTAATTAAAATTCAATAGAAATACCACATTTACCGTTTTAAAAAGAGATTTGAATTTCCCTATATTCCATAACTGTTGCTATTGCACCTTCGCAGATATACCGACTACTTTTACGTTACATGTATTCAGAATTGAATCGTAAACTTTCTTCTAGTAATCCAAGTATTTTTACGGTTTTCCTCCTTGAATACTGCTCGTAATAATTCTCAGATCTCTCACATTCAATCAGTCTTGTTTCTAAATCAACTATAGTTTCAAATCAGTTTCCTTCGGTTCGTTTAGCGTTGAAATCATATCTACAATGCCAGGTCGAAGTTCATTTTGTAAGTCACGTTTTATTGCTTTTTTCAACTCCATGGCAAAGACGTTTAAGTTTTCTTTTGTAACCATATTGTCTCGCTCAAAAGAGGGCGAAGGATTGAGTTATTGGACAGAGATGAGTTTGAAACCAAATCTCTCGTACGCTTTAGAGTTGGCTGTCGTTTCTCTAAGATTTTTTTTTTAGAATTTGCCAGAAATTTTGAAAGTTTATGTTTTCTTTTTGCAGTTTAGTCTCTTTACTTATTTATTTACAAAATGAGTATCAGTCAAACACATATATATTTGCTCATCCGCACTGCGTCATATTTTCAAGGGTGTAAAAGGTAACGCATTCAGAGGGTTTGACTAATTCCTCAAATGAATATGGACATGGAACAATGTTGAATGATAAAGAATAAATGCAACTTTGTTTAAATACAATAAACTACAAATTTTTAAAATATTTTCATTCTAGCATTCTGGTGCTATTTCGGAAGACATTTCAAAAAGATTGTACTGTTCAATACATGAAGATGACTTTGATATGAAGAGCAAAAGGGAATTGGACGCGGTCCCCTCTCCTGATATTTCATAGAAACGCAACTGCACTGACATCGTGATGCTATTTCGAAAATATTCTACATTTATACTTTATTGTGAATGAACCAAGCTGCATATGTTTTAATATCAATTTAGAGTGACAAATGTTATTACGCATTTGAAGAATTACTCAAATCCTTTAAATGCGTTATGCGTTACCTTAAAAAAAATAATGGACTGGTTTATGTTTTGACGGTACCCAGATGAGCAAAAATACATTTAATAGGTATGTAGGTCAATGACTGATTATACTTGTATGTATTTCACCTGACATTTATGTTTCAATGATATTTGCAATTACGAGATGTAGAAGACGATAATCCATATATCGTATATAAGCATTGTATCACCATTCTCATGTTTTATTCATTAGTAGTCATAGTCATTAGTAAGGCTGTGGACTTGCGTGGATTAGGGCATGTCCTATGGGAAATTTTTTTAACTTGTTTACCTGTGGGTCATATTGAATAGACTCAAGATGTTGAGCATGTACTTAAAATGCTGCTATAAAAGCGGTTTTAAGCGCACTCAAAGTCGGAAAGTACCAAAACTTTCAAATTTTCACCATGAGCTTATCAAAAACTGCGGCACATATTTATCACATACATAGATGTGAAATAAAAAAAAATAGTGTACTTAAATAGATACAATACGTGATAAAGTTTATTCATTTTACTGGACCAAAACTATTGATTTAGGTCAAGTCTTGATTTAGTTTAATCAATAAAAGTTATATAATATATAACAGATAATAATGAAGATAGTAACAGCTATGTGTAATGAAAGTAGAGGAATTGGGTTTAAAAACGCACTCCCTTGGCCCAAATTACCGTAAGTCATTTTGAATTCTTGGTTACATATTTTCTACATACATCAATCCATCTTAATTGTTGTCTGAATTGAAATGACATGGCGTTATACGTCCCATTTCCCGTCAATTGAAGACGAGCAGTGTGCACTTATGCAATAGAAGGAATTTTACCAGGACAGTGACATTACTAATTCCAACTGCCTATGGATTTTATTGTGTCTGTATAGTAACAATTCACAATCCAGCTTCTTGCAAAATATATGTCTTAAGGTGTAGAGATGGTTTAGGTCATCATCTGTACTCAGGACAATGCTTGACGCTTGTAGTTTTCAATTATCTTAAAACAGTTCTGAATATCTCCACGGAACCCGCTTGTTTAAATAAATTTTCCATATTGCAGAGGCGATTACAAACATTACAGAGGACTAGTTGCACCTAAATATACAGGTAAGGTCGTAGTTTTTGTTTTTAATTCTTCTTATCTTTTTCAACAAGTGCAGTTTACGTATAGCAGTCAATGGACGACGTAATGACAATCGTTAGGTTCGTCACGAAGTTTTGAACCTAGAAAACCTAAGTCAAATGACATATACATTTTAGAGAAGAAGAATAAAAAACAACATCTATCGTTTAAGCTAAATTATTGTCAGAATTATTGTTGATATGTTCGCCGAGTATGCATTGTGGGATATTAGAAATGGAACAGATGACATTGAAAATGTGTTGAATTTTCTCTGTTGGGTAACTATCCCTACCACCATGCTTGATCTGACCTGAAATTGCTGTTGTTTGATATTTTACAGGAGAGAAGACAGCTAATATCAAAGGTAGATTAACATGGTTGTCAACAGACCATAGTGAGAGCAATCAACCGGGAGTTATAAATATTGTAATAACTACACTTCCAAAGTAAGACCATAGATAATAGTTCTGAAAATTAGTGATATATAGTTGTTTAAACTTTGTAAAATTTCACTGGGCCATTTCGAAAATTGTGTTATTATGAATTTTATATTGATATGATTTTCGATGTTTGATTTTTAGCCAATTGTTTTGAGTTTTGGAACACCAGCAGAAGATAATCCTAAAACCTTTCAAGCTTACCAAAGGACAATGGATATTTAAGAAATATTTCCTTTCTATTGCAGAGAATCACTGAAGTCATCCAAAGTACACTATACTTCTGAAAGTTTGTCTGAAGCTCATCAACTAGCTCTGGAATGTGGTATAAAAGAAGATAATATATGGATTATGGGTGGTCATGGTATATACAAGGTATTGTATTATTATTTACCATTAAAGCTGACTATTATATTACAGCTTGATTCTTGATTTGAATTCTTCAAGTGAATTGCAAAAGAAAGCGCAGAAGTATAAATGCAATCGTTTAAAGGGGTATGTCGCTTTTTTATAAAAAGTTTTCATCATCAAAAACGTAAATTAAACCTGAAAATATTTCTAAAGTATGCTATTTATATCAACTTGATCAAACTGAATTTGTTTTCAAAGGGTCAATTAAAAACGAAGAGTACTAATTGTTAATGAAGCAGCTTGGTGTTTGGGTTTATAATGCCTCGATATTATTAGTTAAAACCTTAGGACTACGTAGGAGACATATTTCTCTACAATTATTTTATTTTACTCAAATCCGTACACATCTTCCAAAAAGCATAACGAACTTAAAAACCTAAAGTAATGTTTTTAAAAAATTTTTGGCGTTTGGAAATTAACGGCTGAATTTATTTAGTTACAGATAACATAAAGGGTACATTTCTTTAGATTTTGGTGTATAGTACATATTTTCGACCTACAAAATGATCGCATCCTTTTATCAATAATAAATTTTTTATCCGAGTATGAGGTGGTCAATGCTAACCAATCTAAATGACCTCTTTCATACGGAGATGACATCCACCTTGTAAAAGAACCAAACGAATCTTAATTTAAACGACATTTCACCCCAGAGATCATTTTATTAATCCCGTTTTGCTGTATTAAAAAGTACTTGTAATCTTCATTATTTAGGATGCTATTGCACACCCAGAATGTTCTCATCTATATCTTACCAGAATCTATAAAGAATTTGATTCAGATGTCACTCTTCCGGCATTTGAACATCAATTTCAAAAGAAAAGGTAAGAGTGCTACTAAAACTAGAATTACAATTTCAAAGATGGTTATGACTGTGTAGACCCCGATTGATTTGAATATTTCAAGAAAATTGCGCTCCAGAAATAGAGGCAGAGAAAAGGTTTTTTTTACAGATATGATTATACTTTACTTGGTATAGCCAACCTTACCTTGCCAATATGATAATGATATTATATTTATTTTCTTACTTCCAGGGACTTAACCATTCCTGACAATGTCCAAGAGGAAAATGGTGTAAGATACCAATTTGAAGTTTATGAAAGAACGTGATGAGCTAGTGATGAACCAATCCTGTTGTGTTGTCGTTAACAATGTGTGCCGTCAAGGTTATATGACAGTGTTGCTATGAAGTAAAATAATAATTCAATTTCATGTTATGATCTTTGGTCTAGCAAGTAGAAACAAAATGTTGTGTCATCAGGGATCTTGGTCTCTTACATTTCTGAACAGCGTGTCAAAATTTATTGATACAGTGAGTTAGTGAGTTAGTTCTACCGCATACGTCAGTACGGCAATGAGTTTGTCACTCCGTCAATGAGTTCGCCACCCCGTCAATGAATTCGCCTCTTCTCCGTCACTTGGGTGCATCAATACATCGATGCTACCTTACAACACCTTACCTCGTTTATAATAAGTTCGATATTTGACGGAGTATTTGAATCGAATAGTCAATAGAACATGTCCTACAACAATGTTATCGCTTTGGCACGTTTGTTTCGACGTAATAAACACTAATAAACAGTAATACTATATAATTATGCGTTTATAGGTGTTCGATTCTTTAAAACTCAATACTTAAATCTGATTACACCTTCTAGCCTTAAATCTATAGTCGGGTTTCTCTCGCATGATATTTATCATTCTAAAATATATATTGTTGTGGCGTTGCGGATGTTTTAAACATTTTTTCTTATTAACTTTTGTGATCAGTTATCTCCTTTGAAACTTTAAATTAGATGAAAACAATATCTTCAGTTACCTTCTTAAAGTATTAAAATTGGTCAGTCAAGTCACTGTGTTTTAGGCAGTTGTTTTGACCTTTTCTTGTGTATGATTGGCTCGCAACTATAATGTGTGTGGCGCCAGATGACAACTCTTCTTGACACCTGAACCACTTTATGGAATACCTACTCACTTATGATTGATATACTTCCTCGTGTGAAAAGTTGTTTTTTTAATATGTTGTTTTGGATTTCGGGTTTCATTTTGCGGGATCAGATCGTTAGTATTTGCTTTTGTTTTATATATATCATTCTGAGTAAGAGCGAGTTGTTAGACTCGTTTCTCTAACCCTTTTTTTTTAAAGAAGAACAAAAGACAACTATAAACTATTTACTCAAGGGCGTTTATTTTTGGAAGAAGGATATTAGTGTTTGATGCACATCTACAGAGTGGACAACCCTTAGCATCTTTGGCAAATCCACCACCATTTGGACAGTATAAATCACACAGAGCCATAAAACTGAAGTCACATCCTGAATAAACATAAATAGAAAAAAAATGATTAAAAATTGAAATTAAATGAACAAAAGAAAAAAAATAAAACCTAGTCAAATTTGTCAATCAAAGTTCTTTTACATCACTTGGGACACCTTAAGCATAGACAAATTTATGTCCAAAAGCCAGAACAAAGTTGATTGAGGTAAATAAGAAATAAGTCTGATGATCTTCTATAAAGGCGTCAAAACATGTCAGCAAAAGGTTTTTTTTAACACCATCTGCTCAGCGGACAAAATAGCTTATGCATGAGAGATCTTCTGCAAGAGATTTGATTATAGGAGCGAATACCCCTTTCAGTGATTAATTATAACATAAGTTACCGTTTTTATCAATAAGTGTATGTGTTTTTTGACATGTGTGTTCACAACCATTGGATCTACAGACAGTACCAGCTGGACAAGGGAGTCCAGAACCTCTAATAGAACACATCTCTACACAAATACCATTACCAAAAGATAGCAATAACTCTACAGAGAGCACCACTGTAATGAGTAACAATTCATTAAGTACTTCTGGGGGGTCAAACGTCCAATCAAGTGGGGCAGTTTAGGTATCCCCCCTCCCCTCCCGGAAAACTTTATGAATTGTTACGCAATTCAGTGGTGCTCTATATATAGAGTTATTGCTATCTTTATTGCTGCCGAGGACGCCCATTGGAAGCCTGGAAACACGATTTTTTGAAGTCTGGGGACCTCCTCTAGAAATTTTTGTAGAGAATTTGACTCTCTGAAACTCGATTTCCTGACATTTCCTGGCGAATTTAAGGTTTCTTTGTTTATATTGTATTGAGGGGCGACCCTACTTTGCTCCAAAAGTGGGGAGTATCGCATTTATAGCTTTGGGTCAATTTGTAGATATACAAATGTATATAAATAAACGTTAGTTATTCTTCTCTGACTCTAAATAATGCAATAATCGTTCAAACTATTTTGGCAATATGAAATAGGCCTACAATTGTCTCTTGACCTCTCTTGAAGCTACCTCCAATGCGCAATATATCGATACTCAGATAATGCCAGAGATTATTGTAGGCCAATTTCCTTATCGATTTATATCACGATAATCGATTATATTTATTTGTATATTTCCGAACTATAGTGGTCAATTGAATGAATGAAGTGAATATGACGTCCAGGTCAGATGTATGAATGAATTGAATTTTCATTAATGGCTATTTTTTAGGAGTGGGGGGCGGGGGGGGGGGGTGCTTGATGCAGGGATATATCTGATTGTAGGCCCTGAATTATGCAATACATTTACTGGATTAAATGTTCGTGTTATATTTTGGATTCTAATTGTTCTACTTATAAGTGGGTGTAGTACTAATCGTACCTTGATAAAAATAAAAATGTTGAGAAACAGACACCTGCAGTATAATCTATTGTATGAGTCCAGAATTTAACAATCAGTTAACTCTTATAATTTGAACAAGCCAAGATGAAGCCTTTGCTAATTTTGGTATCATGTATCTGTGTAGGTAAGTAGGGCCTAGTCCGGATTCCACAAAATGTAGAAAGATGCAAAAATCCATTTATATTGGCACAGTCGTCTAAATATTTGTTCGATCAATTAGTATAGCTTATTTTGAGCTACTCTTCGGAAAGAAAATCTGATGTCTAATGATAAACAATAAACAAGCAAGCTTGACAGCGGTCTATTTCCAATGTTGTCCATAAAACTGCAAACATTACCGTTTCGTTAAAAAATTTTGTGAGGAATCTGAAGGTAAGTGAATGTTAATAACAGTCTGGAAAATTAAACTGTTGTATTTTTAGAATCTTGTACCAGGTATTGTGCCTCTGTAATTTAGCTCTATTACAAGGTTAAGTTAGTTAGAAGATTAATAACGACATGAAAACGTTGACTGTTGTGATTGCACTAACAGTTCACTATTTTACATTCTATAAAGTGATGGCAAGTTAAATATTTAAGCGACTAACCGTCAATATAAGCTATTATTTTATGAAATTCTTTAAGATGCTTTTGAACTGTAAAGCTTAACACTGGTTCTACATCGACCTCTTTACAGAATTGTTAATCTTTTAGGATAACGAAAGCAAGTAAAATATTCCATAATTGAGTAATGGCGAAGATATCACGTACTACCTCTGTGGCTTATAAAGTTTTTTTTTCATAGTTGCTCTTGCGGCACCATCCAAGCGACAGTTTGGTATTTGTGTAGAGATGTGTTCTATTAGAGGTTCTGGACTCCCTTGTCCAGCTGGTACAGTCTGTAGATCCAATGGTTGTGGACACACATGTCAAAAAACACATACACTTATTGATAAAAACGGTAACTTATGTTATAATTAATCACTGAAAGGGGTATTCGCTCCTATAATCAAATCTCTTGCCGAAGATCTCTCATGCATAAGCTATTTTGTTCGCTGAGCAGATGGTGTTAAAAAAAACCTTTTGCTGACATGTTTTGACGCCTTTATAGAAGATCATCAGACTTATTTCTTATTTACCTCAATCAACTTTGTTCTGGCATTTGGACAATGACATCATAAATTTGTCTATGCTTAAGGTGTCCCAAGTGATGTAATGTTTTTCACATTTTATTTATCTACTTTTGTTCATTTAATTTCAATTTTTAATCATTTTTTTTCTATTTATGTTTATTCAGGATGTGACTTCAGTTTTATGGCTCTGTGTGATTTATACTGTCCAAATGGTGGTGGATTTGCCAAAGATGCTAAGGGTTGTCCACTCTGTAGATGTGCATCAAACACTAATATCCTTCTTCCAAAAATAAACGCCCTTGAGTAAATAGTTTATAGTTGTCTTTTGTTCTTCTTTTAAAAAAAAAGGGTTAGAGAAACGAGTCTAACAACCCGCTCTTACTCAGAATGATATATATAAAACAAAAGCAAATACTAACGATCTGAAGCCGCAAAATGAAACCCGAGGAATTATATCAATCATAAGTGAGTAGGTTTCCATAAAGTGGTATCAGGTGTCAAGAAGGGTTGTCATCTGGCGCCACACACATTATAGTTGCGAACCAATCATACACAAGAAAAGGTTAAAACAACTGCCCAAAACACAGTGACTTGACTGACCAATTTTAATACTTTAAGGAGGTAACTGAAGATATTGTTTTCATCTAATTTAAAGTTTCAAAGGAGATAACTGATCACAAAAGTTAATAAGAAAAAATGTTTAAAACATCCGCAACGCCACAACAATATATATTTTAGAATAATAAATATCATGCGAGAGAAACCCGACTATAGATTTAAGGCTAGAAGGTGTAATCAGATTTAAGTATTGAGTTTTAAAGAATCGAACACCTATAAACGCATAAGTATTACTGTTTATTACGTCAAAACAAACGTGCCTAAGCGATAACACTGTTACAGTTATCGAATTATTACGTCATAATAAGAACAAATTATAATTCTGTTGTTAATTAACGAACGGTTTGAACCAGACGTCCAGTTTCAACATTTACCTTTAGCATGGGGATTTTTACTCAGTGTTTTTGTTGTAAACCATGTAAGAACGACCGATACAGAAAACAATCGTCACCAAGAACAACGTATTCACCAGAAAATATCGAGCAGAGTCAATTTGTTTATTCACCAAAATTAACAGTAAAAGAAGATTATTTATTTAGACCATCAATACAACAACTGGCTCAACAATTTTCTGTTGAAAATCTGAAGCTAGATAAACCAATAGGATTACCATTGTCTTCATGTTACCTTGATTTACCACAAATATCACTAGAGTCACGTTCAGAATCACTAGAACCACGCAAGGAATCTCCAAAACCGAGTAGTGGATCACCAGCAGTAGGTATTAAATCATTAGAACCAGAAATTTTATCACCAGCTACAAATATCAAAGTAATTCATGTCAAACAAGCATTAGATCTGTGGAAAAGTGATAAGTCAACTGGATTAAAAGATGATGGGGATGATTTAGGTATGAATAATTTGGTACCATCTGAAGTTATTGCTGGTCCAAAAGGAATTAAACAGATTAAAGTCAAACCAGTAAAGCAATCTTTATATCTAGTTCAAGAGACTAATGATGAACTTGACAGTAGAATAACAACACATTCAAGTCAGGTAATTGACTTCTAACCTGGTTCAATTGTGAATCACCACTGTTTTGTTTAACCTCGATGTATAAGTAATATTCTGTACACGTCCTTTATGTAACTAAGAACAGTGGTATCTACAATATGTATTAATATTACCAGAACCAACACCGAAACGTATACTGTCAATGTTTAGTAAAATGAACTAATGGCGGTGCCGGTGGGGGATTAGGGGAGCATAAGCCGTCCTAGAAAAATGATTTGTACCCCCACACTTTATTTCTTACACATTTTAGAACACCATTCGTTTTTGTTACTTTGCTACTATGCCGCTTCCACATAGCTGCCGAATTTTGAATGACAACCTTAACAGTTTACCACCCATAAGTCAGTTTGTCCTCTATTTGTACCCCCAGTCTCGACGAGGCTGGCACCGCCACTGAAATGAACTTTTTTTTCGTCAGGTGGCAGTTTGTGATTCTAGTCGTCTACTGGAAGAAAATGTCGGAAAACCTTGTGCATGTCGATTGATGTACAATAATAACAATAGAACTAATAATAGTGTTAGTTCTGGTATTTCAACTATGACTCTACAAGAATCTTCATTTAAACCTCAACCTAAACCTGATCGGGTTACAATGTTCTGTGTTACTAGAGACAAAGCATGGAGACAACAGCCGAACTCATTTATAGATAAAGTATCAAATATCAAGAACAAGACTAAGAAAAACCAGGTAACAGTATTTAAAATTGAAGGGAACTGCTTGCATTCATTTCACATCGACTGACAACTCTTCAGGAACCAACGAAATGTCACTTCATATTCCGTTTTAAAAAAAGATAGTCTATTCAACAGTTGAGTCACTAACCAAAAACATGGATGCTTATACATAGTTACAGAGAGCAGTCGCAGTTTTCTTTGGTCAGATTGGGTTGATGCGGTTCAGTAGTTGTGATTTTATACTAAGTGAAGTTTACTTGTTTTTAGGTAACTTATACAAACATAGAAACAGTTGTAGAGCGCCAAGACGAGGACGAAGAACTTGAACAGAAAAACAAATTAAAGAACATCTTTAAAAGGTTTTCTTGCTGATAAGTCGGGAAAGGATTTGATATTATGCAGTTTATGTTGAATGGGATTAAACCGTTATATAATAAATGTTGTTATTAACACCAAATTTGATACAGTAATGCCACTAGCATGACAGCGAGTCGTACTAGAGCAACCTTTCAATTAGATAATATTATTTACGATAATCAATAATTTCAGAATATGCAATTTCGTCTGGTAAACGGTATTGGCTTTGGTCAACAACGATGTTTTGTAATTATCAGGGAATGCTGTGATGTTTTTGTTAGCAATGTCTAAACTTTTCTTTAAAAACTGATTTCTATTATAAATATCATCAATTGTATTGGACTGTGCAAAAGATTGTCCACGGTCACCAGAAATTTTACACGTGGGTGCAGACAAATATCAAAACTTATATTCCAATGATAAAACCAATCGCCATTCAATAATACTGAAATGACCCAACTTCTGGTTTGTGACACAGAAGAATAAGTTAAATAAGGTTCATTTAGTTTAAAATGTCATTGACAAGTACATATATTCATATTATGTATATTTAATTGTACATGATGCATGTCTTATAGATACAAATAAAGGCTGTGCACAAAAGTTAAATTCATTTTTATGTTGACCTTCTCTCTCATCCATGCTGATCTATATAGCATATTATAAACATCCGACGACGTCACCCTATTGTACTGACGGGATTTTATATCTCATGAAATTCGTTTCAAATACGGTGGGTTCGTTTTGCCGCATTGCCGAACTTGCCGCATCGTGCCAAACTGCAGAAAAGCGACTTGTAAAACGAAACTAAAGGTTTCTGATAAAATCCGGAATGGCCATTTGTTCCATATGAAACAAAATATTTTAATATATTGTCCCGCATCGATTTTCTTTTTATTTATAATTTGGACCTGATTGCCTATAACGTCACACACGTGCTAAATTATAGGGCATATCTAAAACGAGAAGTTTAAATTTCTCATCGCTTGACAATTCTGTTTAACTGTTGAGAAGATTTTCACTTTCAGTTGCCATTTTGTCTAGCAATTGTGTGACTTTATAGGCACATACCTCTTGCAAGTTATAACCAATTTTATCTAATGTGTATTACGGTTCTGATCGTTTGTAGCCTACTTGGTATTTATTTTCTTCCAGATTTGACCATAAAACTAGTTTCGATTTTCCCAACAGGTCCAAATTATAAATAAAAAGAAAATCGATGCGGGACAATAGATTAAAATATTTCGTTTCATATGAAACAAATGGCCATTCCGGATTTTATCAGAAACCTTTAGTTTCGTTTTACAAGTCGTTATGCGCAATTGGGCACGATGCGGCAAGTTGGGCAATGCGGCAAAACGAACCCATCGTTTCAAATAAAATCCCGGAGATTTAAGATATTACATATAAGTTTAGTGGAATTTTATATATAAAATCGCGGGGTATTTATCTTAAACTCTTATTGAATCCAGGCTCCATATAGTCTGCCTGCAGGTGAATTAACCAAGTTTGTAGATACGAGTTTCACCCCTTTGCCAGAAAACTTTTTTTTATGCGAGAATGATTTGGATTAATAAATAATAGAGATTACCTTCTTTAACACCAGTGGGCACTATTATATGTTCATGCGAAGTGCAAACAGCATTTAAACATTAAGTTAAAATTTTAAATCTAATTGTAAGAAAAATCGTTTTATAATATTTTTATTTTATTTTCATAAATTAAAATTTTAATATCATTCAACAACCAGGTCAAATACTCTTACCAACTAACAACCAGTTGACATGCACGTAAATTATTATAGAACCTGTCATGATTGCATATATATAGTGGAAAAACAACGAAAAATACTATATACAGCACACAGGTATGATTATATACACTTATGGTGTAATCTAAAATCATTCTTATTTACGTTTATTTTAATTCAAATCGCTGCATCCCAAGAAAATCAATTATTTTAACAAATAATGCAAAAGGTAATGCTTACAAAATACACAATTTGTTAAAATCATGTTTTCATGTGTTCAAACTTTTAGATAAATCAGAAATTGACTTAGAGATGCAGTGACCATCAGTCACATTCAATGTAAGTTTTATACTCTATGCAGCACGAATTTAAAATCTATTACATTCCCAAATAATCTAAATGAATCAAATGCAGCGAATCAGTATAATGATATGAAATTTGGTGAAGCATGATACAAATGGAATGTGTATATAATTAGCATTGGTGAAATAACATAAAAATCAATATGCCATGAATTTAAAAAAAATCGTCTTTCAAGCTAAAAGCTTAGCAAATGCCGAAATCGGTGTATGTCGGGTATATACATGTAGTAAGATGAATGCAAAATGGTATCAAATTCAACAAATCTATAATGAAATGGTAAGCAAGGTCTTAAGAGTAAACCACTTTGGTTGGTGTAGCCGTGATCCAGCAGGCCGCCATCTTATAATTATTAGTAATTGCTTGCTCCAGTTTAGTATGCTGGGGCGATGTCAAAATGAGGACTTACGAGTCCAGGTTTAAATACAATATAGTCATGCTTTTCTTCACCACTCAATGTTTGTCCAACATGACCTCGCCCATAATCCTGGATTCTTTTAGCTTCAGCTGAACGTACTCCCCTGGTTTGTTTGGGTGAATCTGGTAGACCATTAGCATCACGTAGCATGGTAGACAATCTGTTTCCTCTATCCATGTTAGCAATGTTTTGAGCCTCTTTCTTGACCCTTGGTGAGGGGCGTGGATCATCAGGTTCAACCGATGTTAAGATCTTCTGCATACGAGTTCCTTTACCAATCGCAGCATTCTTAAAGGCTTCTTTTTTGACTCTTGGTGTTGTTTGGTAGTCCACCTGATCAGTTCCTCGACTGCTTAATATTTCACTCATTCTTTTACCTTTAGCCAATTCTGCATTGTTTGTGGCTGGACCTTTGACCCTTGGTACAGCCTTATTATTGTTATCCTGTCCATATTTAGAAAATATCAAATTCATTCTCACACCTTTAGAGAGATTGCTCATATCCTTTCCCTCAGATTTAACTCTCTGTGATTTGGGAGAGGGTCGGTACTGACCAAAGTCGTTGACTATTGATCTCATGCGTCCACCGGAGCTAAGACGGGCAATATTGGAAGCTTCTGGTCTAACTCGTGGTGATGGAGTGGTCTTTGGACGCTGAGGTGCATCTGTATACATCTCCTCAAACTTGATAGAGCCATTTCTGTTTAGATTATAATTTTCCTTAGATTCTCTGGTAGGACACCGTGGTGTTGGGGTGCGTTTCTCATCTTTCTGAGTTTGGATACAACATTGCTCGTTTTTAAAAACACTGTCTTGAATGCTTCCTTTGTTTTTCTGGTAATTTTCAGCTGCTTCATCTTTAACTCTTGGTTTTGGTTTAATTTCGTCATAGGAATACACTCGACTATTGTCAGGATGGTCGTTAAAGATGAATAATTTGACTGTGCCTTGGTTTTTAGTATAACTATCAGACGCTTCTCGTTTTACCCTGGGTGCAGGTCGAACCTCGTCATAACAAATATGTTTATCTCCGTCGGGTGAACCACCGATTATTTCTGATGCAACCATGTTGAAAATAGGCTGAAAGTATAAAAACAAGATAATTAGATTCCATAACAAATTATTTCATTAATACCATATAGCAAAGGTACCTGTTTTTCTATCAATGACTCTCTAATGCTTCGACAAAATACTAAAATTATCCTGAGATACGAAATAAATTCATCGAGTTCACTTCATGAAAGAAGGGAAATAATAAAAATCTAAATAAACGAGAAGACATTCAAGTGTCATCGTCACCTTCAGATACCACAAACTGTAGCCTATATATAAACAACTTTAGCCTATATTTTACAATGATTACAACTTAAATACACAAAGGAACCTTTCAACCAGCTGGTCCTTGGCCAAACCTCTTGACATTGATATTCCAGGATTATCCAAGGTTATCGAACTTTCACACGCCGACTGAGATTAGACTACCATTTATTCGACGTGACCAATTAATTGTCGTCATGTACAGAACCAACACTATAACCGACTTTGCTACAGGTTTCGCAAACAAACTAGCTAGAAAGAGGAATAAAAAAAGCGAATTTTGTGAAATGGATTGATCCTGACCAACTAAGGACAACAGCAAACCTGGAACTAACTACTCTAAGAGTACTTCTAGAGGACTGTAACGTTAATCTACATGGATAGACTTTTAGTACAAATGGCGTATTTTATATACATGTATACAAAATCATTATGAAATTCCCAATTGATGACAAATGAAGTAAGAATGTTATGTATGTTGGTTACAGGTGATAATAACCCGCTATGTGTACCATATGTTACATTGCATTATCATACCATCTATTTGTTTAAATTAATAAACCTCAACGTAGAACTCCCATCCATATCATTGTTTTTCAAGAGTTAATTATGCTCAATCGTATGGTTTTCTTTTAAAAGTCAACTTAAAGCTATGTATGACAGATTTTAGCCATCCAGAAAGTTCAGAATCAAAATTGTGCATCATTTACGTTCTCGTACAGTTTTCATTGTAACAGGTCGCTTTTTTAGAGGACATTTAAACATATGGTTCATTACATGTACCTTAAAACTACGGTTCTACGAACTGAAACACCAACGTTTTTTAAAAAAAAGATCATAGCCAATTTATTTCATATATTATATATATTACATTATCATCTCACAGCAACTAACCTGTAGCGTCTAGACAACTAAATATTTGAAAATTGTTTTATTATCAACAATACAGTTCATGATTTTGATGACTTCATATTTTCTCAGATTCAAGTGACATTTTATGACTTTCAGCTGTGACTGTAAAACAACAGATGTTTTGTGTTGCCTACTGGACAACACAAAATAATTAATTCAACTATATGAATATATACAACGTAAGCGTATTATCATTTGCTGAAACTATCATTATATCCTTGATTTCTATTATCTGTGTTATTTGTAGTGGCTATATCAGTTCAATATTTTGATTTTACACAGATCAGAATGAAATCAACTTTTCATTTAAACTCAATTTAAGTTTCCAATTATTCACAATTTTGCATCGTACATCGCAAACCGAAGACCTTTCTCAGCGTCTTATTCCAATGATAACAGGTAAACTGAGTTGGAAAAATAAAATTGACTGCTTCCACTGACAATCAAATCAAACTTTGGAACGCCTATGACCCCTATATAAATATCGCAGTATCTGCTATCTAAATATAATTTTACATAATTATAGGATATTGCCATGGATAACAAAAGCAATACAATAATGTGTATTCTTATTATAATGATAACAATAATGATGATGATCATACTTAGCATTAATAAAGATACAAAATAAATCATCTGAGTACAATATTGAAATATCATGATAAATTGACTGTTTAAATAATAATCATACCTTTATTTAAAGTTGTCCTGTCCCTATTCTGGTGTAACTAATATTGTAATAATGAAATGCAATTGCTCATATTATTTGATATAGTCTAACAGATAATAATAATCAATACCAATACCATATTCTTATTGGATAATAATATTAGAGGAAGCATAAAACTTCAATCAATGTAATTAATATACACGCAATATCCGAATAATGTCGTATACATATGTTGAATGTTTTAATTTGAGCTCTATTTCGGCTGTGCATAACACTTCCGAATCGACGTCTGGTTCTCCTCAAAATTGTACGCTTTCATTGAAAGTCCTGAAAGAAACGGTCTAAATTGAAATAATTTGTTTAATTGATAATAGACTGTCGTAGGATTTCAAAGTCCTGGACTTCCTTTTTAAAATAACTCAGACTACTTTTTAGAAAACTCGGGCCCAAGTTAAAGACAACGCAAACCACCAAATCTCTATAAGCTGGTGAAGCAAATATCATTATCCCTTCCAGACTAAACTAGTTGTTCCTACTTAAACATTAAGGTTTCAAAACTTATACCTCTTACACCTACAAGATCAACAGTCTTAAGAAGTTGTACTAACGCCATGATCGTGATACGGTACCAACTAAAATTTTGCATCACATCAAATTTATCAATATAGACATGGAAGCTTCTACCAAAGTAAAAAACTTACAAGGCACAGCTAAATTTCAATTATTTTTCACTTCTTGCAAGACAGTTTCCATGTGTATTACAGTGAAACAGAATTAGACCTGGTATTGCTCCATGATACTCTATAATGTTAAATAAAAAAAACCTTACCGCTTCCATGATCCGTATCAGAATAAAACTGTCCTATACAGAAAGTCACATTTAGCATACATACTCCTCGGAAACCATGCTACAGTTAATCAGTGCAACAGAACACTATAAAAGCGAGTTTAATTAGCAATCTAGTATGATCATTATTGTTATTGTTTCATACAATACTCATTATAGTAATGAAAACTAGGAACATGTGGTCTTCAGATCGACGACAGAACCCATACAGACACCTGCTAAATAGTTCACTTGTACATTATCTAATAAATCATTGGCAATTACATGCCTTTTTATTGAAAAAAAGTGTTAACAGGCCATTTAATCAAGAGTTCATTCGTTCAAGGATCATAATGACTTAAGGAGAAATATATTCATGTCAGATTGAACTTTGCAGTTAAAGATAAATTTATTTATGGTTCACTTGTTCGCAGTTTCAAATTAAGGTGTACAGTGACGAGTGTAAACGATATTTATAAGATCCCTGTTTACATGTGAAAAAGCGGAATTTCGTGAAATAAACGAACATCGAAAGAATAGAAGAGGGATTGATCAAATTTGTCAAACCTATTTTTTAAAAGAATGTCTTTTCTCTCTTTTATAGAAAAACTAGGAGTAAGTTTGGATGTTAATTTTGAAAGTTCTATTTGTAGTTCTATTAGCTATTCATATATAAACAATTTCTACAAATGTATTTTTCATCGCTAACTGATCACCGAACACATTATTTCATGAGCATCAGCGTGCTAACATACAATGTTGATAAATTCAAGTCCCTACTGATGTGTTGGCCTTGGTCACAAAGACAATACAATTAACATGTGTTTACATGTACATGTTTGACTTAATATTGTTAATAGCTATTGAAAACTGTAACCAAGTACAGAGACATATTCCATATGACACTATTGATGAGTGGTCTTTTCCCAACACTATATATTTCTATTCAAAATTACGAAATAAAATAGTTTCCTACGCGTTGTTGAACCAGATTTATGCGAGATTTTTCTTTAAGTATCAACCACAGCTCAAAATTTCAAAGTGTCAGGCGAAACCGAAACACAGCATTTGAATGGTTAATAAATGATTTTTTTTATGCACATATAGAACTTACAATATTTCAATTTCGCGTAAAACGTCGGAAATATCTTCAATTCCTATGCATTAATGAATTCTTTGAGTGTTCTTTATGGAGGCTGAACGCTTATATGGATACAGAACATTGGAATTGAACATATGTTTAGACATTTTTTTTGTGTGAAAATTTAATGCGTTTAGATATTTTCCACAGAAAAGTCGTGAGAAACGTGAGCCAATCAATAAAGTAATCAATATAGTAATATTAAAATATTATGTAATAAGTAATTAATAATCTATTTTGTTAATTATCTAGACTATTATATTATTTGTTATATATCAAAATATCTTTATATATTCATACTTATTCTTGTCACAATCACATTGTATTAGTTACTCATTTCTACTTCATTATGCTTTTTTATAGAGGAAAATATCCACTTTCAAATAGTAAATACAATTTATATTTTGTGAATATTGTGCTCTTGCATATTGATCATGTCATATCTTATCAACTTTCAGTCGAATCTACGATAAAAAAAAATAATGAAGATCATGTGATCTCAAATAATGTCAATGCTATAGCCCGTTTGTTCATAAATTCGTTGAAATTCGAGCGGTTTGCTATATTTTGAGTGTCTTTTAAAATGATACATCTTCCAATTCACCATTTTGTCAATAAATATTGGTTAAAGTGTTTCGTTTTATCAACAGCATGCCGAAGTAGGTCTATATGTATATAAGAAATCCTTAAAATTACAAAGATGAATAAATCGTGTAGAATCGTGTAAAGAATCTGCATGGAACTACGACTTCAGAAGACTGAATACTGGGAGTACGACATAATAGTTTTTTTGAACAAAATTTACCGTAATATACTACTTTCACTGTTAGTGCGCAATACATCAAAATAATGTTCAGCGATATCGAAATATAAACACAAAACTTAAATTATGTTACTACTCAATGTTTTAAGCTATGCGATTTTCAGACAAATGACCTATTTTCAGGATGCATATCACCAATTTTATACACCTTGTCTTCACTGATGAAGCTCATTCGAATTTTCATAATACATAAATACATGCCAAAATGCCCGTGTGTCAGAACGTTTCAACTTTAATGAAATTAGTTCTAATGCCTATTCTATCATCTGTGCAATATATGGTGGTAGTGACTGCAAAATATTTTCTAAAGCTGAAGATCCCGAGTTATAGATACTTGTAGTAGTTTTTCAAACACACAATTGAATAGAATCTTCATAGT